TTTATAAATTTGCTAAAAGATATCATATTAAATACTTTTATAAATAAATAAATCTGATTAATCTATAGTTTTTAAAACCATTATTAATAACATTTATAAGTAAAATCTTTTTTTAATTTTTAAATAAATAAAATAAATATAATTAATTTCTTCCTTTAAAAATTACCGGAAATTATTATGAAACTCTTAATATAAAATATGCCACTTATTTTAGTTATTTTTATTACAATTAAACCATATAATTAACGTTAAATAATTAAAAGTTAAATATTAAACTTAATATTGTAAATAAGATATTTAAATATTTAATTTATAATTTTAAAAAGTTTAATAAATTAATTTTAGTACGGTTTTAAACTTATTAATTAGGATTAATTTATGTTTTTTCCATTTATAAACGCAAGATAATTTTATTATTACCTTTATTAATATATTTATAAATATATTTAATAAGTTTTGTTAAAGCATATATTTTTACATTAATATAAGTTTAATACTTTTAATTTAAATAAAAATTATATAAAATTACGTAATTATTATTAAAGATTTTAATTATAAATTTTTACTTATAAATTAAATAACCATTAAAGTTTACTATTATTTTAGCATAAAATAATTTTAAAAAACCTTTAAAACAAACGTTTTTAATTATATATAAAGAATTTAACTTATTTTACGTATAAAATTTGTATATTATATTTAGAAATATTTTTTTTATCAAACGCCATTTAAGTTAATCTTTAACTTAAGCATTTTTACATAAACCATTTTATTAATATACATTAATTATAAATAACAATTATAATTAATATCCACTGAAAAAACCAAATAATATATATATAATAAACCTTACATATATTTTAAAATATAATTGCAATTTTATATCCTTTAAAAATACCGTACATTTTTAACTAAAAACTCTTATATTAATATTAAGCTAATTATTTATAATTTATTTCAAAAGAAACTTATTTTTAATGTTTAATTAATTTGGGTTTACTATAAAAAATAACAAATAATATTAAATAATAATTGTTAAATTTTACTAATAATAAAATATGAATTTTTTTAAGTTTATAAACGTTATTAATAAATAAGTAATGCATTTAATTAATAATATATTAATACTTTTAACTAATATTATATTATTAAAATTATTTTACTTATATTATAATTTAAACGTTAATTAAATACTATTAAAAATTATTTACAAACGAAAAACATTAATTTATATTAATAATAATTATAAAATTAAAATTAGAAATATTATTATAATATTAAATTCGTTTTTTTATAATTATTTTTATTAATAAACATTATTAAATTTTACTTAATCTTTTTGTAAAATTACATTTAAAAATATAAAAAAAGCATGTAAAATAAATAAATAACTGAAATTTTTGTATAAAAATATATAAAAAAATTTAAAATATGTCGATTAATTAAAATAATTTCTTTCCATTATCATTTAATACTAAACGCATTTAAAATAATTTTAATAACATTTTCCATTATTAAAAAAAATTATTTTTAATTAAGTTTTTTTTTAATTATTATTATTTAATATTATTTAATTTTATATTACCGTTAAAATAATTAATAAGCTTAAATAATTTATAAATTTCTATTAAGCTAATATTTCCATTTTTATAATACAAATTATAAATTTTAATTTTCCTTATTTTATCCTTAAATACTTATTTAATTAATGCAAAACATTATATATATTATATTATTTATTTATAACTTTATTATTATAAATTTTAATTATGAAAAAACTATTTTTTAATAATTAAAATAAGTATTATATGGGAAATTTTAATTTTTATTAATTATGGTTTCTATGTGGTTAATTAATTATAAAAAGCTAAAAGTAGTCCTTTAATATTATTAGTTTTTTAATAAGGTAATTTTATTTAATAAAAAGTTTTAATTATTATTATTTAAAGATTTTATATAATTAAATAGGTTGAATAAGTATAAAAAACTTAAAATAGTTTTTTAATATTGTTAACTTTTTAAAAAAGTAATTTTGTTTAATTAAAAAATGTAAATTCACAAGTTAAATTAATATTAATAATAAGTTATTTATTTTATTAAAAATTAAATAACATTATTTAAAAAAATAAGTTAATAAATAATAATAATAAAAATTTAATAAATAATTTTAATATTAATTTACTTTTTTTTTAACTTTATAAATAACTTTAATAATAGTTAATTTGAGGTAATTTTTACCTTTAAAATATTTAAAATAAATATGGTAAAAGGATAGAAATAAAAATAATTAAATTTTTAATATTTTTTTCACTTTTTATAATAAACATATAAACATATAAACATATTAATATTAATTAATAAACATTTAAACCAATTTTTAAAAAAATCTTATTATTACTTTATTTTTTATAAGTTATTATTATTTAAAAATTTATATTACAAATTAATAATAATAAATTAAAATTTACGTAAAAAGTTAAATAATTTTAATCGTTATTATTTATATTTTAAAAATTTACTTAATTAAATTTGTTACTTAAAGAAATATATTTATAAATAATTTATATAACTTAAAAATTATATTATATAAATATAATTTAAAAGTTTTAAAAGTCATAAAGTTTTAAACAAAGTAATATTTATATTATGAATTTCTTTTTTTCAATATAAAATCTTAATAATTAAAATAAATAAAAGTAATAAAATTAAATTAAAAATTATTAAATAATAATTATTATATATATATTATATATAAATTAATTAAAGGATTATAATTTTATAAGTTTATATAAACTTTTAAAACCTTTTGTATTATAATATAATATTTAAATTTAAAATTATAAAAAGCTTTATATTATAAAAAAACTATAAGCATGCGTATAAAATATATTAAAATTTAAAATTATTTTAATTAATTATTTTAACGTAATAATTACATTAAAATATTAATAATTAATATTATTTAAAAAAAATTATATAATTTAATCATAATACGTTAAATTAATTAATTATTATAAATCTTATTATATATGTAAAAAATTTATAAAAAAGTTTTATTAATATTATATAATATTTTAAATATTTAAAATAAATTAAATATTTAAAATAAATTAAATAATTAAAAGTTTAATAATAATGTATAATTAATTTTAATTATACGTAAATTTTAAAAATACTTTATTATTATTTAAAAAATATAATTTAATTATTTTAAAATTTACGTATATATTTCTTTCTATAAATAAAATTTAAAATGCTTTATAAAATATTAAAAAAATCCTTTTTCGTAATATATACAAAGTTATAATATATTAACTTTTTAACAAATAATAAATACACATATTTTAAAAGTATAAAAATAATTATATTTAATAATTAAAACTTATATAAAAAATAAGTAAATGTATAATTTTTATAATCGTTTAAAATTAACAGCTTTTTACGGCTTATTATATAACCTTTAATATATTTATTAAAATATTTTAACTATTTTAAAGCAATTTCATTTATATTATCATTTAATAAAACTTATAACGTAATTAACTTTAACATATTTGCTATTATATTCTTATAATAAAATATTAGCTATTTCTTTAATATAAAAAACTTAGGTAAAAAATACTTGCGCATTTAATTTAATAATATATGTATTTTAATAATATATTATTTAATTAATTTATAATATATTATAAAAAAATTAAATTAAACTTTATATTTTATGTTTTTTGTTAAAATCAATTTTTAATATTAAACGCATTATAAAATTATATAATATCTTTTTTAATATATTATATCATTATATTAATAATTATTAATAATATAAATTTATAATATTATTATTAAATATATTATTAAATTAAATATATAAGTATTTTTTATTTAAATTTTTTATATTAAAAAAATAACTAATATTTTATTATAAAAACGTAATAACGAACACGTTAAAATTAATTAAATTATAAGCTTTATTAAATAATAATATAAATTATTAATAAAGTTTTTATAAAACTCTTATAATATATTAAATAATTAAATAATAAATAAAATTACATTAAAATAATTAAAATATTTTAATAAATATATCAAAAATTATATAATAACTTATAAAAAGCTATTAATTTTAAACAATTATAAAAACTATATTTTTATAAAATTTTAAAAATATTACCGCTATAATAATATTACCTATTTTTTACACAAAATTTAACTATTAAATATAACTGTTTTTATACTTTTAAAATACGCATATTTGTTATTTATTGAAAAGTTAATATGTTATAACCTTACACATATTATTAAAAAAACTTTTTCTTAACGTTTTATAAAACGTTTTAAATTTCATTTATAAAAAAAATACACATGTAAATTTTGAAATACCATATAATATTAATAAAATTATTTTATAAATTTTTTATACATATAATAAAATTTATAATAATTATTTTTATTTATTAATAAACATTTTAAATGTTTTAAATAAAATTACGAAAATTATATATTATTTATTATATAAAGTTATTTTATTAAAAAAATAATAATTTTTAATAAATAAATCACGTATTTTTTAAATATTATAAAATTAAAAATAAGTAATTATAAAAAAAACTTTTTATTATTAAAAAAAAGTAATAATATTAAAAATAATTAAATAATAATTAAAAATGGTTTTTTAAATAAATATTATTAAACGTTTTAACGTTATAACATTTATAAAAATATAAATTATAATTTAAAAATATATTATAATTAAATTATAATAATTTTAATTAAAAAAATGCAAAATCGTGAATTATTAATTTATATAAACTATTAACTTATAATTTACATTATGTATTTTTTTATAATATATTTAATAAAAACATTTAAATATAAAATTATTTTTTAAATAATATAATAATTTAAATTTATTCACATTATTATTAATGTATTACATTTTTTAATAATAATAATACGTATTTTTAAAAAAAAACTTTTAAAATAAAAATAATTTTAATATTAAAAGATGCATTTAATAAAACATTTTTTCCCGAATAATACACCTAATAAAAACGCTTAAAACCTTGCGCACGGCCGAGTTGCTTAATCCAAATAAGCTAGGTTAATATAATATCCCGAACAAGTTCGAGCATAAAGCCTTGTTTACGTAATGTACATAAAAAAACTTAACCCCTAGCCGCGATAAAAAAAACCAAAAACTCCCACTTGCAAGCATAACTGTAGTTTAAGGATCTTAATGATCTTGCCATGAACGTACCAAGATGTAGTGGTACCTTGGTAGATACGCGATTGGCATGTAAGAATAAGACGGGAACACGCTGTCCTGGATTTGATTTCCATGCAAACTCTTAGCGAAATAGTGCTCAATGGAGTTAGCAATATTACAGAACCTCTAGAGTATATCATTCACTGTTGCTGTGCTATTTTGACTTTCATTCTCATTCTATCCACTGGCTTGATAGTGATTTGTCTCATCTATCGTATCCGTATTAGCACACGAAGTATGGGGGAGATTGGGGGAGATAAAATAATGCCGAACGTTGCTTACATTGTAGAGTTCAGATTTGACTTTGAGCCGGCCATCCTCTGTAGCGACGGGTAATTGCTTGTTGTCTGTTTCAATCTCCCCAAGGCCCACCTTGAAGAAGTCATAATGACGGGCCACGACAGCAACAATGACACGCAGTTCGATGTTGGCAAACTCTTGTCCAATGCAGTTGCGAGGTCCACGCTCGAAGGGTCTCCAAGCGCTAGGAGGGATTTGGTTCGAAGATAGGTCGGAATGTTTCTTAGACTGTTCATCGTCCTGTCCAATCCACCTCTCTGGTACGAAGGAATTAGCTGTATCGCCATATACATCAGGGTCCCGATGTATTAAGGTTTCGCAGTTATAAATGATCGTTCCGTCTAGGCAATACTCTTGGCCGTCAGGTGTCCGTACAGTAAATCCTGTGCCGTGTGCTGTAGTTCGCGCAGTTGCGGCTGGCGGGTGGAGGCGCAGCGTTTCTTTAATAACAGCCGCGATGTATTTCATGCGGCGCAACGCATCCGGGCCTTCAGGTGAAAGGAGTTTTGATCGTACTTCAGCTACGCCCGTCTCCGGACCCAGAATATCATCAAGCTCGGCACGAACACATCCTAAGACACGGGGCGTGAGGGATAGCTCGTAGAATATCCATGCGATGGTTGTGCTAGTTGTATCATGGCCAGCAAACAGGAAGGTTTTTATCTGGTCGCATGCTTCGTCTATAAGCTGGGTTGTAAGGACTTTAGTATCCTCCAAGGCAAGTGAGAGGATACTCCGAGCATTGCCGTTTTCGACGGAATGGTTGCGGTGGATTATACTTTTCACGATTACGTCAATACGCTTCCCAAGACGACGACGTTTCAATATCGTCCGCGGAATTAGCCACCAAGGTAGGTCGGCCTTGTCATCCATATAGGCGCTAACAAGTTCTCTGTAAATTTGTATAAGCTCGCTCTGCTTCTGCGGGTTGGAATTTTGAGCGTGAAGATTTTCGCCCATGACGATCGCACCGATGATGTCGAATGCTAGGTTGACACCCAAAGGCACAAGCGAAAAATCATCACCTGATTTTACAAAGGAGTCTAGGTGCTCGGTAAAGCCAACAGTCTTGTCCAGAATGCAAGGTAAGAGGGTCATAAGGTACTGGGGTGCAAACCCAGGACTAAATCTCTTTCGAAGTGCTTTCCACTCTTCACCGTGAGAAGCAAGGATAGAGGTTGGACCGATGATAGGTTCTAAATATGGTAAAGGACTTTTGGGAGTGCTGGTTGGGAAAGCCTTGGAGGATCTTGACACTTGTTCTGCGATTTCGTGGCTACGAACAAGAACCATGGGACGATTCACGGGGCGAAAATCCACAAACATCAACGGTGGTCTTCCCAGATCGTCATTCATTTGCGTGAAGACGCTATCTATACCGCACATTAGAAACTGAGCGGATATAGAGCATCTAGGTATAACTAGTAGGCTTCTGATTCACCTGGATGTCGATCTGCAGGACCGCGTGCAAGGTATTCGCCCATGAGCTTGAGATGCCCCAACAGGAGGGAAGGGGGCAGCTGAGGGATATCAGCATACTGCCGGAAGCGCTTGTATCGTAGCTTATTGTAGAGGTATGCGGCGAGCAGCGAGAAAGCTGCAAAGACTAGTGACTTCAACATATTGGTCGTTAGACGACTAGATGACACTAGGTAATAGGGTGAATAGAGTGAATAGGGAGGGAGGGGGAACGATTCGAGAAACTTAGGGATTGGAGAAAGACTGAGGGCTAGGTAATCGGTTAGGAATGGGAGGAGGCGGCCTTGTTAGAAGATGCAGTTAGTTAAAACGGATGAGTTACACAATTTCAATACTACCTAGGACCATAATCTATTAGAGTTAAACGGCGTTACACAGAGTTACACATACCAAGGCAACAATCACAATTTAACCTAGAGCCTCAGCCTGCCTGCCTGCTTAACCCATGTAATATATTAATAAGTTTAGAGGTAACCAATCAAACCACCGTCCTTAGCCGCGGCAACATCGCCCTTTAAATGTGACGCGTACCGTATGTAAGGGTATTGCATACACGCATTGCAGATACCTAGTCGTATAAGTTGCTGTCTATGGGTATGTCCCTATTAGTTACCCGGAAAATTGACGGCATAGTGCTGTAGTATAACGTATCTAGGTACTTAGAGATATCTACCTCATGCCTGGTAAAATACCCTCCCTCATCCAGTGAGCAAGAAGGGGTGTTAAGCGTGTGGCTCCCGTGCTATCTCAATCATGATTATCTAGGATGTCGTGTTAGGTGACTGCTTATGGCTGCCAGAAAAGACGGAAGGTAATAGCATCTGTGACCAACCATAAGAGGTAAATACTTTCTACTACCTATGTATAACACTTTTCGGCGATGAAGAGAATTCCCATCAGCTTAAAAAGCTTCAAATTGGCTTATCGTTTAGAAATCTCTACTGTTACGGGACTGCAGTAGCAACACAGCACCAGGGTACTACTTTTCTCCATATAGTCTCTTCAGCCTTTAGTCTCGTCACGGGGATATTTAGGCCAAGCCCAAAGCATGATGTAGAAATCCTTCGCGACTTCGAGGGTATGATACTATCTGGAGAGATGCTCTTGGTGTTGGGTCGACCTGGAAGTGGATGTTCTACCCTATTAAAGACTCTGTCTGGCGATACTCAGGGGCTTCGCTTGAATGATGAGGGGCACATTAATTACCAAGGTGCATATTAAAGCAGTGGCTATGAGCTTATACCAAGCATCTGAAGAAATGTATGGAGTAAGACAGCACTATCACTATCACTAATGGCGATCTATATTAATATGAATCAGAATTCCGATCATGTTATATTACTCTACGAAGGACATCAAATAAGGTACTTTGGGCCTGCGGCTGCTGCGACGGCGTATTTCACGAAACTTCGGTTTGTGAAGCCAAGTTGAGCCACCACCGCAGATTTCTTGACATCTTTGACCAATCCAGCAGAGCGCGTTGTACAAATTGGCTATGAGAACCAAGTGCTACACCTGCCAGCTGAGTTCGCCAACGTATGGAAGCGTGGCGAAGAGGCACGCACCCTGCGTGCAAATATAGACAGGTTCAACGCACAATACCCAATGAACATCATGCATCCCAAAGACGATCTAGAGAAGGCCACTGGGATCGAAAGACTAAGGTAAATGCACCTTACTTGTACTATTAGGCAAGGTATTCAGACTAAAACTGCGTGGTAGCCTGCGAACATCTACGTATCCACTACCGATTACTTGGCAAGTTCTGACGTGTTTACGGAGAGCATTTCCAAGGATGAAAAAAATATAGCCACCGACATATCTACAGTCATTGCCAACACCATACTGGGTATCATAATGGGCAGCCTATTCTTCAATATGAGCGAGGATGCGGATAACCTACAGCAGAGATCCCTGCTTATCTTCGTTGCACTAATGGTAAATGCCTTCGTCCCGGGCCAGGAGGTATGTATTTTGTCCCACTTACTCTACACCAGCATTAACTCATATCTAACTGTCAACAGGTTATAGTGATGTGGGCCCAGCGGCCTATTGTCGAGAAACAAGGTCGCTATGCCTTCTACCATCCGTTCACTGAAAGACTGGCCTCCTTAATCAACGACTTGCCTGTCAAGATTGCTATATCTTTCAGCATACACCTCCCCATCTACTTTATGGCAAACCTTCGCCAAACTGCAGCAGCGTTTTTTGTGTACTGGCTGTTTATGTTCGTTAATCTCATCACTATGTCGATGCTCTTTCGGATGATTGGGTCAATCACGCGGACACGGGAGCAGACTACCGTGCCCGTCTCCGCTATAGTACTGCTATGTATCATCTATACGGGTTTTATTGTGCCGCCAGACTACATGGTTCCATGGCTTAGCTAGTTCTAGCGTATTAACCCACTGGCATATACATATGAAGGCCTGTTGATTAATGAGGTATGACTATCCTCCCTTAAATATAGTGCTATAGTATGACTGAAGTTATTAGATGCATGATCGGCTATTCTCATGTACGACAATGATTCCGTCTGGGCCTTTCTACAGCAACATCAGTGATAATCAAAAGATCTGTGCTGTGATTGGTAGCGATGTAGGTCAGCGACATATTCAAGGAACAGCCTATATATCAATGAAATATGATTTCTCAGTAAAACATATATGGAGGTAAGCTGAATGCCCAATGTTCTTCACATTCTACTTGTTCATCTTCCCACTGCCACAGTCCGCGAAGCTTTAGAATTCAGTGCTCTACCAAGGCAGCCTGACCCCGTTACAAAGGAAAATAAGCTGGCTTCCGTAGAAAGCACGCTGAGTATGATGGACATGCAATGGTATGCTGATGCTGTTGTTGGTGTGCCGGGAGAAGGCCTCAACGTGGAACAACGAAAGCGTCTCACGTCTCACTATTGCTGTTGAACTGGTTGCCAAACCAGAGCTACTCCTATTTCTTGGTAAGTGGATATTCCCCCTGACCCACGGTTCCGCCCACACCAACTGTTAATAATATCGCTAGATGAACCCACGTCTGGTCTTGATAGCCAGACTGCATGGTCAATCTGCATGCTGCTGCGCAAGTTGGTAGACAATGGGCAAACGATACTCTGCACTATACACCAGCCCTCTTCCCAGCTTTTTAGTATGTTTGATAGGTTATTACTGCTCGATAAAGGCGGGATAACCCTTTATTTTGGTGACATCGGTAATGACGCGTCGACCCTGATCAACTATTTTGAAAGCAACGGCGCTCCAAAGTGTCGAGCCGATGATAATCCAGTAGAGTGGATGTTAGAAGTAACTGGGAACGCGTCGTCTTCTGCGTTGACAACTAATACCCGCCAAAGGGATGTCACCAAGCGGCAGAATTGGTCCGAAGTATGGAATTCTAGTCCTCAAAAACGTGACACCTTGAATTATTTGGCAGATATAAAACACAGCGCACCCGTGCCATACGGTTCTTCGTCAAACCAGGTCTACGATCATGAATATGTGGCGTCATTTGCAAAACAGATGGCCATCATCACGAAACGTGTCTTACAGGATCAGTGGCGAGATCCTGTATATCTACGATCGAAGTTCGCCTTGTCTATTCTCCTTGTGAGTCCGATATGTTTACAGCTTTTACAGCTCCCATGACAGGTTTACTGAATGCGGGCTAGGCTCTTCTCAATGGCATCTCCTTTTATAACAGTCCCCTAGATATTCAAGGCGTTACAAACCTGATATTTTCGGTCTTTCTTATTACACAACTATTCAGCTGTGTTGACCAGCTAGTGATTCCGTACTTTGTCGACCAGCGAGCATTATTCGAGGCCCGGGAGCGTGATTCACGAGCGTATTCATGGGTTATATTCCTCGCTGCGAATATTCTAGTCGAGCTCCTCTGGCAGACTGTCATTTCTGTGCCGGTGTTTGCCGCCTGGTACTACCCTACGGGTCTACAACGTCATGGAGACGAATATATGTCTACGGCAGAACGTGGCGCATTGACTTTCATACTCATTTGGATGTTCAATTTGTGGTCGAGCACAATCTCCCAGTTCTTTGCGGCCGGGATTGAGCATGCGGAGATTGCGATGCAGATTGCTACACTCTTCTACTGGTTCTCTCTGGTCTTCTGTGGGTATGTTGCTATTTCATCTTCTAAGTTACCTCTCACCATCTCATAGTCGGATCCAATAAAGTCAGCAAGCTGATGATTGACGCAGTGTTATTGCCCCGCCTGACAACCTTGCACGATTTTGGATCTTCATGTATCGCGTTTCGCCTCTAACATATCTTATTGAAGGTCTGGCAGTTGCTGGCTTTGCAGGCGCGGGCGTGGCCTGTTCCTCTGTCGAGGTCCTTAATATACCCCTCCCCGGAGAGTCAGGGACGCAAGGGTGCGGTGAATACTTGGCTCCATTCGTACGATCAGCTGGCGGACAGGTTTTGAATCCGCTGGATGATTTGGAATGCCGCTATTGCCCATTATCGGATGTGAACTCAATATTAAGAAGCTTCGGCATAGACCAGAGAAACGCGTGGCGCGACGTGGGATTCATGGTGGTGTATGTCATATTTAACATACTAGCTACGTTTGGAATGTATTGGTTGGTACGAGTCCCTCGAAAGCAGCATTTTGTCAAAAAATAACATTAGTTTACCCGAACTTATTCGGGATATTGTGTCAAGCCAGCTCGTCTGAATTATCGAAAGCCGCCTTTCTACAGTACCTAGCTACTGCAATAGCTACGGGGAACCACAGTCTAACGGCCGTTCGCTATATGTATTATGGATAAGAGAGCTATAAGCTAGGGCGTTATAGGCGTTAGAGGACCGTTCGGTGCATGTATCGTGGCTCGAGGAGCTGTATTCGGGCTCTTGTGCTCACCGAAGGGTGGCCTCATGTATATGTATTATATTTTACATACGGAACTCATTCACTATCAACTTCTTGCTACCACTTTCTTTTCGTAATTCTTCCAGTGTTCTAGACATGTTTTGTAACACTGATTTTACATCTTGAAGACATGCGTCTCCATCCTCCTCAAGACGTTGCAAGCGTTTTTCAATCTGCTCTTCTGCATGTCCACCTTGCATGTCGGATAGCTCTTCATCATTCCTATCTTTTGCCTTTGCAACACCGAGCATCCTTTCGACAAGCCTGGATATTTCCTCTTCTCTAGCTAGCTTTGCCTTCTCTAAACGTACTTTTGCTGTTGTGATTCTCCATACTTCCTCGTTTGGCTTCTCTTGGTTGGGCTGATGCATAGTTTGTTCTGATCTACGATACGGCTTTCCAGCTGTACGTAGCTGGCTTCGTCGTATGATTTCCATCGGATGGCTATTTCGTTTTGGCGAAGCACTACTGGGTGATGTCGGTGGTGTCGGTACCCCTGCTAGAGTATGCCGGTTTAATTTATCTGTAAACAATCTTGTGTGGTCTCCATGGCTGGCTATGGCATTATTGTGTACTTTTATTGGCACAGGCTTTTGGCGTTGTTGTGACATGCTCTTTATTTTATTGAGATGGGGCCGTAAAGGCGGAAGGCTAGAACTTGGACTTGGACATGGGGCTGGTACTCTTGGTTCCGGCCGGGGAGTTAAGTTAGCTACGACCATGACTGGCGTCATGGCAATAGAATTCAAAGTCGCCGCCGTAATGAGCTCGTCGGCCTGCTTTTCCGGGATTATCTCGGTCGTCATAACTTGCGAAAATTTCCAGCTATTTCCTGGAAGTATTGTCAAGGCAGGCTGAATCTTTTCGACAGACCCTATCTGGGTAGTTTGGGCTAACCCACTCTTCGTACAGACTACTTGTCCGCCACGTGTCCGGGATGACGACCTTGAGCGTACTCGCCGCGTCGTAGGGGAACTGCTAACGAACCGACCGAGGATAGGAGAATCCTTTGAATCATCGGTGCTGGGGATAGGTGGCACAATAGTTGGATCAAAATCTAGTGCAACATGGTTGTTAGGCGTCGGCGTTGGCTTGTTTGGTAGAGTATTATTATCTGAACCTTGCTGGACAGCTTTTTGTTCTAGAGCTCGTTTGTGATAATCCTTCTCTTCATACGGCGATGGCAGAGTAAGACTGATGGTTGGAACAGCATGAGTATCTTGTTGGAGACTTTCTCCTTCCTGACCAGCGAATGACTTATTCATATCAGATGCAATATCTCTAGAGCTACTGATGGCAATTCCTATCGGGATATTGTATGGCTCGTCCATACTAACCAAATCCCGCACCGAACTCGGCGCAAGCTTGGCATCGTCTGGGAAGGGAAAGGATTGTCTCCCGTTATCATTTTCGGTGAAACTCCGCGGATCATCAGAAATCAACGTAGAAGATGCAGCTGAGGAAGCCCTTGGTCTGAGGCTACCCATTGCTAGTGAACTACCCGTCTCGCCCACGGTCGCTGACCTCGAGTTTCTAGTCATGGAGGTATTTATAACTAGTTTTTCCGGTGTAGAAGGGGTATGAGAAGTTTCACCAGGTTCACACTGTCGATGGAGCGAAGTTTGCTGCGCTATTAACTCATCTAGTGAAGCTGCAGGTTTCCCTTTGGAGCTAGTTGCGCGCTTACTTGACGAACGAGGCCGTACTTGTGGAAAGGAGGTAATGCTCGACTGATAGCGCGTTGTAGAGCTAACACATGCACCTGCCGTAGATGGCCTTGAGGTTGTGGGCGGAACGGGAAACGTCATGGCTGCTAGCATTTTGGGAAATCCCGGTGATTCTGGAAGCAACCGATCTCGGGGCGCTGCTGGACCTGATTGTGCAAGAACCCTCGTATTGATCTCCAGATGTCGCTTTGCGCCTGGTAAGACCTCGTCGCCCATCGTAAGCGGACGTGCTCTGACTCGATTTGATGAGCCTATATCTGACTGCTCGGGTTGTTGGCAGGTTGATGAATGCAGTAGAGGTGCGCTGGGTGAGGATTGAGATCTGAACCTGGAAAATTGGCCATGTTGCGTCGTTTCCCCCGCGTGTAGACAGCTGGGAATATATGACAGATGCTGTCCCTGCTTCTTTGCCTTCGGCTCATTCCTTGGAGAGCTACTAACAGCCTGGAACATGCTTGAAGTCGATCGGGAGCGGGATATTATTGGAACTTTCAATTCCCTATCTCCTACCCCTGAGTTGAACTTTTCCATTTGAATGAGGTGAGTCTAGAGTGAGCCGATTTATGTTATGGCAGGTAATTTCCACGCGTGCGCATCTTGGTCATGAATGAAGAACTTGGATGTTTTAGAGGAAGCTCTGAGGAGGCTTTCCTTCAATTAAATATATACAACAGGCGGCATCGTCCGTCAAATGGAACCAATAGAGCAACCACAAGAATTCAATAAGGCTTGCAATGATATCGAAGAGCGGAAGGTGCAAATCACTAAGTTCGTCTCGGAAGTTCCTACAGGATCCCAGACGCGCATCGGCTTGTACTGATTGGGACGTAGGTTCTATTTACGATAGTTATATTTAGTTAAGTCGCTACATTGCAGCTTAGGTTAGGTACTTTTACTCTTGACTGTACAATTAGGTACCCAATACCACTTGTTTGTATTACCTGTACGTACCTTGCCGGCGGTAACGCAAGAATGCATTTAAAAGGTAGGATTCTTAAAAGCAGTACCTAGGTATGCAATTCCTACAGGGATGTCGCCCATGCTTTTTTTTTTTTGGGCCCTTCTTGAGATGCAACTTGTCCATATCGAAGTAAGGTACTTTATTACCTAGGTAGTTAATTATATACAATAACTAAAACGACATCAAGATTGGTTTCGGTTCCTACCCCACAGAGACATTCTGTCCTTAAGCTTTGCGGTCGACATACCAGACATACTATTCTTACATCACACACCGAACACACACACCGCGATCCTGCTAAGGGAAATTCCCTCTTAATTTCGAAGCCTGTCTCAGCTTAATCGACTACACTCTGCTCTCTCCTTAGGACCTTGTACGTACATTTCGCCTTCAGCAATTGCTGTAGGTGCATTGATCCTCAACGTCCAATCGAGCTTGGCGGGCTATTGCGAGCCCGCAGACGACATGGATTACGAAGCTTTAAAAGAACAATGGAGCGAAGTGGAAGATCGTGATGGTGTTCGACTGAGTTGGAATGTCTTTCCTAGCTCTCGGATGGTAACTTGGCCCTCTGCCGACTTGGCTGCATCTTTGTGAGCGCATGTATTCTAAAGCAGTGCATAGGAAGCGTCCCGCCTTGTCGTCCCCATCGGTGCTCTCTACACTCCCCTGAAAGAGAAACCAGACACGCCACTACTACAATTCGAACCTGTTACATGTAAACAACCGTGCCGTTCTGTCTTGAACCCTTTCTGGTCAGTGGCTCTCAACCTCCTGACATCATTGACGATCGCCTAGCTAATAGTACCTAGTCAAGTCGACGTCAGAGCACGTCTGTGGATCTGTCCGTTCTGCCTCTCGAGGAACCCTCTCCCTCCTCATTACAAGGACATCACCCCTAATGCCATCCCCCCGGAGCTACACCCATCCAACACAACAATCGAATATCGGCTTTCGAGACCGGCACCTAGTCCACCTATCTTTCTCTATGTTGTCGATACGTGTCAAGAGGATGACAGTTTGTCGGCTCTGAAGGAGTCTCTCATCATGAGCTTGAGCCTCCTCCCCGAAAATGCTCTAGTTGGCCTCATTACTTATGGGACCATGGTTCGTCTATCTTATCTCCAAATTCCGGGTGATTTTTATGGCTGACGCGTAGAGTTTCTAGGCCCAAGTTCACGAGATCGGTTATACTGAATGTGCCAAGTCGTACGTTTTTCGTGGCAGCAAAGATTATTCTGCCAAGCAAGTCCAGGAGATGTTAGGTCTTCTTGCCCCGAGTCTCCGTCCTGGTATGCCGCAGCAGCAACCCGGCCGACCTATGCTGCCCATGGGACCCGCTACCAGATTTCTGCTACCAGTTCAGCAGTGCGAGTTCCAGCTTACTAAGATCCTGGAACAGTTGCAGAAGGACCCTTGGCCTGTTGCCAGTGATAGGAGAAATCTTCGATGTTCTGGCGTTGCGCTCAGCGTTGCTGTTGGTTTACTTGAGTCTTCCTTCCAAAATGCCGGTGGCAGGATCATGCTTTTCGCCGGCGGCCCTGCAACTGAAGGACCTGGAATGGTTGTTGGCCCCGAATTGAGAGAGCCAATTCGTTCACATCACGACATTGACCGTGATAATATCAAGTATTACAAGAAAGCACTTAAAGTTAGTTTGATTCTTGGTTCATACATTCATGGGTTCTTACGGCGGCTAACTCTTTGTCTTATTTTTAGTTTTATGATAATCTTGCGAAGCGAACAGCCCACAATGGTCATATAATAGATATCTTCGCTGGCTGCTTGGATCAAGTAGGATTGCTCGAGATGAAAGGTCTGTGCAACTCGACAGGTGGTCACATGATCCTCACCGATAGCTTTACTTCATCTATGTTTAAGCAGTCATTCATTCGAGTTTTCGAGAAGGACGGAGATGATAATTTACTAATGGGATTCAATGCCGTCCTTGAAGTTTTAACAACCAAGGAGCTCAAGGTTACCGGCCTCATTGGGCATGCCGTGTCATTAAACAAGAAGTCAACTTCAGTCGGGGAGACCGAGTGTGGTATTGGCAATACGTGCTCGTGGAAAATGTGTGGTATCGATCCTAATGCGAGCTATGGCATCTATTTCGAGGTTGCAAGTCAAGGCGGACCCACGCAACATCAACAAGGCCAGCAGAAGGGCATGATGCAATTCTTGACGTATTATCAACATTCTTCCGGGCAGTTTCACCTCCGCGTAACTACCATTGCTAGGAACTTAAGCGGCCCAGCCGGAGATCCTGCTATCGCACAGTCCTTTGACCAAGAAGCGGCCGCAGTACTTATGTCAAGAATTGCAGTTTTCAAGGCGGAGGTCGACGATGGTCCCGATGTTCTTCGATGGGTTGACCGAATGCTCATTCGGTTATGTTCACGTTTTGCCGATTACAGGAAAGATGACCCATCCTCATTTAGGCTGGAAAAGAACTTTACCCTCTACCCCCAGTTCATGTTTCACCTCCGACGAAGCCAGTTCCTTCAGGTCTTCAACAACTCGCCTGACGAGACCGCCTTCTACCGACACGTGTTAAACCACGAAGATGTGAGCAATTCTCTCATCATGATACAACCAACCCTCGATTCGTATACCTTCGACCAGGACGGAGGACAGCCTGTCTTGTTGGACTCGACTTCTATTCAACCCACGCATATCTTATTACTGGATACGTTTTTCCATATTCTCATATTCCACGGAGAAACCATCGCAGAATGGAAGAAAGCGGGATACCAAGATCAAGAAGGCTACGAGAATTTTGCTGCGCTCCTGGAACAGCCTAAAGAGGACGCGAGGGTAAGTGTGAAGAATATCCATTTGATAAAACGTTACACTAATATCGGTATCCTGTATAGGACCTCATTGCGGACCGTTTCCCGCTCCCTCGGTTTATTGTATGCGATGCTGGTGGCTCGCAAGCGCGGTTTTTGCTTTCAAAGCTAAACCCGTCAACGACACACACTACTGGGGCATATGGCGGTGTTGGTGCTCAGACAGCTCAGACTATATTTACGGATGATGTATCACTGCAAACTTTCATGGACCACTTGATGAAGTAAGTAGCTTGATATTCTAAGCCCTACGTTGCAAGATTAACATGTTATCACAGGTTGGCCGTGAGCGGGACAAATTGATCGTTGCAGTAAAACCTAACATTCTTGGACGAGGAGTTTATAAAGCTTGCGCTGCGTGGCTTTTTGGGCCCAAGAACTGCTTCGCCATGACTGTCTCACCACATACCATCACGACAAGTATAGCAGGCTCGCCACAGTAGGTGTTAGTTTTAGAGCACGCTGATTGTTAGGAGGTAACGAAGCTAGCTCGGAGCGGCTCATGTATTTAATGCTATTGTAGAGAGCAGCCAGTTCATACGTCAATAAACCGTATGTCCTCAGTGACACGACATTCATTTAGTCTTTCCCCTATTTTAACCTTCATTTATCTCATTCGTAGGTAAGCACTTAGGTAGATACCGGGTAAGTGGTTCTGTAAATGGCCTTCCCTCCATACAATGTACCTATCTATATAGGTGGCATATCATTAGGTACCTAGCTTACCGAAATAGAACTAAACCTTCATACTGCGTTATCTACCTTGTATCAGATCTACCTTGTAGATAGCTAAGGTCAACCGAGCAGCGGAGTGAGTACATACCTTAGGTAATCATATGTACCTAGCCAACCTTATGTTAGGTGATCGAGGAAGCATCTGAAATTGGGTACCTAGGTACCCACCTAAGTAGGTACTTGAGGTAGTTTAACCAATGAAGATGGAGTCCATGATTTTTAGCCCCTTGGCTCTGAAAGGATGAAGCGAAGGTGCATCATTACACATTAAACTTTTTATTTTAATCCAATCAATCCTCTAGTTTGCTCAACTAGATCCATTTATTTTCCCTTACGACACTTTCCTACTAACAGGGCTGCTGCGTACCAGCGTACCTATCTCGAGTACGAAATACAAACCCCACTGTCTAGGGCTTCTCTAGCCCACAACCGAATTTCATCAAGACCACTTTCTTCAACTTTCACCCTCCTGATTGCAAGCGCTGCTCACGAGGCTCATACCATCTTACGCAAAAAGTCTCCCCAGAATTTTTATTGGCAACCTGTGAGACTTCATATCTGAGCGAAGATGCGTAAGTTAAACATACCCGACCTGTTCAAATTTTCAGCGTAAGCTAATCTTTCAAATATAGCTCCCAAATTCGATCCCAATGAGGTGAAGGTGATGTACGTGAAAAAATAAAAAAAAATAAAAAATAAAAAACCCTATCCGTTTTCAATTTCGCCAGAGACGAAAAATCGCAAATACGCCCGTTTCGAAGCTGACAAGAATTCTGTAGCCACCTTCGAGCGACTGGTGGAGAGGTCGGTGCCTCATCGGCGCTTGCCCCCAAGATTGGTCCTCTTGGTCTGTCGCCGAAGAAAGTGGGAGAAGATATCGCTAAGGCTACTGGTGACTGGGTAGGCACTCTACTTACATGACAAGAAGCCGAAGTGCTAGACTAACAAAATTTTGGTTATTAGAAAGGCCTACGAGTCACCGTGAAGCTTACAATCCAGAACCGTCAAGCCGCCGTTTCCGTCGTTCCCACGGCTTCCTCCCTCATCATCAAGGCCTTGAAGGAGCCGCCCCGTGACAGGAAGAAGGAGAAGAACATCAAGCACTCGAAGAGCGTACCTCTCGACGATATCATTGAGATTGCTCGAACAATGCGATTCAAGTCTTTCTCAAAGGACCTAAAGGGAACTGTCAAGGAGATCCTAGGAACGGCGTTCAGTGTGGGCTGCCAAGTGGACGGACGAAGCCCCAAGGATGTCAGCGACGACATTGAGAGTGGCGAGATCGACAGTAAGTTTTGATCAGTATAATTTTCCTCTTGTAATGCTAGATACTAACCTCGGCCGATATAGTTCCGGAAGAATAAATATGGACTGGGTGGGCTGAAAATGGGCTTCTTTTTTTCCGATGCATCTTTCGACAGGAGTTCAGGAATGGCTTGCGATAGTCGTCGCCGACACACTCTGAATTGAGACGAATGAAATAAATCTCGCTATTCTCGTGACATGCATCCTACCTTCCTCGGATATCCCCGTTACACCTACACCCTTGCCTACACTCTGAGATAAACCTAGCTCTCCGTGGTCTATTTCTATTTCGTGTCAAGGGAGATTAAGTTAAGACCAACTACTCACCGCGGCTTCCTTGCTACCGAAGCGTGGAGGCGGAGGTCCATCTTTTTAGGTCGACATCAACGTTCCAGAATGCTTGTTTTCTCTGACGGGTCAAGGTGGAATTCGAAAGACGCCCCGTAGACGAATATCGCCGTGAAGACCTTGCTTATTTTATTTCTTGTCCCCCCCCACATAAGAAATGCATATTGTTTGGTTAGTATTGTAGGTTGCTATGAATTCTGCCTTTTTTTGGGGGGGGGTTGTTCTAGATTTCCTAAATTGATATGTCATCCATAAATCTTCCAGCCTGTTGCTTGAAAACGCTCCGAGAGCCTTATGTAGCCTAATATTCGTAATGCTTACCTTTTTTTTTTTTTTTTTTTTCAGTATCACGTCTCTTCACCAAAGCCTATTAGTTAGCAGTATGTCCTATGATGAGGAATAACTCCTTCTCGGTGTTGCAAGTGCTGCTTGTCCCCAATCAGGTAATTCATAGATGTGATAAAATACCTACCTGACTTTTCAAGTAACTACCTGTAGGCTGAAAAGTCGTGCACATGCATACCTACATGTAGGTACATGTAAGCGCTTAGCATTCAGGTCACAATATGTAACCTCGCCTTTCTAGGACTGGGTATGTAGCTTACGATTGTGCTGGGTGGCGGTTTCCTATGCGTTTTGTACATGCAATAGGTACCTAACCTAGCATACCTACCTGACAAAGGTATTTTACCTTAAGATACCTTCTAGATAGCCTTTTGTTAAGGCCAAAAATCTTTTCATTTCATACGATGCATTTCTCGCTGGGCTTATTTCTTTATTTTTCCTGGGGGCTTTGAAGTTTTACCCTAAGTTTAAAGGCATTGTAGTTAAAATTTTTATGATTGTATAAGTTTTAGGACATGTCAGCAGCCTGTTATACAGAGGTTAATACGCGCCTGTGTAGCATACGACGCCATACGTAATGTAAGTGTGCAAGGATGTTACCTTATGTACATACAGTATGCACCCTGGGTAACTACTAATGTTAGGTAGGAATGTATTGTACCAAGGTAAGCACGTACCTAAAAATCGACCATGCATGTATTATACATATATTTTAGGTAGGTATTGTATTGGACAATACTTTTTCTTCCCTAGAGTCAGGCCAAAGATACATGTACTTGGTGCAAATACACGGTTGATTTTCGCCAAGCCCCACTAAGTCCAAGAAATGTGACAGGAGCTGATGGGGACCAACTTGAACCAAAAATTGATTGATTTAGACTCAGCCCCCCCACGTACAAAGCAGCGCCGTCCTTTTCAACCCTCTTCAACCCTCATAGCCTTTTCCCTCTACTAGGATCTACATAACTTCACCTAAACATATTGGATTTCTAAACAACTTGACAGCCTAGATAATGAACACTGGAAACTTATCAACGGCGTCAATTTTTAACGGGACCTTTCTTATCACATACCTACTACTTCTCAGACCGTCTATAGATATTCGCATCTAACCTGTACATTAGATATTCCGTCCTATCCTACCTGCCTACGTAAAGTAGGTGTTCGTTGGAATCCACTTCTCTTCCGCTTTGACCTCGAATACCCCCCCTCCGCATATCCCTCTCTTACCTGCCTCGCCTCCGTCCTTACGCCTGGCTGGCTCCAGAGCTTTCGCGTCGTGCGAGGCAGAGCAGAGGGCGAGGGGCTTGTTAAGTTTGAAATTAGAGATGAAAGATCGGGTTTAAGGTAGACTGGATTGGCCTAACAAAATACATCAGACGACAGCCTCGTGCCAGCCCCTAGCTAAGATATCTATCTACTTGGGTTTTCAGCGCCGGAATTCACTACGCACCTCTCAATGCATCTCGCCCAGCTTCCTTCGGCCGTGCTCTAACCAGCAGGCTATAATGAGACCTCTCCTCATTTCTAGGCCTCGACACTCCCTTTCCTAGGCTTATACTCACCCTGCGAGATGTTCTCCTCTGTTCAGATGCACCACCCGGTGCATCCATCCCACCATCTCGACTCCCATCTCGACTCTTCGTCGCCCTTTCAGCTAGATCGCAAGCAGGACCGTCATTCCTTTCAACATTATACTCGTACTGCTTCTAGACTGTCTGAACCTTCGCTAGGTTTTGGCGTTGCCTCTGCGCACAACGCTTTCCCCATTCGTTCATCGCAGCCCTCGTTGCCGATGCATCCGCGATCCAACGCCTTTATGATGCCATCTCACCTATCCGACCACGACGAACATCAGCTTAGACGCAAAACGCCAAATGGCACGATAGATGCCGGATACGATGGCAACCCTGCCCAGCTCGCCTCGGGGCCTCCACCCTTGAAGCATATGATCTTGCCTACCTCGTCTAGCCTTATGCCTACTGCGGTTTATCCCCATCAAGACCACCATGCAATTAAATATCATCTTAAACCCTCAGTCGATGATTGGTCACTCCAACCACTCCCGCTCTTCAATATTCCAGATCATGGCGGTCTCCCTGTCGATTCCAACTCGTTAGCGTTCGCAAGCACTTGGCGGCGAGGACTTGTTAACGATACTCGTGCTCGCATGGCCGTTGATGCTACTCCTAATGGAATGCCAACGGCTGCCTATCCTTATAATAATGGGCTTAACATACCAACAGCTCTGCAACCTATATACCAACACTCTCCAGGGCCAGCTATATTTGATAATAGTGCATTGCTTACACCTTCAGCTTGGCCTGAGACCAACGTGCCTACTTATCATCGAAGTGCGCATCCAGGCAGTTTGAATTACCACACTTTAAATTATTCTCCTATGTCTCATATCCGTTCATCCAATGCCTTCATGCCGGCTAGGACTCCTTTCAACACAATGGCTCATTATGGAGAGAGCTCGGCAGGCCTACATACACCTTCCCAGGGGTTAGAATCTCTTACACTTGAACCTACCCAATATGGGAGACCTAGACCCGAGTTGAATGAGAATTCCACCCCTACGATGTTTAGAGAAAAGGCTCTTGCAAACGCCCACCGGTCGTATATTGAGCTTCTGGCTTATCTGCACTATAGCAAGAAAAATCAAGGTCGTTCAGCTCAAGACACTAGGTCTTCTAAGATGGTTATATTCCCCAAGTTGCCAAGGCCTCCAAACCATCCTAATTGTGTCCTTAGCCGGCGTCGTTCTAGAGACACACACGGTTATAGGAACTACGACAATGGTGGTGGTAACCATGTGCTCGCCCCCCAAACTGATGGATCGTCAGAATTATATGGTCAGCAAATCATGAAGCATCAAATACGAAGTGATGAAACCCCCCGTCCAGCTTTCTATTATCCATTAAACGGCGACGCGTCAGGATACCCTGATGCAGACTCTGAGCGAGGGAGAATACCAGTCAAGCCCCTGTCTAGTGCCAAGGCCGCTGTTGAGATGTTGACTCATTTGTGTGAACAAAGCGGTTGGAAATGGGTCGACGGTATGTTGCTTGGTGGCTGTTTACATTACGGCCTTGAACATTACGAGCAATCATTGGAGTGGTTCCAGAGGATCATCTCTCTAGATGAGACGTAGGTTCTTATTTCAGCCCTATCTTACCCCATAGTTGGTTTTGGTTTTATAAGGAATAAGCTAACTTTATTTACAGTCATGTTGAGGCAGTTTCAAACGTCGCGGCAACTCTATATTGCCTGAATAGACACGAGGAGGCCGAACGGCAGTGGTTACGGGCCGTCCATTTACGGCCCAGCTATCTCGAAGCTGTCGAGCATCTTGTCGGACTTCTATGTTCTAACCATAGGAGTAAGGAAGCTGTTGATATAATTAACTTCGTTCAACAATCACTCCGTTATCCCGGTCGAGATGGTTGCGATATTAGTCCTGATACGGGTAGCGGACTTAGTAATCCCGTGTACAGCGAAGCCAAGCTGCATCCACATCAACGCTGTGAGCCAATACACAGTGACGATGGTGTAGAGGAGTCGAGATCACCTGGCTTTGGTTCAAGCGGTTATCGTGTCAGCGGTAACGAGAATGGTCGCATAATAGCTTTGATTCACGCTAAAGGAAATATGCTATATGCATTGAAAGACATCGACCAGGCTTCTGAAGCATTTGAAGAGGCCGTGCTTATCAGTGCTGGGAGAAAGCTTAAATGTATTAATTCATTAATACGCAGAATACAATCTGTCCTATCTCCCACGGATATATCCGGGTCATCTAGACGAGGTAGCCTCCGCACGCTACCTGTGGGGCCACTACTTCTTCCCCCCGAAAAGGCAAGGCATACCGCACAGTTGGTCTTTGCAGCCCACGGCGAGCTCCCTGGATTACGGTTTGTGCCGGATGGTGCGCCGAAAAGGTCGGCAATCTCCACTACCAGCAACTCTCTACTTTCGTTGGCAAAAATATTTCAAGATGCCATGTCAAATGGAGGATCCTTCCCAAAGCTTTTACGGCAGCCTTCTGGAATTGGGGATATTCTAGCGCTCTACTATCTATCCCTGTCACTCTCGGAGAGCCCTTCAACAGCAAACAATGTAGGGATTTTGCTAGCTAGCGTTCAACACACCAGTCCCGCCTCGCAATTACAGATTTTGGAGAGCCCGAGCATACCGCCGATACCCGGGATTGCTCCTGGCAGCGGTCTTGCACTAGCTCTTGCTTATTATAACTACGGCCTGAGCTTAGACTCCAAGCACGTTCATCTCCATACAAATCTCGGGAGTCTGCTAAAGGATATCGGCCAACTTGACCTGGCAATACAAATGTATGAGCAGGCCGTCGCCTGTGATGGCAGTTTTGATATTGCCCTTACAAATCTTGCCAATGCTGTTAAGGATCGTGGGCGCATCAGTGATGCTATTATGTATTACAGGCGTGCCGTCAACTCTAATCCTGAATTCGCGGAAGCGGTGTGTGGTCTTTCTACCGCTCTCAACTCGGTCTGTGATTGGAGCGGCCGTGGTGGTGTACTTCTCCACGGTGGAGCATACGACCGTTGGCATGTCGACGACAAGGGAATGCTTCGGGATGTCAAGAATGAAGAGTCTGGTAGCGGCTTGATGAAGAAAGTCGTTGATATCGTCTCGAAGCAGCTTTTAGAGTCGTGTCATTGGGGCGCCGGGATCTTACAAAATGGAGCCCTCGAGCTGCTGGTTTCACAGGTCGAATTTTTAGCAGCCGGGGGGACACGACGAAGTTCAGATATTGAGGATGCATTGCGTAGATGGGCAGGCCAGCCGTGGGAAGGTTCGAAAATCCTCCGTCTCGTGGAGCGCTCAATGAAGACGATGATGCGTCGTTGGTACTTAGATAAGTACATTCACAACCGCGCATCGCAGTCAGGATACCCTCGGCTTAAGCTGCCAGCGTCCCTGGCTGTACCAGCAGCACCAACTGTTCTTCCTTTCCATACCTTCACTTGTCCATTGACGGCCAAGGACGTACGCATGATTTCCCAGCGGAATGCCGCTAGGATATCATGTTCTACTCTTAAGTCGCCGTGGCTTCCCAATTCCGTGTATGCGCCGCCTCCTCCGCCTAACCCACACCTCAATATCGGATACGTATCTTCAGACTTCAATAATCATCCTCTCGCTCACTTGTAAGTTTTACATCTATCCGTGACGTATCAATGACACTATGTTGTTTCACAAATTAACCGCATACAGAATGCAATCCGTATTCGGATTTCACAATCCGTCACGAGCCAAGGCTTTCTGTTATGCTACTACCGCAAGCGATAAATCGGCCCATCGGTTGCAAATAGAACGTGAGGCACCTGTATTTCGCGATGTGAGCAGTTGGCCTTCAGAGAAGCTTGTGGAACAGATTGTGAAAGATGAGATCCATATCCTTATCAACCTAAACGGCTACACCCGAGGCGCCAGGAACGAAATATTCGCAGCTCGGCCAGCACCAATACAGATGTCTTTCATGGGATTCGCAGGTACGCTCGGTGCTGAATGGTGTGATTACATCTTAGCCGATAGGACCGCCATTCCTCCATCCACACTACGACCCATGAGAAGCAACATAGAATTAGAAGACGTTTTTCGGGACGACGAGTTTAGCGAAACCGGTGACTGGATGTATTCCGAAAACATTATCTTCTGTCGTGATACGTTCTTCTGCTGTGATCATGCGCAATCGTGCGACCTAGCCGAAAGGACTATGACATGGGCAGATGAACAACGACGTCGATGGAAAATGCGCAAGGAACTTTTTCCAAATCTCTCGGATGATACTATTATACTTGGCAATTTTAACCAGTTGTACAAGGTATTTTCTTTATTTCGAATATACATACTGCCCATGATAGTCATGACTAACTATGTCATTCAGATTGACCCTTCTACCTTTCGTACGTGGTTGCGTATACTCTCCAACGTCCCTAAAGCCATACTATGGCTTCTCAGGTTCCCCGAGCTCGGCGAGAACAATCTGAAGAAAACAGCTAAAGCCTGGGCCGGCGAAGACGTGGCAAATCGTATCATTTTTACGGACGTGGCGCCGAAGCAGCAGCACATTTCACGGGCGCGCGTTTGCGACCTCTTCCTAGATACACCAGAGTGCAATGCGCACACAACGGCTGCAGATGTCCTGTGGTCGAGCACCCCATTATTGACTTTGCCGAGATATCCGTATAAGATGTGTTCTCGCATGGCAGCGTCAATTCTTAGAGGAGCGTTACCAAAGACACCTGCCGGAGAGGAAGTTGCTCGAGAGCTCATCGCCGGAAGCGATACCGATTACGAAGCACTTGCAACTAATCTTGCGGGAAGTCTGACTTATCGATATGTAAATGGGGAGTACTGCGAAGGGAGTGGACGATTGGCCGAAATGCGAAAGATTCTTTTCGAAGCAAAGTGGAAATGTGCACTATTCAATACGCGCAGATGGGTGTCTGATTTAGAGTGGGCGTATGAAGAGGCATGGCGGCGTTGGGTGGCCGGGGAAAGTGGCGACATCTATCTTCCTATAGAGCAACAGTGAGACATTTCCGGGAATGGGGGTTAGTTAAAATAACCTTGGGTCTTGCTTTCGAAGTAGGCTGGGAATGAGCTCGGAAATGTTCAATACCGGCCAAGGATATTCATCGCATTGGATGTGGCACATAAACATATGTTGCCCATCCTATCTATATGAAAAAGCATGGAGTTCCGGTGAGCTTAAGATGGTAACCTGAGTGGACCGTCTTGGGGTTTCAACAGGCTTCTGATTATATTTTGGGCTTAGTTATGCCAGCTTTGGACGAAGAACTCGATGTTTCTATGATAGAGCAGGTAGCGGGCTCGGACCAAGTGCTGGTAGGGTTACGTTACCTTTGGGACAGAAATCTGCCGTCGTTTCGGCAACGACGGGCAGAGGCGTTTGGTATTATGGCAGCGCGGATTTATTTCAGTATGCTGTCGATGGAATCTTGTAAATATACCCAGAGCTGATACCCTAAGGATGGGTAAAGCCAGTTATTTTGCTCGGTTATGAGCTTCTCTTTCTCTTTTCCTTTCTCTTTTCCTTTTCCCTTATCATTTTTCTTCCTTTTCATATGATTCTATTTTCTCCCTTCTTACTATACTTTGAGACCAACAAGAAACCAGGGGCAACATCGCGTTTTTATTCCTTCATATGTAGGATGCCCTTTTTTACTAGCCGCAAGTCTCAAGGACCTTGTGTAACGAAGGCTGGTATTTCACTCACCTCCAAGACACGGTATTAAAACCGGCAACTGACGGCTTGATAAATCGAGATTGACGTCACACAATAGTAAGTAGGATAGGGATACGATACCTACCTGATATTACCTTGGTATGTATCATATTTGCCGCAATATGCTAGGTATTACTATACCAGTCCGTGAAAATGTGTCGACTCGTCCCAACTTGTTGAGGTTTTCCCATTAGTCTAATGGTGGGGGTGGACAGTTTCAGCCGGCGAAGAAAGAAGACGGGGTGCGGCTGAGAATTAGCTGTGGGTAAGACTATTTTCCAACGGCCACGATATCTTCTTCACACTATAGGCATAATAGTCAAGAGGTGGACCCCGCAAGCCCGGAGATATTGGACTCGCTTGGTTTTGCCATTTTTAAAGTGACGAATTGGTCGTAGAGAATAATATATGTGCATATACATACATACCTGACATGTTGATATATCCAGGCATATATATAGGTATGTATATCATAAAGAAATAAAAGAAAGGGAAAAGAAAGAAAGAGGGCAGAGAATGTTGCAGATTCGCTAAGTAAGCAATTCTCCTCAGGCTTCATGAAGTGGTTGGGTAGGGTTAAGTTACATACTATGTAGTAGGTGAGTATGTTTTCAGTTTCAGCCGGTGAAGATGAGATCCCAAGTCAATGGGTCGTTGGAGAAGCAAGGAAAGCCACATGCGCAGATCGTCACCCTAACGAACTTTAAACGGCCGGGCTATGCTGATTGTTTTGATAAGTACCTATACTCGAGCTAGATACACAAGGTTCACATACTGCTTACTTATATAAAGATGGTACCAAATAGGGAATAGGGTACATTTACATAACATAAGTAGGTTAGGCAGGTACACATACACGCGTGTGTACCTAGTATTATTCTACCTAACCTAGGTAGGTACTGTACTAGGTACTAGGTACGTACTACCTGCCCGGGACCCCTTGTCGGATCTGGGGTTCTCACATTCTACGATGGACAATAATAGGTACACTTGATCGGTCGAATTAGAGGGGAGTGTAGGCCTGCTCGGCGTCTGCCATCTCAATCGGAAATCTACCTAGACCTAGATGAGCCTCTTGGTTCTCCACTAACAAGAGACTAACCTACCTAGTACTGTATGATGTTTTCTTTTGTCTACCTACCTAAGGTAACTTAAAGCTTCATCTTAGGTATAGGTAGATACTAGTCGCATTCATGTCACAAATCGGCACGGTCCAAACCTAAACTTATATTTTACCACGTGGTACCTAGGCTGCTAGGTCAGCTTTATGACAACTTCTGCTAGCAATTGCTGATCTACAATGATATCTACCTACATTGATCTAACGGAATGTTGGGGAGAAGACTTGATGAGGCGTAGCAAAGACAAATAAAACCAAATGGGAGCGAGACGCGAATATATTATATAAAATAAGAAACTTAAATACAGAAAACCACATGCAATAGGAAAAAGCAAAGGGGAGAGAGAGAGAGAGAGAGAGAGACAAAGAGTAGACGAATTATCCCCCACTACGTTGGCGGCGGATAAGGGGTCGCCCCATATCCACGTCTTGCACCGGCTTTTCTAGCCTTACTTACCCTTGCTTACCTTACCTGACACCAGAGGCCATGGCTGGACGTTTTTCTTTTTTCCTTTTTTTTTTACCCTCCTAATGTTCCCTGGTGCTCTTTTTCAACTTGCTTTTTGCTTCTTACTTGTACTTGAGTTAGGAGCTAAAGAATGCAGGTGGTACAAACCTTGGACCTTGGAAAGCGCTTTGCTTACATGAATCAACTAGAACTAGCAATTACGGTACACATACACACAGCCTACATCTACATGTAAATAAGTACCTAGATGTAGGTAGGTTTAGGAAGTACATTGGGCAATCAAGATAGGTGCACATCTTATGCAGAGTAGGAACGGATGGGGGAGATAGACGAACACTTAAATCTGCTGAGAGGAAGCTGGAAGAGAGCTGCTGAGAAAGTATGTGGGTCTCTTCCAAGTATTTACAGATCTACACCCACCCGCACAGCATATACTACCTTCTGCCAGTTATTATGCTAGGGAGTATGCTAGATATTATGCTAGGTTCTATGCTACTACTTACCTAACTCCTGCAACTCCTACTATTTGCTACTACCGATGTTACTACTGCCAACTACCTATTATGTATCGCTTCTACGTAGTTCCTACCACACATATTCATGTTCGTTCGTGCTTACTCGACTTATCCGTTTTTGCTCGCTCTCTACCCTCGTACATGCCTTCTCCGTCAATGCAACTTAATCTTGTATCATCTCAGTCCCCGTCCCCGTCTCTTTATCCTTTATAACTTCTTTCTATCTATCGCGAACCTACATACACTTCGTCTTAAACTAGATTGGTCCCGCCTCACATTGACCCCAAAGCTGTAAACACAAAACTAGAGATCGAAGTTAGGTATCAAGTTGCTTGCTTGGCCGGCTGGGCCTGACCATCGCCTCGACTCTGATATAAACACTGCAATATAAGGCTGGGTTTCATGGCTATCCCCCTCAGTAACTTGGCTCTTACTTTCACTGAAATACTTATACCACATACCGAATTAAACACCTCTAAACCTCGCTTGTCACACAACTTTATAACCCTCATCTACCTTTTCTACATTTTTTTTACTATTGCTTATACACACTACTTTTCAGTAATATCATCATGATGTCGAGACGGGGTCCCTGGACAAATCGCGAAGATGAGATGCTGAAGGAGATCGTCGAACAGCAAGGCGCCTTGAACTGGGTCAAAATCGCACAACGGGTGCAAACAAGGTCGCCGAAGCAGTGTAGGGAGCGCTACCACCAAAACCTGAAGCCTGGTCTCAACCACAGCCCCATCACGCCTGAAGAAGGTGTTGTAATAGAAAAAATGGTTCAAGAGAGGGGGAAAAGATGGGCTGAGATTGCCAGAGCTCTGAACAATCGAAGCGACAATGCGGTCAAGAACTGGTGGAATGGCAGTATGAACCGCCGGCAACGCCTAATGCGTAGAGCAGCTGAAAACCACCATGCAAGAGTGTATGGGCAAGATATCTGCGACGAGACTACGCCAGAACAATCACAGGCTTCAGCATCATACCACTGCCACGACCCATACCATCGTCACTCACACTCGAGCTACTCGGGCTGCCCATCCTACGGACAACAAGAACAGCATACGCATAATGAATACTACGAGCAGCCTGCATTTGTCCGGGAACATACTGTAGTATCCCGCTCAGGCTCTCCCCATACATATACATCTATATACCCCCCTCGTCTTCGATCTACTGATCCTTCTACCTATGGTATAACCTCACCATATAACTATCAGATTCGTCGTACCAAATCGTGGGACAACCATTCGGAGCTTTCAGGGCTCCCATCGCCGTCTACATCGTCGTCACCCCTTATTGAGCCTCTTGAACCGCCTACTCCTGCTCCCTGGAAGCTGGATCATAGCTTAACGAACCGCCCTATGCGCATTCCTAGCTACTCACGAGAGTCTCTCCCTGTACTGCCCCCACTACGGTCCGAGGATTCGCCCTCGCCGTCACGCGAGTTTGAAGCATTAAATCTTAGGAATGATCCGCAACCAGTAATGGACGATGTTGGTCGAAAGGTGTCAAAATTACCGCCGATCAGTGAATGCATCTCAAGATATGATGAATTACATTACCAACTGCGAACAGCACCCAGCACACCACGACGTCATCCGGAGAGACAACCGGAACAACCTAGTTCGGCCTCGGGATCTCCATACTCACCACGCGGAGACAAATATCACGAAGTGAAACGCAAGATGGAATTGCGATTTCTGGCTCAATAAACGTGCGATGCTCTAGCGAATGGTCGCTTTTTGGATTATATTCACAAATAGCAAAGGAAAAAAACCGCTGAATAACGGTGAAGTTATTATATTGGCGAATAAGAAAATTTCCATATTTGGTGTCTATCCTGTGTTAGAATTTGGAGGGTATATGTTTGCCAATACAAATATCGGATAAGTTTCCATGGCTTAGAAGATTATGACAGGTGGTTGGCTTTGGAAGCAATTGCATTTTCATTATTTGTCACGATAGTTACCTGATATATATCTGATAGAGCGGGAAGCACGAGAGATTTCCTGGATTGAGCTGGCCGAATGATAATATTTGGCTAATTTCCAGGGACGCTTGCCGTGCTGGACCTCAGTGGATGAGAGGGACGTACGGGGCGAGAAGACAGAGGATTTCATAATCGTTTTCTCACTTCAATTCCCCAAATTAACCTACTTAGATAAAGGCAATACTTGCGTGATGGGTTAACAAGACAAAATCCTATTTACCCTGGCGACTATATTAAATCGGGTTCGTGCAAGCAAGATTAACCGGGCAGAATTTATATGATACTGATGACACCAACGGCGGGATATGAAGAGCCAGGTGGAACGGCACCCCCTCGCGCGAAGCAAACTGCCCTTCAACGGCGGGCGAGATGGCGTGGCCTCTGATCCTCCTGCTTTGTGAGTAGGAACCGGTCAAAAGTGCTTGACGATGTTGTGGAACGCACCAGGCCTGGGAAAGGAGAGATGATTGTGACCTATATGATCAAAGTTGTCTATCTCGATGTCTCTCCGAGAACAACAGTGAAGCGGACGTTATAGAACTGCTTCAGGGTTAGCCCCTATTCGAGAGCAACCGCTCACAACGCACTGGGAAAGTGTTACAAGGACTAAGATGGTGTAGATGGTATATGCCCGAGGGGAGGAGGTATTGGTTGCGGGACGACCTCTGTGTGCTCTTAAGGCGCAGGCGAAGGATGATAATATAAACGTTGCCGCCTAAGTCCGAGGCGAGTTGGTATCACAAGGGAGGGAACCCCCCTTGTCCGGTTCGACCAACCAGCCGCCGGCATCGCGTTGCAGATCTCTGATCATGCTGCATACATACGCTTTGCTACGCTATCTCTAGTCATCATCATCATCATTATCATCATTTTTTCTTTCTCTTTCTCCTTCTCCACATTGCAACGCTTGATCGCTCTATCAGCTTGGCACAAACCGGTCATGATCCCTTGGGTTTGGATGGTAAGACTACACGATAAAAAGAAATGAATGAATGAATGAACCACGACGCGGGGCACGGGTTGTATACGGCAATGTATTGAGAGAGCTGTATATCCGCGGGTGTCTATCTGGTCAGCGACCAAGCTGTTTTCAGTGCTACCTACCTGGGCATTGCTGTCCATCAGATGCCCTTGCATTATCTGATACCTATATTCGACCTTCATGCAGCAAAACGTTTGCCAGTATATGTGTTGTCTGTATACATGCGCCCTCTACCTTCCCTAAACGCTCGTCATCGTCGACGTTGGCGTTTATCGGCACATCCACCGACTTGGCGGGAAAAACGGCCGCCACTACGAGCCGTGTGCCCCCTTCCTGGGGGATGGGGAAAGGGGGGGGCGGGGCCTTTGGGAGATTGTAGTTATTAACGGGGCTTCTTAAAACGGCGTAGGAATATCTCCCACGGTCGTTTTTTGGTGCAAAGACTCGAAAAAAAGGTAATCTACTAATCTACATGGATGTCTAGGACTCAGCTGGACCTGCGTACATGCCCTCCTACGGCACGTGTAAGGCTACCTATACGCGTATGTGTGGATGTACCTATATATTATACACGTATGATAAGTCTACCATATGCAGCCAGCCGCTCCCTTGCAGACCGCTCTGGATGTAGGCGGAAAGATCAGAAGGTGCATAACATCCGTTTCCTCTCTCTCTCTCTCTCTTTGTGTATGTGTGTGTGTGTGTGTGCCTTCCTCGATGACAAAACAATAGAAGGCAAGGAAAGGCAAGGTAAGCTCGCGCTACCTGACCATCTGGGATGTGCCCCGTCATGGGGATGATTAATAATAGCCAACTATGGGTATGTATATGCGTGTAGACATACTACACACCGCAAATTAACCGCGCGACAGGGACATGGGGAGCAAGGAGGTGGCACTATTTATTCGATAATGGGGACTGCGGAAAGATCCTTCTTCTCCTTATGTATGTATGTGTGTGTGTTGTGTGTGTTCTTCGGTTACCTCCCGGTCCAGTGGAAACCCGACCGTTTTACTGTTGGAGTAGAAGTGTTACCGGTAGCCTGGTACTCACGAGCTGACCGCAGGGGTCTTTTTTCTTTCTTTCTTTCCTCCCTTTCTTTCGTAGTTGTATTTTTTTTGCTTCTTGTTTTATATTAGGTACCTTGGGTATATATGTACATACATACATACTATGTACATCACATTACACGAGGGGACTGGGACTATTATAGAGATGATCTACGTACATATATGCTACCTGGCTACGTACGTGATGAGACAGCCATGCGAGGTCGAGATAGAGTGGCGACCAGGGTTTGTTTGGTGTATGGTGGTGTAGTGTAAGTTGGGGGCGTGATCCGCGGTGCTGTCAGTGGTCTGTCTACGTGGACTTGTAAGTATGTATTCATTCGTTGCATCATTGTACGTATAATCAGGGCGAACCTATTCATATACTCGGATACGTATCCAACTAGATACTGTCATGTAACGTCAATATTCCTAGGTCGCCGATGAGATGCAAGATCCGCTTGCTGGAGATTGTCCTACGTATCATACCGCTGGGGGCGTGTTATATTGGTTTTGTAAGTTTTATTTTACCTTAGGTACATACATACCTTGACCGTCTACGTCTACGAAGCACGTCCATACCTAACCTAACGTTTAGCTATCCACATACGGGGAGACCGTTCCGAGACAAAAAAAAAAAGCATCCGCTGAAGAGACAGGCTTGAGAGACATCGGTTTTACTTTATTACTAATAATTAACTACTGCTTATTCGTAAATAAGGAGAGTTAGATTTCCTACGAGATTGGAAGAAAAGGGGGAAAAATACCTTAGGTACCTGTAAACAGGTAGCAATAAAGAGAGAAAAGGAAAAAAAATAAATAAATAAAGAATAAATAAAAAAGGATCAGCTCGTCGCTTTCTCCGATCTCCGCAAGGTACACAGGCCCGGAGATCTGGGTCGAACACGTTCGGTTATCGAACCAAAAGTATCCCCGTCTCCATTTCATAAGGTTAGGTACCTATACTTTAATCATCTTATCCATGCCCAATTACCACATCGGCACATCCACACCTTACGTAAATCCTTGGCGGTTCAACCAAGCATCGTCCGTCATTTATAATCGAACGACCGGGGAGGAAAAAAAAAAGTATGTGCTTAAGCCTCAACACCCCCTAAGAAAAAGAGGAAAAAAAAGTATATTATAACACGGAGCACAGAACTCGGGAAAAACCGGTCGAACGTTGACCATCTCTGCATTGATGTCTCCGTGCCTGTGGTACCTGAACCCAAGACAAGTCCCCATCCCGGAAACAACCCCGTCCAGTACAACATGTGCCCGGATCCCCCAAGATCTGATACGTACTACTTAGAAATAAGCTTCCCCATACTTACTTGTCATCCATCATAATTCTCCTTGATCACAGGTTTTCCCGGCCGAATATCACCATCACCATCTTCATCTTTCGGCTGCAGTGCAGAGCTTTGCGTCCATCGTGTGTATCTTGCATATTACACACGTGAATAAACGTGCCACTATACTGGTTTTTAGTTACAAGACGCCTTTTATTTAGACGTTATTAGGATCGCGGTTGGACTAACACAAATTTGCATGCGATGAGAAAAAAAAAAAAAAAGCCTGGACTGCTTACAGTCCAAGTCCTCCTCTCACACCTATCCAGGATCGGCCTGGAACCTTGAACGCATAAGCTCCGTGAAAATCACGAATAGGTAATCGAATCCCTGAGAGGATAAATCCCACCCAGACAATCCACCGCATGAGCGCTATTTCCAGTATATTAGGTGGTACGGTATGTAACGCCTCATACATTATCATGGCAATGGTCACTAGCCTTGTCCTTGCCCCTAATTGTCCTCTCCACCGCCTTGGTATACTCACTCCCCTTACCCCCTGGGTGGTAGTGAGAGTACCGTGCGCCTACTAGTTGATTCAAATGCCGAGCTGGGACTCCGGTCCCTGTTATTATCTGGTGGCATTGGAAATGCTATTGGTAATCCTGGGGAATTGAGGTAAGCAGCCACCTCTGGGCTCCCTGTAGTTGCTTGGACCACCGTGTCTAGACTGCTTGCGCAAGATCCTTGGGGTCGGACCTTTTCCGCGGTTGACGACCACTGGGTTTCCCAAGACTCCGGGGAGATAGCCAAGTTATTCACTAATTCTTCACCTATCTCCTCGGCCAAGTTCTCTTTCCCGTCTTTGAAGTCGGGTTTCCGTAGCTCAATATCGCTTTCCTCGTCACCCCCCGCTGCAGCCCCTGCTAGAAGCGCATTTTCGGGCTCGCCGCTTGCAAGAACAGGAGTTGCGTCGTCCCCAGGTACAAATGAAAACCCCGACAGACATCGTAGGCGCCTGTCATCGAGGTGGAGACTTGTATTTACCGACGCCTCTCCGAGCCTATAGCTACTCAGGCGCCCATGAACTTTCCCCAGGTGTAAAGAGGCGTCCTCACTACTACCACTGTGGTGTGTCTCGCAGTCCAGTAAGTCTTCTAGGATTTGCCGCCTGGCTTGCTTTCTCTGCCACCCGCATGGCCTTATCCTTGTTTCCGTCCTGCTTTCCATGTCGGACGCGTCGGATATGTCATCCGAAAATAGTGGCCTTGGTCTTTTGTCGCTAACAGGGCCTGTGGGCTGCTCTGAATATCTCTCTGTTTTAAGTGTCTCTTCACTTGATGCTGTTGCTGTTTCGTAGCGACGCCTGCTTCGAAGGTGGCCCATTCTAACCTGAGTTACGGTGTCACGTCGCCGTATCCTTTCGCTCATAAGGAAGTCGCAGTTCCTATCGAGAACCTTGGGCACAGGCTTGGGTTCTTCTTTGAATACGTCTCCAGGTAGGTAAGGAGACGTCTCTGCAAATATGCATGTCAGATACTCGTGCCAAGTAGAAAGGCACCGGGGTGGAAATCAGATGTACTTACCTTGTATGGTTTGCGTACTGAGGCGCTTCAGTCTGGAGACGAACTGCTTGGCCTCGGGGCCGTTCCTATCCACGACGCTGTTTGTTCTGGCCAGCGCTACTGCTTCCAGACCATCGCTAGAGGTCCTTGATAGCAGCACTTCGAGCCTCTTGATTTCAGCCTTATACTGACCTTCGCGTTCCAGCCATTCGTCAGCTACAGACTTGAAATGCTCTAGGTGATGCTCAAGCGAGTGTCTCGCTTCGACATAGGCGGAATCGACAGTCTGGATCCGCTCCTGGACATTAGCGAAGCCTTCGATTAGGTGTAGGATGTAAGGGTTGTACTTGATCGGGATCGGTCGTAGTGTCCCCTGGGTCATCAGGACAACTTGGAGCGCCTCGACCATCTGATCTAGTGAAGGGTTATACCATATCTTGTCCTGTTCACGAACAAACAAGCTAGCATCAATGCTGGCGGTCAAAGGTTCCAGGGAAGAGTGGCTAGTCAGACTTAAGTTGCTAGCAGCCTGTCTCGGCCCGCGTCCGGGCGATGTTGGCGTCCGGGGTATGCTGGGAGTGCGAGAGCGCTGGCCGAGCCGAAGCCAACTAAAGTCGGCCATGTTGCAAACGTATCGGTTGTTTCAATATGACAGGAACAAGGCGAAGCAGTTTAATTGCATGAGAATGGTATGAAGTTATATTATGCGTTACGCGTTACGCGTGATATCAAAGTCGTGATGCTTGGGAACGATGTTGAAGGAGTGGGAAAAGGGGGATGTTAGAGAGAAGAGAGTCGAAAAGAAGAGACCTGAGTCGAAAAGACGAAGTCGAAAAGACGAAGTCGGAAAAGGAAAAGTCGGAAAACAAGAGGAAAGCTCAACGGCTCGGTCGGTGGGTTTGTACTGTTGGTCAAATGGAAGTCGCAATCGACTGTTTACAGTTGGAGGTCAACCATTGGAAGTCGTGGTTGGCTATACCCAGGCAACTGCGCGACTGCCAGGTAATCGTAGATCTACCTAACGCGTATTGCATACATGCAATGCAATGTAGGTATACCTTAGGTAAGGTATAAATAAATACGGTATAAATACCTACCTAAAGTAAGGCTACCAAAGGTACGCATAACCGAAACACTAAGGAGGGAGGTATTGAATATAGGCAAATTCGAAAAACACCATGTTCCTTGATCCTCTCTTAATGCACTCGCCGAACGATGCTATATATAAGTGTTATTACATGATACTCACCTCTTTGTTGTATAAGCCTGTTACCCTCCTCTCCCCGTCCTAGAATCCATATCGCATTGCCTGCTTCTAGCCTGCTCCTATATTATCAGTCAAATAAATCCCCAGCTCTTTGCCGTTGTCTTGATCTACCCTCTATTCTATCCGCAAAGAGCTCCTTTCCGGCATTGGCCCCTAATTTTTCTGGGAACAGTTCCTTCGCTGACTTGCCTGCGCTACCCTTAATCGCAAATCCCTGGTTCGCACTTCTCTGACTTGCCGTGCCGCGGATATTGAACCCTGAATCTCTAGACTTGTCCGCACTTGTGATCCTGTCTGCCAATTTACTCTTTCCCGGAACTGTAATCCTGTCTTCGAGTTTAAGCCCTGGCGTTGCCCGACTATCGTCTCTCTCGTCCATTAGAGGTAGCATGATCCCCTTGGCTAGTAAAGTGCTTGTATCCTCCACCTCATCCCCGAGCCGCCCGGACTCCTCACCTGACCTATCTGGGAAAAGTTCCCTGACCCTGTTGCTACGTGATATGCGGCTCTTGATTGCACGTGCTCTGTCACGGTTTCGAGCTGCTAATCCTTCATTTGCAATATCATCCATTGTCTGGTTGCTATCTCGACCACGGGGTGAAGCTGATCGCCTCCTCCGAGACTCGTTCCGGCCGTTTGGATTGTCGGGAAATAACTCCTTACCGCGATTGCCAGGATGATACGAATCCCTTCCATATCCATCTTCGCTCGTATCTGGTGTGTAGGACCGCCTATGCCGAGGTCGTGAATATGATGCGCGGCGAGATAAAGCCGCCTCGTCGTCGTCATATAGGTTGACATCGAACTGTTCCTCGGCCTCCCGGTCTCGAGCTTCCCTTGTTCGCCTACGGTTATACCCTTCACCATCCCGGTCGCGATACCTCCGGGCCTCGTTGCGCCGCCGTCGCTCCTCAGGGTCGTACTCAGGATTAAGAAGGTAGAAGCGACTTCTCGAAGCAGCGCCCGCCTGTTTCTTATCGGATGCGACAGCTAGGCGTACTTGTAACACGACCTCCGGCCTCTTTGAGAATGGCTTGGCAAATATAAGTTGTCGTAAGGGAAGTTGAGATACGTCCTGTTTGTCTTGGGCCGATAAGAAGCTGAGAGCGCGGGGCGCAACTGATTCGGAACTAAATAGCAGGTTTGCTGAGGAATCGTCTATCCATTCTATCCTTTCCAATGGTTCTTCTGGAAAGTGTTCTGCAACGTAAGTCTTGACCTCCTCGGGGTTCATGACGTCGAGACCTGTGATGTGGACTTTTCCGGGTATAACAGTATCATCGTCCACTATTTCCCCAGGTGAGCGATTGCCCTGAAAAGACATAAGTTAGCATCATATCTCGTCTTCTGTAGGGTAGGTTATTGGTAGTAGATCATACAGGTGCGTCTTGAAACTCTGGCTCGGGAATTATTGGCTCGTCAGGCACGAGGTCGACATCTACGTCCATCTCCATGTCGAGATCCAGTGTATCCATCTTGCCTGGTATCTACCCGCCAAGGCGCGTTGTAGCTGGTAGAGGTCGAATTGTAGGGCGCTGGTCGAGTGCAGTTCTCGATCAGGAAGGTGAAAGGCGCGACGAAAAGAAGTACCTGAACAATCGAAACAAGCTAAAGGAAGATCCGGGAACCTTGAGCTACGGGTTTCGTTTTGATATTGGTCGGTGGGTATATTGCCGCGATGCGATTGTGGATAGCGAGTATCGTGTGGAATCGGAATGATTTGTCGATTGAGGTTCAAACTGCTTTTATGGTGGAATCGGAAGATGGGTATGAGAGAGGAATAAATCAGAAATCACGGAGGTGCGTAGAATATTCAAGGGGAATTATAATTGCACCGCCCTCGCTCTATTTGATGTGCCGTGCCTATCCAATGGAATTTGTGATGAAGTTGAAGCTTTCAAAGTAGCTTAGTGTACTCAGGTACCCGTCCTTTTAGATACTTACTACCTACTTAGCTGACTAACCCCCACATTCAGGGGTGGGCCTTTTCTTCCTCTAATCTTTGCTACATAGTACCTATGTACCGCTTTGTCCCACGTGTCTGTCTCATTCACAACAATGACCAAGCATATTAGAAACAATACAGTTTATACATTGTATATATCTAGATAGGTACCTAGAACAGGTAACTATATCGCCTCTTACACGTGTTATATCAGATATATACCTCATGAGAACTGGATGACCTGATATTTAATATGATAATGAATGATAAGTATTCCCCCCCCTTTCCCTTTCTTCAACTCCAACCATCCAACCAGGTCCTCCAAGCCTGGCGTACCGAGTCCCATCGCTCGGATACACTTTAAACCTTTGAATAACGCAATGGCACTGTATATGTAAGCCAGTGTAAGACGAGGCAGCTTGTCCGGTTTCATGTGGCTTGTGTGTTAACAGTTGAGTTGTCGGGGCCTTTTCTTTCCCTTTCTTCTTTCCTCTCTATGTCGACAATCTTCACCGCTACTCGTTCGCATTTCGCTCTGTCTGATTGTATAATTTCCACGTCTGTCTTCCACTTACAGCTTAAAAAACCTTTAGCCTCTTGACGCTCCCAATCTGCTGCTTAGAACTCTCTACCACACCATCATATCTTGACTTAAAAAAAAAGTGTGTACTCTTCGTCGTCGTCGTCGTCATCACCGTCTCCCTTCGCGTCCGCCTTGTGGATATACAAACTATCCGACCAGAACTTGGCTGTTTGAAGGCAAATAGGTAAATAGGGAAGAAGGGGCGAGGGTAATTAAGCTTGTAGGAATCCATTGGTATTTCTTCCCTGTTGTCTGTTTGCGCCCCATCTCCTAGGGAAAAGGGAAAGAAAAGAAAAGAGATACGCCCTCCCATGTCTATCTGCACTTTATCGTGCTGCTTCTATAATGGTATATCCAACCCCAAAGTCTAAACCGTCTCCACTCCCTGTCTACGAACTTCCATGGGTGCTTGCATACATGTTCGTGGTAGTTTTTGTCGCGAACTGTCATTTACTTCATTCGGCGACATTGAACTCATACTTGGCGTCCGCGACATCTCTGATGCTGTCCTTTTTAAGGAGGGTAAAGGCGGTACGATCTCCCCCGCCGACCTTCCATCTTCCATCTCGCTATTAAAATCCTCAAAATTATCGTTCGGGTCAAGTAGCGGATCGTAGGCCCAACATTCCTCAAGACCTTCTAGATAGCACGGCGACCGCCTCAGGAATTGCCATGAGAAGGTATCCGTAAGCATTGCAATGTACATGGACTCTACCTTGCCATTTGGCAAGCAAACAGCGCAATACTTGCGTAGAAAATCAAGATCGTAATTTCCACTGACTAAAGTTGGGTCTAGGGGTTTCAGCATCGGAAGGCCCTGCAACGTTGCGGCGTCACAGAGCCGGGCCTGCAGCGGGACCCACTCCCTACCTCGGAGGAGTCTTCCGAAAGCTTTCGACACGGCTCTAGCGAAGGACTCGCCGTCTGTTCCTCCAACTGCGATCATTTGGTGGAGTCCACGGGATAGACACCGCTTGTACGCATTTGTGTCCTTCTCGAAAGGGAATGGCTGCGAGGCTGTCGGAAGAAGCGAGATATGCACAGTCCAAGATCCTGTCACCTCTACTGGACCACTTTCGGTAGACCCGCGGCGAGAACCCGAGACTGAAGTCGGTGTGGATCGCGCTGTATCACGATTATCTAACAGACGGGAGCGGCGTGCTACCTTGAAGTTTTTTGAGTCTTCTGAACCTGACGTGGATCGTCGTCTGCGCCTACGGAATGGAATACATTGGCAGTCCTGTTCCTCCAAAGCATCTACGCGCTCTTCAAGAACCATGGATGCTTCATCAAACTCCATCAACCTATCGCTTAATCCCTGTAGAGTGTCGACATGGCCATCTAGCCGTTCGTCAAACATAAGAAGACGATCTTCGTATCCGGTTTGCTGCTTTTCAAGCTGGGTGACTGACTGCCACATACGGTCAACGTTTTTGTAACAGCTTTTCATTTCCTGGCTGGTCTCGTCTTTATTTTTTTCGACCTGTTCCTCCAGGTCCCCTAGCCGCCGAACCACGCTGCCCAACGCGCCGCCAAGCCCCCCATCATTCTCTCGGTCAAGCTGATCCTCAAGTAGCTTGATGCGCCGGCGAAGGATGTCAACTTCATTCTTATTTGGTGGTGGTTCAGCAGACTGGATGTGGTAGCATGAGAGATGCCCACAGTCGCAGGTGACACCTGGGAGAGCCCGATTGATAGTAAAGCCGACACAGGCACAGCGCTGCCCCTTGATTTCCGGGTTCAGCAAAATGTACCGGCACTGTCCGCTGGGGAGCTTATTCTCATCGATGTGTTGACTAGGTTCCACAGGTTCCACCTGTGGTGATTGCGAAGAGGGTTCAGACATTGTCTGTTATTTCTGTTACACAGCAACAAATCCAATCCAAGACCGGAGGATGCCTTCAGAATACGAGACTCCGCCTTGAGGCCACCCAAGCAAGGGTACTCAGCGTTATATTGTGCACGAACAGTAGAGCACACACTCCAAGGTTAGTTAATGCTATCGTACGCAGCGCGCGAAGTACAGGAGCGAGACAGCGGGGTATACTTGGTCCATGGAACAAATTGAAATGCCCATATACCGAATTCCCGGAAGTTAGGGATGGGTTTGCTCACGACCGTAGGAAAGCCGTGTTTTTGTGTGTTCCTGGACCAGGAGATGGTGGTGTGTTAAGAATGGGAGTGGGAAGAATCCCCAGTGTGATATAATAAGGATATGACTTGGTGGTATGCTGGTGAAAGAGACCGGGTCCCACAATCCGTTATCAAACTCCCCGCGGCGCTCGAAGCCAGGTGCCGGGCGGTAACTGGTGGAGGCCGATGTAGGTACGTTCCCTAGGGTGTAACGAAAGACGCCGCAGTCAAGACAAAGACGTACTGGCTGACGGCAGATAACATGTACAAGATATGTATTAAATCAGTTGGGAAGATGATGTACCCGATGGATAAAAAGAGGTTGACGCAAAGAAAAGGGACAGAGTGTGTGCTTTGGGGGACGAGTGTACAAAATGCGTGGACGGATGTGTTCGAATGGGATCCGCTGCAGATAAACCGATAGGCCAGAAGGGGTCCGAGTTATCAGATACCGCGCAAGGATTGGCAAGGACCCGGCACAGTTCGGATCGCCAGACCTGATATTCTTTTTCCACCACTTGTTATAATAGAAGATATTATTATCAGATAAATGATGAACGATGAACGAGGGATGAGGGATGGGTGGTGGCCCAATCGCGGGCATTTGCTATTGTGAGTCTGACATAAAAGTAGAATTGCTCATGGTGATCGGTTCTTTGCCAACTTCGAGAAAGTCTGAGTAGGCCCGAATCGGGAGATGCGAGTATTTTTGCGGGAGGAAGATCTGGGGGGAGCTAGTAGTAAGTAGTCTGGTAGCCTGGTAGCCTGGCAGCCTACACTAGAAGAGAGTCAAGGGTAATGTGGGCAGATGAGGGACAAGAGATGAATAAGAAAAAGAGTAGTAATGAGATATTGGAAGGGGGAAGGAGAATCATCTAGGTTAGGTACTCTATTGCGACCGGGAAGGCGACACCACATCCTAGGGTAAGTACAATCAACACCTAACCGCCTACCTTCTACCTTTTCCAACCTACAGAAGGTAGATGTATTAGGACGTATGTAAGTTCTAGGTTATGTACCTATGTACGTGCAAATGCATGCTACTGAGTGGTACTTTGGTATAACACGGGACGTTGCGACATTTGACATGTGCAGAGAAAGGAACGCTTAGAATTAAAAAATCAAAAGGAAAAAAAAATCAAAAAATCTGGCCTGCAATTTCTTACCGCAAACTTTAATCAATTATCACAAATTTCTCTGATTTGCCATCCCTGCCGCCCAAGGTCAGCGTTTTACTGCAGAAGGAAGCACGTAAAAGCCACAATGCCACATGGATTTGCCGCAGGTGTTGGTTAGATTTTGGTTACTTACGTACATAAAGTATGCAAGTATGTAACTCTTAAGAGGCATAAAGGCATTTAGGAACGGGGGCAGGTGGAGACTATCTCTTGTGACATCTCGTGTGTGGGGGTTCCTTCTCTAGACCGATAAGGAGAAGACGGGAGGGCGAGAACGTCTTGGATATCGGTCATTGGTCCGGTTGTTCCCACTGTTCTCACTGTTCCCACTCGGGGGTTGACCCCCCACACTCTTTCTCTGGCAATGCTATGGCCAGATACTTATTACATTAGGTACATCCTACCTAATGCCATACATGTATTAGGTATGTAGGTGGTGCCATAGTATATTCAAATGCAACCGCAACCCATGTCTACAACGTCCCGATGCTGTCTTACTAGTGTATAGTACGTACAATTGGCCTCGGCCATCACAAGCCAGCTTATACCTTAGGTATAGCGCGTAGCTACCTTAGGTAGGTATATTTGTATAAGTGAGAAATGATGAAACCGACCGGTGAGTACGTAATCAGCCCGGTTTTTCTACCGATCTTATAAGACGGGTATACTATTATAAGTGCGCCGTCGTGGAGAGTGTTAGGTATCTTAGCATTTAAAAACAGGTTGGTACTATGTACCTAACCTTGTGGGCCATCATGTAAGGGTTTGCAGAGTATTGCAGAGTATTTTACTTTGAGGTAGTAGATACCAAAGAACCGGACCAATACGGAATGCCCCATCCACCTAGGTGGTCTTGTGTTGCGGCTTGCCTGCGTTTATGGCGTGCATCAGATCCATTAAATAAATCGTGGGTACGCAACAAGCGGTCGCGATGACTAGAAACAAGCGAGTATCTTACCCAAGCGACCGTCACCCTGCGAGCCTCTGGGTGGAAGTGAGCAAAATTCGGGATATATACCGAGAATGAAAGACCACAAGACGATGTCAGCCAGCAGTACCTAATATGTGTACAAGTATAAGAGGTACCGGCCGGGTTAGTTGTCATTGTTAAGGCCAACGTTGTACAATGCCACATGCCTGGGACCGTTAGACGAGGATTATACAAGGCTATGATTGGATAATGATCGGAATTATGAGCATATATAAAGGCGTCGTACTCGGTACAATGGGGGATGACGGGATGGCGCAATAAATAGACTAATCCATCGAATCTGTTGCGTAATAATCTCTCAATCCGTTGGTTCCATGTATGTGCAGTACTGATGTATGTGAGCGGTAGATCCAAGTTAAAATTGGAATACGGGTACTTGGGCTACGAATCTTTATACTATGTAGACTACCTGCTAATCATGTACCTGTAAATATGAATACGTGGGCGATATGATATACGTACATAGTATGTGCGTATGATTGCGCATGTCTGAATCTCGAGATAGATATCTTGATGCTTGGGTGCTTGGATGCATTGAGCTGTAGGCAACCTTACAATCTGCGCATATAAAACCATATCATACTTACCCATGTATCATACATACGATGATACGCCCTACCCCCACGCCGTGGATATTTCCGCCTGACAAGGGTCGCCTCCAGCGTTTTGTCCTTCTTGGGCATATTTATTTATCTTGCTCACCTCACCTCGAGCAGACAAAACACCTCTGATATCAACAAGGCCCAATAGGGGACGAATGAAGCGTTGGACACACTCTCAGCTCTCCTGGCTACTTTGATAAGCTATCATTTCACCTTCCAATCCCAATGCTCGACCAGCTCAGGGTCGCGTGCCACAGATATTTGTGAGATCTGCTCCTCGGATTGCATCACTGTGGTTCCTACGGGCTCATAACTGCACAAAGGTCACAATACGATTGCGTATCCCGGTGTTCATGCGCTACTTTTTTTTTTTTTTTTTTTTTTTCGTTTCTCTTGAGTTGACCGCCTCTTCGTATGGCGGTATCGAAGAGAAAATGACATCGTTGTCATCCGCTATGAGGGAAAAAGAAAAAGTCAATATCTTGGACGGGTCTGAAGCCCTGTGCCACTATCTGATACTACCATCCCCGCGAGGTAGAAACAAAGGCTAGTAGGACATTCATCCCGAAGCAATCCATAACTTGTCCTCCTCATCGGCGTTCGAGCTTAGGCCAAGGGAGGCCCAGCAAGTCAAATTACAACCAATTACAGGACAATACGTCGGCGTGCATAAACTTCAAAAAGATGGGCGAGAACTATAAGGGAGAAGAGGTGAGTTGTACGGAATAGAACTAGGCGTATCAAAATGTTCACGTCGTTTATGGCGCTTATGCATTCTTATTGGAAAAGAAGAAAATAAAAATAATATAAAAAAAGAAGAAGAGGTGAATAAGGATAAGGAATCAGAAAACGATCTTATTAGCTGCTTGCTTGATCTGAAAGTTGTAGGTAGGCAATTTCTTAATAAGTCATTTCTTGATAAGATAAGATAAATACCCTAGCTCATATATTTTCCATCCCACAAATTATGAGAGAGGCTACCTAACCTAATGTTAGTTACCTATAAGCTGTAAAGAAGTGGGTATACGTACCTAGGTGGAAATACACTGTAGGGAAGCTACTCAAAGGTATCTAGCCACCCAAATTTGCCCATAAAGTACATGTATCTTATATTCGAGTGAAGGCCCAAGGGTGCTTGAGGTACCCGTGCTAAACCCCACCGCCGTCCAGACTTGGGAACATCCAACTACATCCCACTTCCACTTACATAGTACACATTATACGTATACCACAACGCAACGTATGTCGCTTCGCCTAGACAATAATCAACGACCACACATCACTGCAGCCTTTAGATTATTGTTTACGACCTTATAATCTAAAGGCTAGCTACCGCAGCTTCCTCTTCGGCCATGGCGAATGCCGCTGCTAAGCTCACCTCCCTCTTGCGAGCCTCGACCATCCAAGACCACGATGAAGTCTTGGAAGCTGCCAATGCATCCATAAAAGCCTCTAAAAAGGATATCGAAGCCCAGCGCACACGTGTCATTGCCCTTTTAAAGCTAGATCGCTTCGAAGACGCCCTCCGAGCCATAGCCGAAGGCGGGGATGAATTAGAGAAAGAATGCGTTTTTGAGAAGTCTTATGCTCTTTACAAATCCGGCCAGCTTGAAGACGCTGCAAAAACACTCGAGAAAGCTCCCCCATCCTCCAAGTCCTCCCGTCCCTTTCGCCATCTGGCCGCTCAGATCGCCTACCGCGCCGAGAAATTTCCGGATGCAGCAGATGCCTACCGCCATCTTCTAGAAGAACAAAGAGGCCTAGCCGGTGAAGAAAACGATTTGAATATTAATCTTCTCGCTACGAACGCCCAGCTAGAATGGAATGGACTAGGTCATCTACTAAGGGAGCAAGAGAGACAACCCTCGCGTGACCATCTCGAGGCTTTTGAGACGGCGTACAATGCTGCATGTACGTGTATCGCCAGGGGCGACTTGAACCGCGCATCTGTCTTCCTCAAGCGAGCGCAGGATTTATGCGAAGCTAGCGAGGATATATCTGCGGACGAGAAGAAGACCGAACTGCTACCTATTATGGTACAACAAGCCTACGTTCTCACCAGGTTAGGCAAGGAAGCAGAGGCGGCAGCTTTGCATAAATCCATTGTGATATCCGAGTGAGTAAGCTACAGGTCTCAATTGATGTTTGTATTCTAACCTCGGGCAGGATTCCGGAGGCGTCAACAAGAGCAGTCGCACAGAATAACCAGATCGCCATCGGAGCTGCAGGAAGGAATCCCTTCCTTACACAGCGCATTTTCCAGTCGGTCACTAAACTCTCTGGAAGTGATAAGCTCTTCGCTTACCAGACATCTATTTTGAAACAAAATGAATATGCTATAGATCTGCAGGCGCAAAAGTTTGATGGTATTGAGTCTTCTACCTCAAAAAGAGTCCTACAAAGCCCATCTCCCACAAGCTCCGTGGAAATTGCAGGCCTCGGAGTCATTAACGCGGCCGCTCATACCCGTCTGCAGACCGGCGACGAGTCTCTAAAACAAATTCTGCATCTCCTTGAGAAACGCCCGACAGACATCGGCCTTCTATTAACCATCATTCAATTATATGTACAATTAAAGAAACCTGGCCCAGCATTAAGTCTCTTGGAAGCTTTTCTCAAGCGCCTTGAAACAGCATTAACTCCCGACTTTGAGGATGTACGCTTCGCACCCGGTCTGGTCGCGGTGACCGTGGCCCTGTATCGGCTCCAAGGACGCCAGAACTCTATACGCACAGAATTAGCAAGAGCATCCACACACTGGCGCTCAAAATCAAAAGATTCTGCTTCTTCTCTTCTCCGCGAAGCCGGTATTGAGCTCCTCAAGTCTTCTAATCGTGAGGACATCGCATTGGCAGGAGAGTCATTCGAAACTTTAGTCGTTCAATCTGAAAAAGACTTGATCGCAGTCGCTGGCTTCGTAGCCTCCTTCGCAAACGAGGACTACGCCAAAATTGAGCGGTATCTGCCGAGCCTAACTCCAGTCGAGCGTCTCACAGCCGGCGCAAACGCCGCCGCTCTAGTCGCTGCGGGCGTAGCTTCGATTCCCACGCCGACTGCGCCCACGAGCAAGAAGCGCCCCGCGGAGCACGAGCCGGAAAAACCAGCATCCGCCAAGCGCCGGCGCAAGAAGCGGCTACCCAAAAACTACGAGGAAGGCAAGCTCCCCGATCCGGAGAGGTGGCTCCCTCTGCGCGACCGCAGCACGTACAGACCCAAGGGCAAGAAAGGCCGCAAGCGGGCCCAGGAGTCCACACAGGGCGGCGTTGTCAAGGAGGAGGAGACGCTTGAGCTGGTCGGCGGCGCGGGGGCCGTGAAGGTGGAAAAGGCGTCCGCGGTGCAAGGGGGAAAGAAGAAGAAAAAGGGCAAGAAATAGGTTAGGGGTATTGTAGGAAAAGGGAAGGAAAGTAAAAATCAGGATATTTAGCATGATCGAATACAATGCCACCACGTGTCTTGGAATAAGAGACATGAAAATGACAAAACGCTTCTTTCCATATGATATTGGTTGCTGTGAACACTACTTCTTAGTCAGTAATAGGCACTCCGTACTCGGATTTGGGGAATAATTATAAAAATTATGTATTCTATCTCGAGAAGTAGTATATTCACATAGCAGAAAGGCGCATAAGACGTCATTAACAAAGGGCGAAATTTATAAAGGAGTGCTGCTAGAAGTCCATGTATATACAGTAATTACCGTAACGCGTATACTCCGCTCCGTCTCCATCCAGGACTCTCCAGCGAAGTAACCTGGTGTTGTAAATACCGGCAGGGGGAGGTGTTATTTTGTTTGTTGATTTGTTTGTTTGTTTCGGATCGGATGCTCTTTGCCCTCTCTGTCTTTCGTCGGAAGCACTGATGCCCCCTTTTCTCTATCAGTACATACAACACACGTTTATTAGATTGTTGTTGTCATCTCTCTTTTTTTTTTTTTCAAGCGCTTGTAGTTCGAGAGCGTGTGTAGCCGTTTCCCGTTCGCCTTGTCCTGTTATGAATCCGAACCCTCTATAAACTCCTATGCAATGGTGGTTATTAAAACCGTTCCCCGTCAGAACCAAAACAACACAACGCAACAAGTACCACGGCATTTATGGTTTGTAACCACGTTAAAAAAAAAAGACAAAAAAAAGAGGAAGAAGAATTACGCGCCAACTGTCTGGATGACGGGGCTGGGTAGCTGCTCTATATCCTGGGACTCCTCCTCATCTTTTTCTCCCGCCTCTGACGCTTTCTGGGTAGGAGAAATAGGGGGCTCGGGCGTATAAAATCGAGCCTGTGATACCCGACCCTCTTCGAGACTTTCGTCTTCATCGTCTAGAGGTGGCAAAGGTGATCTTCGACCATCCGAGAAGCTTATAGCTGCGTCGCTATCTTCATCAGATGGAACTGTCAAGCCTCCTGTGACTGTGTAGCGGTGAGTCTTCGACGACGAATATTTCCGGTGCAGCTCCCGGAAAGATCGAGCAGTCGCCGTGCTAGCGCTAGCACCCGATCCTCGCCGAGCAGATCGTTCTCGAGGACTAGAGAGGACTGAGTGAAAGTCGTCATCCGTGCTTGTGAGGGAATCAAATTTGTGCTCGTCGCTTTGGTATGATTGTTTACGCTGCCTTAAGCGTTCATCAGTGGACATATTCTGCAATTCACTCCCAAAATTGACAATAGACGCCTTCTTGCCATGTACCGTAAAGCTACCGGTACCACGAGTGAGGACATCGTTCTCCCGAACTGTCTCCTCCGACATACCGCCGCTAGACGCGGAATCTTTGCCCTTCCTACTGCGATGGTGAGACAAATGACCCGTGCCGTCTCTTAATGTACGATGGAGACTACGGCGAATCTTGCTTCTTTCGAGCCCTTCTTTATCTGCCCCTGAGACGCTTGTACGTTTGGGTCGGTTCGAGCTATCCTCGTGAATCTTGCCAGAGGAAGTACGCTTGTGACCTAATGCCCGAACCGAGTCCATCTCCAGAAGGCCCGCCTCTTCGAGTATCTGCCTTTCACCTTCATCCTCTTCGGCTTGTTCATCAATGGCGTCCGTATCTTGTCCAATGACTGGGCTGGACGCTTTCCGGGATAGTGTGGCCGCAGTGGCTGGCCTCGACGAAGAGGCTACGCTTGAAACAGATGTTTTCCGAGTTTTAATATTGTCGGAACTGACTGGCGGCACATCTTGTGAAGTTTGAGCGTTGTGAAATGACGGGTCGGTGGCCGAGGTCGGAGGGGTTACAAAGTCTTCTAACGCTGGGGAGTCTCCATCTATCTGATTCACAGATTCGTCTGACTGAGATGATGAAAGCGGAGCAGGAGTTTGCGATGTCTGTTGTGTACTATGAGGACCGGATATCGACTCTTTATTTCCAGGTACCGATTTCTCAGTCGAATCAATCCCCATCATATACACCCCTAAATCGCCGTTGATCTCCTTCTCCTCTTCAAGATCTAAAGCAAGGATATCGCGGTGGCATTTTAATTTCCAGATTTCTGTTCGAGACCATTTTAGCTGCGCAATGATCTTCGCAGCGCCTCCTCGAACCTGGTCCCGGGTTTTATCCTGAATTGGAGCTAGGATTAGTAAATGCCTGGCATTCCTGAGTTGCGTCTCTAGAACTTTTTGTGCGTGCTGAAGTTTCTCGTCAGCCTCTTCAATCTTCTGACGTATAATTTCTCGACGGGCAACGAGGATGTCCCGAGCCATCTGATGGTCGATCCGACTTCGGTTGATGCTGACTTCTCCACTGGGCGTTTGAATGAGCTGAGTGGCATCCGGACTGTCCAGTCTCCTGATAGCACGTCGACCTTGACCTTCATAGTTGCCGCCTATAACTCCACGCATTCGTACACCAGACGTCCTGAATGCTGCAGCATAATTCAATTTGGCGAGCCAGTCGTTTCGATCTTCCTCGTTCTGTGCAAGCAGCACTTCCTCTAGCCCGCCATGCCTAACATACACAAAGGAGTTCTTGTGCTTTTTATAATTGGCATCCCAAAGCGCCACAGCACCATCCGTCGACATGAGAGCATCGGGCTTGAATTGTTCGAGGGGCGGGTTGAATATAAGTGGTATCCCATCATGTCCCGACTTAATATGTGTCTCGTACTGGTGCATTAGATTTTTGACCCATGCCGTATTGCGGAAGAAATATAGCTGAGCGCCGGTTAAAATGGCTCCCCATTCTTGCCAGGGCGAGCGCGCCTTCTTTCTCTTAGCATCTTTACGCCATAATAGCCCAACTTTGGTGACTTTAATATCTACAATACCCGGATGGGCTTCTTGTGGATTGTTTGCTGTCTTCTCCGTCATAAAAGCATCTGGGCGGGATCGCGCCGATACAATCTGCAGAACTCCCGTCTTGAAGAAAGTGTTCTGTAATTCTTTCAGATTGAGGTCTTTAGCTGTGCCTAGGTAACTGTAATGTTCCTCTAGTGGAATCTGGTCCTTAAGAGGTGGCCGCAGAGTATCGAGCCGGCCATCCAGGATCAACGTATAGGGATCAATTGGGTCTTTCGACCTTCGTATTGTTTCGGTGGTGGTACTATTCGGAAATGCGGGTTTCTTCTTGGATCGCATGCTACCAGATCGATCACCATTAATGGTCAGATCGTCCTCAACATGAATAAAGGGTGTGTAGCTAATATTGTCATAAAAGCATTCCAGTATATCATCGAAAATACCTTCGCCATGCGTGTTCTTCAAATAATCCGCCTTCTGCATCTTGTACTTATTGTTCTTGTTGAACACATCTGTGTGTAATATAAGGAGGGAAAAGGCTATGAAATATGCTTGGTCCGGGGTAGAATATATACCAGGGTTACATTCATGGTAACGGTTAGCGAAGGCTTGTAGGCATCGATCTATCTGCTGAGTCTCTTTAGGGAGCTCGGCCTCCATGAGAAGCTTCCGGATGGCCATGTCCATAGGCTCTTCGAAGAAACTGAATGTTCGCATGTAACTTCGTAGTACGGCCGCAGAAAAGGGATCTGTCTCCTTGGACAAGGCACTAGCGATAACACCGCGGCTAAACATCTCTTCTAGACGCGCGAGATACTTGGCGGGCGTATCATCTTCCCGGCGCTCAGGTAGCACAACCGATTCCCTATTTATTTGCAGTGAATTGTTTTTCGAAGTGGTCGAGCCTGGAGTTGCGGGAGTCAAGCTCCCGTGTCGTAAGATGTCGGTATTCTGTCGCATACGACTTAATCCTAAAAGGTCACCGAAACTTTTACGACCAGTCGAAGACGAGGTTCGCGTAGTAGCTGGACGTTGGTGTTCGTCGATAAAGTTCTCGCCGAGAGAACTCATAGTGGAAGATCGCCCTCGAAGACCTACGTGCACTCTCGTCGGGGACGACCGTCCAGATTGTCGGGAGGAAGGCCTAAATAATGCCGTAGCAGGGGACCCTGATGGTTTTCCAGATTGGGAGGGAGAAGATAACGGCGCCGATGCATCTTGTCCTAAAGACGGGCGGGATGGGTCTACTGCGAAGCTGGAAGGGCGTGATGAAGTCGAAGAACGTGAGACAGAGGAGGCCGCGCCCGATATTGCGGGCGTCTTTGATTTCTGAGGAAGATGCGCTAGAGGAAACATGGACTCTGGCTGTTTGGGTCTACGGCGAAGACGAAAGAAAGATGTAGGGTTTAAACCGGTTTGCTGCGCAGATGCAGTGTGCTCGTTAAAGCTGCCTTCTGACCTAGAAGACTCGGATAAACGATTCACAGGGGGAGTTAAAGCGCTTTGATCATCGGTAGTGTTGGTCTGCGATCTGGTCAATGTTTCAGACCTCGGGCTCTCTTCGAAAGTCACTGTCTGTTTACTCGACGATGAAGTCGTTCGTTCGTTCATGGGTTTCCTTTTATCTTTCTTGGCCGGAGGTTGAATGAATTTCGTTGTAGGTTCTTGGTCGCCTCTAGGAAGGTCGCTGGATCGGCGCATCCGCAAAGGGATTTTCATGCGTTGTTTCTTAGGTTGCATATCCATGTCCATAGTCATGGTCGGAGCTGTCATGATGATGGCAGGAGCTAAATAGGCCAGTTAGGTTGGAAAGTGAATTTCATGTCAAAGATAATGGGTAATATCGAGAAGGGAGGTTCGAGGAATAAAAAAGACATTACGTACGTTCCGGCATGGGCGGCAGCCTCTCGGCTTGCTGCTGTTGTCTTAATCGGGCCGACAATTGAGAATCGGAAGCATTGCGAAATCTCAGCATACTGAACCTACGATGTTTCGGCGATTCGTCTTGAATTGGGGGTGTCTCGGGACGACTGAAGGGATCTTCGCTTTCTCTTCCAGGAAACATGGACGTGGTAGCTGACATCGCGACGGTGTCGACGGAAGATTTGCTACCTTCGCCATTTCCAGATATACCATCTGCCGTCCCTTCTTCGTTTTCCGCCGCTCCATCGGGGCTCAAAAACGCCTCTGGCTGAGGCTTGCGCGATGACGATTTAGGGGCACTGGACGCCGAATCGACCACAATGGTGTGTCGTCTCATGTCGGTGTCACTAGCCATGACACCTCGACGGCGTAGGAAGGGCATTGCGGTAGACGACAACTCGGCGTCTGAGCAGGAAGAAGACTAGGGGTGCCGTCGGGCTTGGAACAGTGTATACGTACACGGGTATACGGCAACGATAGTAACGGGCGATGGGTGGCTGGAATAGCCGATGATCATCACGCCAAAGAGCTACTACGGCGAAGACCCATCGTCGTGAAGCACGTTGCGAAGGAGTGTAGACGACAAGTGGGTGGATAGAACGGGTGGGATAGGTGTTGAATTCCTTCACGGAGATAGAGGAATCTTTTGGAGACAGGTTATTGTCGCTAAGCTGTTGGAGCTGTCAGACTCGAGATTTACTACGGATGGGCGGCGAGTTATTTTGTCGTACGGCTATGATCGCTCGATTGGACTGTATGGAACTGGATTCGGTTGGATCGACACGATCAGTTAACCGTTCGAACCATTCATTCATTCGTTCATTCGTCCTATGAATGTCTATCAACGGGTGTAAGTTTTTTTTTTTTTTTTCAGGATCTCATCGAGATCAGAGAGGTACAGGAGAGGTACGGGGGGGTTTGGGCTGGGGACTAGGTATTCCGGTACCGTCCGTTGTACGTGGGTGATGTGTTGGTATAAGCAATAAGGTCCGTTGCCAAGTTGCTATTTCTGTAGGTCGTAGAAACAATTAAAAGTTGTTAAGGACCCCTTGAACCTCTTCAGGTTCCTCCTATCTGCCCCCCCTTCCATCCCCGCTGAGAGCCCCATGTTCCTACCTAAAAAGGCGAGGTCGGGTTAACTACACGTGTAGTTATGCACGCTATTTGTTTCGCCTAACCAATGTTCCCCGTAAGTACCCTACTTTCAATGGATACAATCTAAGGTAGGTCTGTACTATTGTAGACGTCCCGTAAGAAAAAGACCCGACAAATTGGATAAAGAGATCAACATACATACTGGCCTCCTCATATATAACTATTAGTTGGATGGTATTTTAACTAGTTAGTTGTGTAGTTGACTTCGTATTTATTAGTACCTAATATTTAATTAGGTATAACTATAGTTATTCCACTACATACCGCCCCATACAACAAAGAAAATTGCACGCTAAAAAGGTATTCTCTCTTATATACTTTAATACTTTAAATATGTTAGCTTAGGTAGCAGCAGATACTTATACCTTCCTCAAGAGGTAGGTACCTAGGTATGATGTATAATATATAGGTATAAGTTCCAATGGCTAGTGTAAATGTAACTTAATGTAACCGGCATAAAAACTCGAAGGTATATAGATGTATACTATTGTAAGGTAATCCAGATATATGAAGCATAGGTAGTTGTACCGTGTAGACATGAGGTACCTAGGTACAGTTTACCTGCATTCAATGGCTGCTTGCGTTATCCACTCCACCCCTCCCCACTCTTTTTACATCTTGAACAGTTTATCATGCACGTCTGTTAAGGACTAGAATCTTAGCCGTTACCTTAGACAAAGTCTAAATTCAAGGCAGGTAGGATTCATCCAACCCTCTCCCGCCCTGCCGCCCTGCCGCCCTCCCGCTCAGCCCGAATTCTAGGCTGCCACCAAAAGAGGCCAATGCCGGACACGTTCCGTAAGCTTCATCCCAACCTTACATACATCTAATCTTATATACATAACATTACCAATTCCACATAACCATTACCTATACGTAGGTGTTACTTTCCTATGCTCTGCGACGTAACGTCGTTTGCTATATAGGTCATTCATCATAATGAGCTTCATTTCTCTTCTTCGTTCCTCCTCCTCCTCCTCCTCTTCATCATCTTCATTATCCATATTCGTCTTTCTTTTACTCCTCTTCTCTATCCCCCACCCTTCCCATGCCACGAGCCTCCCTCGGGTCACTCCGTCCCAACTCCACAATGGCAGATCATACTTCAGCCGCCTGCTCGACATTCCATTCGGGTGGGTTTCGAAAAAGCCTAGCAAGAATTCGAACCAGAACCAGTGGTTTGTAACCCATCCGAAGCTTGTCGAGAATTTACAGAGGTATGAAAATGAGGTTGTGATACGCTTCAATGTCTCGACAGATGCAAACGAGGCTGCTTTAAGAAAGGCTATTGATCAAATGTTGCTCGATGTCTGGGACTTCACTGATAACTACACTGATATACGCATTGAAGCACGTCGTATTCGGCCATTAATGGGTATCCTGCCGCTTTCTTTACAAGATAACCATTTCATTTTAATTCCCGATCTAGCCCGCGCTGTTGCAGCTACATATCCTTCCAATGCTGCCGCACATTCCGTCACCCAATTCCTTTCGAAAGATCGAGGGATCACCCCGGCAAATGACATCCCTTTGCCTAGGAAGCAGGGTGTGGATGACGTTTTCTTTCGCGATTACCAGCCACTTTCTGTCACGTATTCGTGGCTGAAGTTGCTTGACTCGATGTTTCGTGGCCGTGGTCTCGTTCGGATGGTCAATATTGGACGATCGTACGAGGGTCGCGATATACTAGGGTTAAGGGTTGGCATATCTCGTAGTGGCCCGCCGTCGGATAGCCCAGATTCTCGCAAGGATATCATCCTTATTACCGGCGGTATTCACGCAAGAGAGTGGATATCCATAAGCACAGTAAATTACGTTGCGTGGTCCTTTATCAAGTCTGTTGACGAGGATCCCATGATAGCCAAAATTCTACAACATTTCGACATCGTTTTCATTCCTGTCCTAAATCCCGATGGGTACGAGTACACTTGGGACGCCGACCGGCTCTGGCGGAAGTCGAGACAGCGCACCAAGATGCAGTATTGCCCAGGATTCGATCTGGATCACGCATTCGGTTACCGATGGGATGGTACTCAGCACCAGAGTGAACCGTGCTCTGAGAGCTACGGTGGTGACCAACCCTTCGAGGCCGTCGAAGCCGGTGAATTAGCAGACTGGGTGAGGAATGAGACGGACAGCGGCGCCAATTTTGTGGCTTACCTAGACCTCCACTCTTATTCTCAGCAGGTCCTATATCCGTATGCCTATTCCTGTGCCATCCGCCCGCCTAACATCGAGAATTTAAGGGAAGTAGCTATGAATTTAGCTAAACACATGAGGCTTTCTAGCGGAGAAGTCTACACCACTGCGTCAGCCTGTGAAGGAGCCGTTGTAAGCGAAGACTTAGCAGGCTCCATGCGGAATACCCGGAGAGTTCGTATAGAAGCTGGCGGAGGCTCTGCCATTGATTATATTTTTCACGAATTTAGGGCTCGTTACAGCTACCAGATCAAGCTGAGAGATACGGGAAGCTATGGCTTTCTGCTCCCAAGCGAATATATCATTCCAACTGGCGAAGAGCTTTACCAAGCTATGAAATTTTTTGGGGATTATCTCCTTGGTAATAACGGTCATGAGTCATGGTCCCAATCTACCAGCCCCGACCAAAATCCGTCCGAGTCGTTTGATCAGGATGAACAAGACATGGTAGAACTTCGAAAACGACGTCGAAGACGGTGCGTCGATTGTGCATAATTTACCATAATAATTTTAAATATATCAACTCATCTACCTAGCACAAAGTTCTCAGCTTTGGGCGCCTCATTTCTTTTGCCTTACTATTTTTGGCGCTGCTCCCTGCTCTGAGCCATCCATGGTAAGAAACCCAGCTACCACGGCTTGACCTAAGCTCGCAGGCCAGTGCCCATTTACCTATCAATTAATTATCCAAATTGGATTATACTTTCGTTTTGGACATATCATTGATGAGACTAACTTTACCAAGTGGCCTGATATATGTGTTAAATATTATTCCCAAGCCGCGGCTTAGTGGCACATAATGGATTGAGCAAAATGTCTTGGCCTATGACTTATTTGCCCATCTAACGTGGAAACATTTGGGATAATAGAGTTTAATACTTGATCAGAATAGTGTAAATTTCACTTAGTTATAAGGAAATCTAGTTACTCTTTTACTTTTCCCGCGTTAATTCTATTATCTTCCCCCTCCCCTTCCCTTTTTTCTTTCTTTCTATGTTTTCGTCGTCCTAGCTCAATGCCCTAAACTTGAGGGAGCAACTTGATACTAGCGATAACGGCCATAATCTTCAACGCGTTGTCGCACAGGGCGCTGATATAGAAACCGCTGAGCCTACCCGAAGGGCCACCGGATGTGTAACCGGCGGCGTACCACGTGCGTGCAAAGACCCAACCAGCGCCGAGGGCGGCGCTTGCGGTCGGGAACCACAAGCCGGAGATAAGCAAAGCAGTGAGAAAAGACGGCTGGTGCTCGATGAAGTTGGCATGGGCGCGCTGAGCGCAGTTAAACTTGTAAGCCTTGGGGTCTTTGGCGGCCTGTTCCTGGCTAGCGTAGGGGATCGGGTAAGTTAGGCCACTGTTCTTGCGTGCTTTTGCGCTTAGTATGAAGTGGTATGTGTTGACGAAGAGCGAAGAGGCGGCAACGGTCAGGACGTAGCTAGAGATGCGGTTAGTAGCGGCGCGGGAAAGGATCTATGTTGGTGTCGGTTTGAAGGTGCGCTTACCCGTATTCGCTTGGTACTTGGAGTGCATAGGACGCCATTGTGTAATGTAGGTCGATATGTAGATATATATAAATAGGTTATTTAGATGAAATATAGAATTTATGTTGAGATTTAGAAGAAAAGTAGAGATTTATTTATCTTATATAGTGCTATTATATAGCGTTACAAACGGATGGCGGAGAAGATGGGGGGATTCCAGGTCCCTGTGTAGATCGTGAAGCTTCTGCGCAGTTCTGATAGTGCGGGAAACGGTACCTATCTAAGCTATGGACCATGTGGGTAGACCTCTTTTTTTTTTTTTTTTTTTTTTTCTTACTTCTCTACTATCAGGCCGAGACGGGGACATGCTTACACCGGCGGGTGCACTATTAACGTTGAAAAGTAACCGAGCTGAAATGATATTTATTCCTAGTAAGCTTTCCCGCGAGCCGTCGATTTATGAATTTATAATATTATGTAATTCCATTTTGAAACAGCTAAAGTTTCCAACGGTTTTGTACTTGATGCGGTTAAACATTCCCCAATGGACCCTAGGTACTACCGTACAGGAGGTAAGATATTAACCTCGTACCTCGTACCTCATCCATGTACCTAGGTACCTCTAAATATCGGATAAAATTGCTCCGGAATATCCCACTTCCAACCATCCACTGGGCATTGATGGATCCACCACAGGTTAGAAAGGCTAGGTTAGGTACCTAGGTACCTTTCTCCTGACAGCACACGGCTGATCTTCGTCTTGGTCTTGGTCTTGGTCCTTGACAAGGCAATATCGCCATAATACAGAGTTGAACAACTAAGACGATTCACAATAGGATACCGGGAATTTCTGCGAAACATTAGGTACTTGCGACTTCAATTATTCGTATTCCACGATTTCTTTCTCTGCTAAAGCTGGCTATTCTACTTCAATAGGCCCTTCCAGGGCCCGTGAAGCTTCACCATGAGTTCCTGTAAGTTTCGATATAGAAGACAGGTTTTTACACATAACCCACCAAACTCCTGAATACCCTATAACCCCATTTACAATTAATATGGTAGGTTTAACTAACTTCATTTACCCGTGTAGTGAAACAGTTTATTCGCAATGTGCGAGCAGCTAAGACCATCGCCGACGAACGAGCTGTAATCCAAAAGGAGAGCGCCGCCATCAGGGCTAGTTTTCGCGAAGAGAGCCATGACCACAACGTGAGGTGTGCATAAAGCGACACTATTCCCGCTATTCTCGAAAGCCTCGATGCATTTGCTAACTCCCGACGATCGACAGGCGGAACAACGTGGCCAAACTTTTATACCTATTCACACTGGGAGAGAGAACCCATTTCGGTCAAATAGAATGCATCAAGCTGCTCGCTTCTCCCCGGTTCGCAGACAAACGGCTTGGCCATCTGGCTACAAGTCTGTTACTAGATGAGAACCAGGAGGTACTCACACTAGTTACAAATTCGTTAAAAAAGTACATCGCTTATCCTCTCTCAACCGTCTTAGTTACGACCCCAGGCTGACATTTACTTCCTCCCCCAGTGATCTAAGCCACTCCAACCAATATGTCGTGGGTCTCGCCCTTTGTACCCTAGGAAATATCGCTTCGATCGAGATGTCTCGAGACTTGTTCCCCGAAATCGAGACTCTAATTTCGACTGCGAACCCTTATATTAGGAGAAAGGCAGCTCTGTGCGCTATGAGGATATGTCGCAAGGTTCCTGACCTACAAGAGCATTTTGTCGAGAAGGCAGCGCATTTATTGTCGGATAGGAACCATGGCGTGCTTCTTTGCGGACTTACCCTGGTTACGAGCATGTGTGAAGCAGAAGAGGAGGAAGGCGGTGACGAAGGAATCATTGATAAGTTCAAGCAATTCGTCCCAGTTCTGGTCAGGACCTTGAAGGGTCTCGCTACCTCCGGCTATGCGCCCGAACACGATGTCACTGGTATCACGGACCCCTTCCTGCAAGTCAAGATTCTCCGGCTGCTTCGAGTCCTTGTTCGTGGTGACGCCGAAGGAACTGAACAGATCAACGATATCCTCGCCCAGGTTGCTACAAATACCGATTCGTCTAAGAACGTCGGCAATTCAATCCTCTACGAGGCCGTTCGGACGATTCTCGACATTGAAGCGGACTCGGGTCTCCGAGTTCTTGGCGTGAATATTCTTGGCAAGTTCCTTTCTAACCGCGACAATAATATTAGATACGTTGCCCTCAACACATTGATCAAGGTTGTTGCTATCGAGCCAAACGCAGTCCAGCGGCACCGTAATACAATTTTGGACTGTCTACGGGATCCTGATATCAGCATTAGGCGACGCGCTCTAGACCTAAGTTTCACTTTAATTAATGAGAGCAATGTGCGAGTGCTGATTCGAGAATTGCTTGCCTTCCTCGAGGTTGCCGATAACGAATTCAAGCCCAACATGACCAGCCAAATTGGTATCGCGGCCGACCGTTACGCCCCTAATAAGCGGTGGCATGTCGATACTATGCTGCGAGTGCTGACCCTCGCGGGAAATTACGTCAAAGAGCCCATTATGGCGTCGTTCGTCCGACTCGTAGCGACAACACCAGAGCTCCAGACGTACGCCGTTCAAAAGCTATACGCAAATTTAAAGAAGGACATTACCCAGGAGAGTTTAACCCAAGCCGGCGCATGGTGTATTGGTGAATACGGAGACTCCCTGCTTAGGGGCGGACAATATGAAGAGGAGGAATTAGTTCAGGAGGTTAAAGAACACGAAATTGTCGACCTCTTCACCACCATTCTTAACAGTAGCTATGGCACCCAGGTTTCTACCGAATATATAGTCACGGCCCTGGTCAAATTAAGTACGCGTTTCTCAGATCAAACCCAGATAGAACGCATTAAACGACTATTAGAGATCCACCAGACTAGTCTGGATGTTGAGGTCCAACAAAGAGCCGTCGAATACGGTAACCTATTTGCGTACGACGATATACGTCGTGGTGTCTTAGAGAAGATGCCGCCGCCGCAGATCAAGGAGGAGTCTAGGGTACTCGGCGAAGCTGCCAAGAAACCCAAGAAGGGTGCTAACCGCAGGTCGAAGCTCATCGCCAAGCCTACAACAGATCAGGATCTATTAGATCTGATGGGAGACAGCACCACTACGCCCTTAGCCTCACCTACGAGCGGAGGCCAAAGCAATACTGATTTACTTGCCGATATCCTTGGCGGCAGCGCGACCTCACCCCAGGCTACTTCTCCGCTACCTCAACAGAGCAACACGGCATCCATTATGGATCTCTTCTCTCAAGGCTCGAATCAGAGTCCTGCGCCTGCTAGCTCGGGACTGGGCGATCTGGCATCACTCGGCACGCCCCCGCCCCAGCAAGCGGCAGCAGCTCCACCACCGGCTGGTATCCCGTGCTACAATGCAAATGGTCTCAATGTCACTCTCCAATTACAGCGTAACGCCGAGGGAATCGTGCAAGTACTAGGCCGTTTCCGGAACACATCTGGCGGCGTCCTTTCCAACGTTGGCTTGCAAGCAGCTGTACCCAAGTCGCAAAAATTGCAATTGATGAGCATTTCTAACTCCGAGATGGCGCCCGGAACCGAAGCTACCCAGATGATGCGCATCATGGGAAGCAAAGGGGTAAGTTCATATTCCAGATCATTTTTACTGCCCGCTTCCACATAAGACAATTCGCTAACAGTATATAATGCAGCCTCTCCGCTTGATGTTAAGAATTGGCTATACCCACCCGTCGGCGGGACAGGTCATGGACCAGGTGAAGTGGACGGAACCGTCTTGAGCGTTCGTTAGAAGTAGGTGTAATAAAAAGGCGTTTCGATGATTGTACTTTCATATCGTCCGTCCATACATACGCTGCGTTTCTAAGGAAATGGATGAATGAATGTATGCTGATAGAAGAGCTCATCTTGCGCTCGCGAAACATACAATTGCTACGTGACAGGTGCCCTACGACTAACAGTTGTCGGGCGATCCTTTTTTAAGTGTCAGAACTTGTCAATAGTGCAGAAAATAAGCAGGCGATGAGTCTTGAAGTATTAGATAAATGTTTTAAACCCTCTAATATTCCGTGGTTTTGCTAGATGTGCCGATATTAAACCCGATGTTATGGCTGCTGTTAAAATGTGCTTTGATCTTTCACTAAGTAGTACTGGTTTGCATTCATTGTTTTAGTACTACGGAACGGCCCGAGATAGCTTCTTTGACGTGACTATGTATGCTACATGCCAAAGTAGGCCAGTTACATACTAGAATCGGTCATCTCACTGGATACCTACTAGGAAACCTATCAAAGGAGTAGTCGCAGAGAAGGTATTAAAAAGAAAAGAGGCTAAGGGGTAAGCAAATAGGTAAATCGGGTATCTTAACGGTATTATCCCCTAGTCGACGTGATGAATGTTACTCGACAGCATCTTCGCCATACTCTTCACCTCCTTCCTCACCATCGCCATTATCGTAGTATCCGTATTCCTCATCCGCGTCCCCCTCCGCATCATCATCGCCATCTAAGTCCTCCACATCCCAAGAATTCATCGGAGTCGCGCCGTCGTTTTCAGCACCGTCGGCTGTCGCATCATCCGGCTCCAGCGTATCATCTCCACCGGGCGTAGACACAGCATCCCCCGCAGCAGACCCAGGCTTCTGCTTCTGCGTGGGGGGAGCCCGGCGCTTATGAAACTTCATATCGAGCTCCTCCATCGGGCGCAGGAAGGGCTCCAGCGTCAGCCCGAGCGGCTTATCCGTGATGTCCGGGAACGGGCGGATCCTGTCCTCGAGGAAGGAATTATACAGGAACCCAGGCTTCTGCGGGTGGTCGTTGTCGGATCCCATGCGGCCCCTCTTAATAGCCACCATCTTAACCTTCATCACCATTTTGACCTTGCTCCACGTGCCCTTGTGATACCACCCCGAATCCTTCAGGTCGCACGTCTCCCTCAGGGGCGCGTTGTCGATGATCCCGCGCACGAAGGGGTCTGTGATGTCGCATACCTGCCAGAACTTGCCGTCCGTGGAGTAGTCCTCGCCGTTCCAGAGGTGGCTGTCGCGGTTCTCGCACACGCGCTTCTTCACCTGGCCCTTGCGGACGACCTCCCAGGGTATCTTCTTCGTCCCGATGATGTTGCGCTCCAGCTTGAAAGCCAGGGTCTGGTAGATGCGGAAGCTGGGGTCGGGGCGCGGGTCCACGCCGTATTTGATAAAGGCGTCTCGCCAGGGTCCGCCTCGGAACTGGTACCCGATGAGCTGGAGGGCGATCCGCAAGACCGAGTCCGAGTAATTTCCTGTTACGCGGTTGAGAATGGCGCGGCGCGTCCAGATGGGTCTTTCGTCCATCAAAGCATGAAGTTGGCTCATGAGTCCTTCTGGCACCTGCATAGCAGGTTCCCGCCTTGGCTTCTCGGGTACGGGATATTGGTTGTTGTTGATGAAGTGGCCATACGAGTGTTTCTTTCTGCCTTGGATATTGACTAACTGCTGCTTCCCTGCCTCGTCTCCTTCAACCTTGGTGTTTGGATTCTGTTCATAGTTGTAGTTAAACCCAATAACTCTGTCTGTGAAGTGCGGTGGAGGTATTATCTCCTGACCAGGACCCGTAGCTACACCAGGGGCGAATTTGATTTTCCGCAGCTTCGAAACTAAGAAAAAAAAAGCATATTAGTAAATTAAGACCAATGATTGGTAATACGTGATCGATTTTCCTTACCTTTCATTGGCAGCATATGCTCAGCGATATTTGTCAAGAAGGAAGGGCTTGTGTTGGCGAACTGGAAATCTGCCAGACCGCGATATCTGTGAGTGGCGTGAATATTTCCGACAGCCTCTACTTGGTAGTCTTCAGGATTGTCTTGCATCTTTCGGAGGATTGACTTAGGTAAATCCCGACGAGCCTGTGAGCTGACTTGGTCAACCCCTGAGGTGGCAGTTGTGCCATCTGAAATATCAACATCGCCTGAGAATGGTTCGTTGCTCCCTCGTTTTCGTTTCCTGCCTGTCCTCTTGGGAACGGTGATTTTGAGCAATATGTTATTAGTGGCTGTATGATGTGACAAAATGGGCTTTGACGCTGGGTTGTCAGGCCGAAACCACAAGGGGACTGAAGCAGGTTCCCCTGAGTCCACGAGAAGCTGCAATGGCTTGGTCAGTTGGTTACAATTTTTCTTTTTGGAAAGGTCGAAATCCCTACCTTCTGGAAGTTAGGATCCGACCCGAAGGTAGCTAGTCCCTTATCAAGGTTGAGAATAACACTGGGATGTTCTATGGCGATTATTTCTCTCGGAGGCACCTCATATATCGGTGCACCTCCCGAGTCATCTGCGTCGTCGACCTCATCAGCTTCATCCGCGTAATATGGCTCGTCTTCGGCTTCCATCATAGTGCTTTAATATACTATCATGCAATATAATAAGCAACCGAAACAAGTTGAGTCCTTATATAATTTACGGACTTATGTGTAGCATGAATACCGTTGTAGTGGCTTGCTTGCATGTCGTGCCAAGTTGTGATGTGATATCTAATATTTGACTAGATTTACAAGCTCTCAAATCCGATAGTGCTTCGGCTGCAAATGCAACGCACAGCTTTTTCTCGACTCTGTCTATCATTTCCTTGTGAGCTTCAGATCATTGAGACTGTTGTTGTTGTAGCTTTGAGTGCCGGGAACCTAGATAGGTACCTACCAAAAAGGGCATATGGCTTCCAAGTCTTATGAAGTTTGTAAGTTCATAAAGTTCATAAGTTGATATGGAGTTAACCGTTGTAAGTTTGAATCTGATACCTACCTAAGTAGGACCAGGAACCGATATAGTGCGACGCACAGTGTAGACTATCACCTGATGTTGAAGATTCAGCCTATGAACAAGGCCCAAGTAAATCTTTTAAAGGTAAAATGCACACTGTACAATTCTGTGGTACGTATCTTGTTTTAACAGGTAAGTGTTACAATTTTGTTATTAAGATCCACAATAATTTACGGCACTTGTTTTGTACCTGCCGAAGCGTTGTACCTACTTTTTTCTTCCTTTTTTTCGGCATAATCTTTTAAACCTTGCTAGACTTGCTATTATGTTATTACCTATTAAACTGAAATTCACCAAAAGGTGGATGTGAATATATTAGGTACACATGCTAGGTATTGCAAATAATATAAATGGCTTGCTGGAAGTCCATGAGACAAGATTCCTGATGATTGTCAATTCAGCCCCGCCAACTAGCTTGTGATTCGACGCGGCTCTGCATCATGAAAGCATAAATCATGTAATGAGCCTGAGCTAACCCCACAGACCGCTACTAGCAGCTTGCCGCTTGCACAAATTATACAAATGCATAATATGCATAATATGCAGGTCCACGAGTACAAGTGGAACTTGCATTATCTAAACGGCCTGACGGCTTAACTGCTCGGGTACCTAACGATACCTACCTAGGTACCTAAGGTATTAGCGGTTGGAAAGGCCGAAAATAATAAAAGGATTCTTAAAACTGGCCATGTTTTGAGACTACCTAACTCCGAAAATTCGAGGATCGGTACCAAATTGAAAAACTCATTCCCAAGACTGGTAGATTAGTAAAACTTTCCCTGTAGAAATGCACAAGTCACACAGCTGATAAAGTCGATATGGTTGCTAGGGTGTATATGATACTTGACTTGAATGGCGGACCTAATATACCTACATGTATTTTGTATTGTACAATACTTCGTCATAGCACTATGGTTGGCTGTGATATTATGTACTGTACCTGTAAACCGTACCCTACCCGCATACATGCGTGTACTTTAATAGACTAATGTACGCTAACTTCTGGGCAGTTACCTAATTGCACATTTGCATACCTACCTAAAGTAGGTACTCTATGTACATTGGTAGGCACGCTGAATTTGTAGGCTGTTTTCCCTTTGGTCCTGTGAAAGTGGCCTGTGGTAGATTACCGGAGTCCCTAAATTGTACAATACAGCCAACGGCCTACGCTTGTTGTAGACGCCAGAAGACGTAGAATCGCTTTCTCCACCTTCCACAACGAATGGACGACGACTCAAACTTCATCTCTGAACTTGTTCAACATCGACCCGTTTCGTTAGTCTCTCTCTCAAACTAAGAGGCTCAATTTGGGCTATGTTGCATGAGCTATTGCTATTTCATTGTTTAACTGCAAACCGGCTGCTAATTCGCTTACTCGACCTATGCGACAGCCACTTCCGCAACGCCGTCCCGCCTCCTTAAGCCTGACTCGTTAATTCATGAGTCTTGCCTGGTACCAAACAGACGGTGAAATCCACAACTTAATTCTACCACTCGTGAACCCGATCACCCACTTCTAAACTTTCTACCATATCGACACATCTCTTTTTGTGCTTCTAAGTACTCGAGCCTTGCTACGGCGACGCGTCTCGAGACGCTATACCCTATCGACTTTCACTCTCCTATAACAATATCCCAAAGAGAAGAGAGAGTCGGGCGTCCCCACCCCGCCGTAAGTAGGGGCCGTGACTTACAAAGATGAAGGGCTTCAGGCGAGCGGTATGTATATATATATACATATACATATATATATTTTCCTTTGCGTGTTTATGTTCCGTAATTCTTTCCAAAGAGTTACCCTTTCCCCATTAGTACCCGTTAGTATATTATTCACGCCGCTAACCAATTACCGCCGAATAGCTCTCGCGAGGTAAGGACAACAAGTCCACCAAGAAGAATAAAGATTCCAAAGATGGCACGGCTTCGCCTTCGTCAAGTGGTTCGAGAGAGACCCAGTCGCCTGTATTGACACCCTCTTCCTCTACTTCGACGCTGAACGATATAAGAAACAAACCCCTCCCTCCCAACAATGCTGGAACACATGGTGGTGATCATGGTGGCCCTGCCTTGCAAGGCCAGGCTGGCCAAGCACCTGGCGCTGGGCCTGACAGGTTTGGCAATGTTGGCGCCCAGCAGTCGCCGAATGGTGCTGCTACTCCTCGACATGGTGGTACTCTTCCGCCAACCGTGGTCATTAGCCCGAGTGCTCCAGTAGGCCCCCCCTTTTCTTTTCTCAAGTGACGAGACATGGAACAGTGGCTAACTTGTCATTTTCGTAGCACATCCCACCCCCTGGTGCAGCGGAGACTATGCCGCACGACCTCGCTCCGCCCAAAGCTGGCTCAAAATCGATTGTGTTTGACCGCCTCCACCAAACACCGAAGGACGTTCCCGAAGGTCTTAGGACGCCTAGAAGACAAAACTCATCGCGATTCGATATCTCTACGCATCGAGAGCTAGAGAAGCTCCCAGGTTTTCATGAAGTACCACCTAACCGACGACAGGAGCTTTTTATGCAGAAGATTGATCAGTGCAACGTCATTTTTGATTTTAACGATGCTAGTGCCGATATGAAGTCCAAGGAAATCAAACGTCTAGCTCTACACGAGCTACTTGATTACGTAGCCAATAACCGCCAAGTTATTACAGAGCCGATGTACCCTCGCGTAGTCGAGATGTTCGCAAAGAACCTGTTTCGCCCGATTCCTCCACCTATGAACCCCCAAGGCGAAGCATTCGATCCCGAAGAAGACGAACCTGTTCTGGAAGTGGCCTGGCCCCATATTCAGGTCGTTTACGAGTTCTTTTTGAGATTTATCGAAAGCCAAGATTTCAACACTAACATCGCTAAAGCATATATCGATCATAGCTTTGTGCTTCAACTCCTAGAACTTTTTGACTCGGAAGATCCACGCGAGAGGGACTTCCTCAAGACGACTCTGCATCGCATCTACGGAAAATTCTTAAACCTCCGCTCTTTCATCCGACGTTCTATTAACAACGTCTTCTTCCAGTTCACTTACGAGACAGAGAGGTTCAATGGCGTGGCCGAGCTACTTGAGATTCTCGGCTCCATTATTAACGGATTTGCCCTGCCTCTCAAAGAAGAACATAAGCTATTTTTGACTAGGGTGTTGCTGCCTCTCCACAAGGTGAAGAGCCTTAGCATGTATCACCCTCAACTCGCCTACTGCATTGTCCAGTTCCTTGAAAAAGACGCCTCGCTTACCGAAGATGTCGTTCTCGGCCTTCTCCGATACTGGCCAAAAGTCAACAGCACCAAGGAGGTTATGTACCTCAATGAGGTTGAAGATATTTTCGAGGTAATGGACCCTGCAGAATTCACAAAGGTTCAGGAGCCTCTCTTCCATCAGCTCGCGAAATCTGTTGCAAGCCCACATTTCCAAGTCGCAGAGCGGGCCTTATATTTCTGGAACAACGAGTATTTCTGCAACCTCGTGAGCGATAACGTCGATATCATCCTACCCATCATGTTCGCACCGCTCTACGAGAATTCTAAGGGACACTGGAACAGGTGAGCTAGTGAAGTCTACCTAGATAGTTGCATATTGAAACTAACAGACTGGAACAGAACAATTCATGGGATGGTGTATAATGCAATGAAGCTCTTTATGGAGATCAACCCGCAGCTCTTCGATGATTGCTCTCATGAGTATACAGAGCAGCAAAATAACGCCGCTGCGAGGGAAGCCCTTCGAGAGAGGAAATGGGCCGCCATCACAGAGCAGGCCAATAAGAGGAAAACGAATGGTGCCTCCGGGAATGGTACTCCAGCTTCAAAGCCGCTTAACATAATGCCGCGAGTTGAGGAAGCCGATTCCGTTACGGAGGATAACCAGAAGAGGTTAGATTCGTTGAAGCTTCAGGATGCTGACCGAACCAATCGCCGCCCCAATACCCACGAGCGTCAAGGTTCGGCAAGCTCCGCACGAAGCCAGCGGTGATCTTAAGAATTCTTGCTCCTCTTCTCTCCTGTGAATCTTCCCCCACGAAGTGCATTTAAGCGATGCTCAATTTTTACGATAGAACTTGTAGGCGATGATGACCTGGTTTACACGAACCTCTTTAAAAAAAAATTCTACTTCGATTTGCACCCAAAACCCAGTGTTTCCAATAAACATGGGGCCGTGCTTCTCGGTCTCACTTCTGCGGTATTTGATGTCGACTAGGACCCTTATGTACGGCCATAACTTGTTATTTTGGTCGCAAACAGATGATGGTTGATTTGGGCTTGATGCGGGCCTAGCAGCCTCTAATCCTTCAATAATACTTTGGATCAAGTCGAGTCCGGGATGTCGAGTGCACGTGAGGTGTTTTTCTTTATTTTAAATTTCCCAGTACATATTTGAGGGCTTCGCATGGCGTTCGAATTCACGCACCGTCTTCGACACTCAAAACTCGGGTGGGATTTAGCAGCTGTGCTCACCGTATGTGAGACGATGTCGATAGTTCGTACGCCTACGAAGCCTGATAAAAGCGGTTATCCTCGAGGAAGAGTGAGAATATATTTGGAGACAACGCAGGGAAAGGGGGGTTTACCATCCATGCTGAGAAGTTGGCGTATATGGCGGTTTCTGAGCGCCAAGTCTACCTAGGGATGGGAGGTAAAAAAAAAGAGGAAAGGGGGAAAGTTTGGTTCTGGGAGGCTAGTTCTGTTGTTGTCATGTGGTAGCAAAGCAGCAAAAAGCAAGCAGCCAGAACTTCTCGATGATGTATGGGAGCTATTTTTCTTGCGTTGTTCTTGTCGATTGTGTCTCAGGATTGACAGGGGAAAAAGAGAGAGAGAGAGTGTGTGTGTGGTTGCAGATCAGATATATCTTTTTTTGTTTCTATCTTTATTATTTTCTCCCTCCCCGTCTGGCGGCTCCGTTCGTGGCGTCTAAAGAGGAAATGGAAATAAGGGAAATGATGACAACAACAACCGCAGCAGCAACAGCAGTAGCAGCAAGAACAATAAGAACAACGATGACGGCTGGTTTAGCTTTGCGAAACGATAATGCAATCTTGATAGACCTAGTTTTTCGTGTACTGATTTCTATGTGAGGTATGTATGTTTCCCTCGTACTGAGACAGTCTTAAGGAGTCTCCTCGACTAGTTGTTCAGGTCATCGTCAGAGGGACTTGATGGTCGTGGTGAGCGTACATGTGTTAGGGACTGAGACATATATCTCTCATCACCAGGAAACCAGTCTGCTAGTGTATTACCCTATCCTTATGCTTAGGTAGGTTACCCAGGTTAATAAATACCCTTCTTCCATGGCTGACGCCACTATAAATTCTACCGTAAAGAGGTAAATTCCCGATCTGACATCGGCCTGCCGGTTTCGCTGTTAGCAAAAGTATCGAGGCGTTAACTACCTAAGCTTACCTGCTATTCATAAATGCAAGTAACATATCACCTCTCTCTTCTACTCCTGTAGCCTGTATCTGGACTTCATTTTACTCATTTGTATTATCGTGGAGATATACATACCACAGCGGCTAGATTAGCAGCTGGCTAGTTTGGTGCAGATACATGCATAACCAACATATATACATCATTCATCCATCCATCCACAGCGCTCCTTATACAAAAACTCTACTCTTCAATATACCCCAACGCCTGGCCCATTTTGACCTTCTGTCCCTTCTCCACAGCCCAGGTGAACCCTCGCTTTGCACCGGGGTTCTCGGCAACTGGGGCTTCGAAGACGAGCACGATGGTGCTGCCGAGCTTGAAGCCGCCTATCTCGTCACCGCGGCGTAGAGCATAGCCACCCAAGACTTTACTAGCCGCCGCATACGAGGCCTCGGAAAAGCCGACGTAGGGCTCGCCACGAGCGGCAGCTTCTTCGGCGGCGCGGTCGGCCGCCGTGTCGGTTAGGAGTGAGTTAGTTCGTAGTTCGCGATCGAAGTTGATGGTGATGGAACCGACGTTTGTTGCGCCTACGGGCACAAAGCTGAAGAAGCCCCATCGCCAACGCCCGAGGAGCACCACGCGCTCATTTAGCGTGAATAAGCCGGGTAAGGTGCGTTGCAGGTACGGCGATACGGAGTATAGCTCACCCGCAAAATGCCGCCGTCGCTCTACCACCCAGTTCGCTGGTGAGTGGAATCGATGGTAGTCGCCCGGAGCTAAGTATATGACTGCATAGTAGAGAGCTGTCCTGTTATCCGGAGATAGGAGCGCATACCAAGGCTTTTCTCCAAGGGCCAAGTCCGCTCGTACCTCAGAAACAGCACCAGGGCTAGACGGGATGGCGGCTTGGTCGCCTAGCTTCTTGCTGGGCGTCTCGTGGGTCTTGTCCGACCCGGATAGAAGATTAGGTAGAGTGTACGATATTCCGTTTACCCGCGCGAATTCCTCGTCCGACGAGATAACTTCTTCGCCGCGGCGCGTTGGCGTAGAAGATTGATCGGGCACATCGTTCTCTTTACCGGACAAGCTAGACGTAGGCGTGTTCTTACCCAGTAGCGCATCAACTGTATATGTCATGCCTTTGACCTGCTCGATGTCGTTGCCCTCAATCTTTCCAAACTGCAGCACACGTCCATCGGAAGGTGATAGCAACGCGTTAGGATTCGGGTCCAGGGGCCGAACACCAGGTTTTAGCGTTCGGTAAAAGAAAGCCGAGAGATTAGGATATGCGCGGAGGTCTGGCTCGGATACTTCATCCAAGTTGACGCCGAATATGAAGGCATATAGTTTGAAGCCAGGTATTCGTAGATAGTAAGGGATAGGGATCTCGTTGAACTTGCCCCATAACCTCGACATTGCCTTTAAAGGCAGAGTTGACATTACCTGTACTTGCCTAAGGACAGCGGGTCAGCCACGAGGTTGACGAAAATAATTGTTGTACGTATCGGAGCGCATACCATGGGCCGTCTGGTCGCACTCGCGCTCGCTTCTTAGGGCGAACACCAGGCTCGTTGCTTTCGGAAGCTTCCTTTTCTAGTCTCTCCTTCTCGCGGGCCTGGGTCTTATAGAACTGCACAAGACCGAGAAATCCAATTCCTAAGCCAACAGGTATAGGATACCACTTGACCTTCGTGTCTTTCAGAGCACTTCGTAGTCTAGACCCAAAACGTTGGCTATTTTGGTATCTTTGCGACGCATGATGAAAACATGCCCTAGACGTCGTTGCAAAATGTTTGGTCGACCGTCCTGACACGGCTGTATACGTTTGTCGAAGCATGCATGGCGATAACTGGAGACTTAGAGCCGGTGTGTGCCCTCGGGCAGACGCCGAGCATAGACTTGCCATTGACATGTCTTATGTCTCTTTAAGATCTTTATAATCGTCTCATTTAAAATTTCCGGGGGAGGAAAAAAAGACCTAGGTATACGCTAATAAAATAAAAATGGCTACCTAGTTCTAAAATCGGTGCGTATCGTATACTGGGGAAGGAAAAAGGAAAATCACTATATAAAGACAATTAAATCCGTTTGATAGAAAGCAATCGTCATAATGAGGAAGAGTTAAATCAAATAAGACCCCGTACAGATACCGGGTTTTTTTTAGTTCTACTGGAACTGAAGCTATCGTGTAAATAATTGGGAAACAATTGAAGGTCTTTAATTCGGCCAAATGCAACAGCGGTGGTGGATTAGGAAGACCCTCAATGACGCAGGGCAGCGCGGGTGGAGCTGAAGAGCTATCCCTATTCAGCTTGGGTAACAAGGCGGCGGCAGCTGGCAGAAGTTCAATCCGTCCACTTTGTCTGTACCTAGGTACCTTTCGTAAGCACGGTCCTTTTAGCCTAGCACCCGAAGGATGCCTTTACCTAACCTTAGGTAGCAGCTTAGGTAGGTATCCACCAAGGTAACTGGTAGAATACCATGGTCGCACATTTTAGGTAAGCGAATGGCTTGGACAGCTTGCATTGATGCATCCTCGTCTCATATGTAACCTGTTGCCGTTGCCGGCGATGACAAGCAGTACAACTGCACTTTCCCGAGTTTATTTCAACTTTGGCAATCCTATTCTCGTTCTTTCCTTTCGGTCAAGTTTAAACTTAGGCCTTCGTTAATTTAACTAGCAAACGTTAATTAATTCTTGCGTACCTCCCTTCCTTTCACATTCATACATATATTCTATTTATACAATCATACATCATAGCGCATAGGTATCTTGCAAGCACCACTTACACTTACACATACACAATACAAGCTACGTGTCTGTTGCGGGAAATCTGTAATCGCTTCTTTTTTTTTTCTCTTTTTCTTTTTTTTGTCTACCTTGACATGTTGCCCATTATCCTTTAAGTGTTGGACTACGCGTAGCAGGGTAGATGTGCAACTCTATTTAGGATTTACTTCCCGCGCCCGTCCTCCCATTTCCCGCTCCTTACCGTCGCCTAGAGCCGTGCTCACACCCCTCCGAGCCTTTCTCTACTAGCCATAAATCACGATGGCGTCCGACTTAGCAGCCGCAGCAAACTTTCCAGCTGAATCGAACTCCGAAACTTTTACACTGCAAATCCTATCGCCTTCCGTAGGCATACCACAACCATTAGCGCTTCGGAAGCTTCCCATAGGCACCACCGTTAAACAGCTAAAGGAGCGCATTCGAGATGTCGTTAGCACTAAACCTGCTGATCAAGCCCAGCGCCTTATCCATAGAGGTCGCTTGCTAGCCCGTGACGACGAGACAATGGCTGATATCTTCGGCCAGGAAACGGTACGTATCTTACTGTTGTAACAGTAAACTTGAGTAGGCAGGTATTCGTCTAACATACCTTTCAATATAGTTGCGCTCTGCGGATCACCAGACACTACATTTAGTGTTACGAGAACTCTCCGACAGTCAGACCACCACTTCGGGCCAGCCCTCGGCTGGAGCAAACCCTCTTCCTCAGCACCCGCCACACCCGCCACACCCGAGCGCCTTTCCTTTCCAACCTGACCCTCAGGTGCGCGTTGGCATTCCTCATTACCATGGCATAGGCTTTGGTTTCCAAAGGCCTATTCCTGGGATACCTGTTGCAGGCCAGCCAATGATGCCTCCGCCTGGTTCTTCTTCGCAACAGTATAGCCAGTGGGCAAGATCCATGAATGCTCACTTAGGAGCTCGCGACCAGAACCAACGAACAGCTACTACCGGAGCGCAAGGCACACCTATCCCGGGCGCAAGAGGAACGCCGGGAACAAGTACACCTGGAAGGACTGCTTCGCCGTTCCAACCAGAGGTGACACGTACCACTATCCGTGAAAGCACTGGTCCTAATGGATTGCATTGGAGAATAACTTACAACGAAACGTTTGTGAATCCACCACAGAGACCGGGAAATCCTTGGGGCCCTCAAGCACGCCCTGGTCCGAATGGGAGCCAGTTTTCGGATAATGACGCGCATAACATTCTGCGGGCTGCAGATACTAGCGCGGCGACCAGGGCCATGGCCGACGCCATGCGAAGGAATGCTAGCAGCTCTTCCCTGGCAAGCCTTGCTCCTGGTCAAGCTCAACATCCCATCCCACCTGGGATTACTACGCCATTAATTCCATCTCGAGGAGGCAGCGCTACTGCCACGCCAGATCCGCTTAGAGCAGCTGGCCAACCCAGGATCCTACCTGTACAGCAAAACCAAACTCAAGCGCCTTCATCTCAAAATACGCCGGAAGTGTACATTCTTTCTTCTCCGAGTGGACCTCGTGCTCTACTGCTTAATGGCAGCTTAGATACATACTTCAGTCCTCCGGCTCGGACCACAAATCCGCCGACGGGCATACCGTTTGCGCAGAGACAGTTTCCGCTTACGTTTGGCAATGCCTTGCATCCTCAATATACAGCGCCGGTGCCAACGCCAGCAACGCAGTCGCATATACCCTCAGCTGGACCAAGCCACACAGGCGGCCACCGAGAACATAATGCTGCCCAAGCACAGCATCAACATCAGGTCCAACAGCAGCATGGCTTACATCAAGTTCATCAGGTGCCGCATATAGGACACGCCGTAGCCCGTGCAGATAACCCACAAATTCAGGCGATCAGAATAGCTCATATATGGCCTCATATCTGGCTGATTACTCGCCTGGGCGTTTTCATTTGGTTGTTCTCGTCGCCAAATTCCAGCTGGTCGCGTTGGTTTTTCATTATCGGGGCTTCCATCGCGATATTTCTAGCCCGTACCGGACTTTTGACTCCTGTAGCTGACCAACTGTGGGTTCCTTTCCGCCGACGTCTTGAAAATCTGATACCTTTTGCCGATGGCCACCATGATGTACAAGTCAACGCACGAGGCGGCGGAGCCCAGGGCGCGAATAACGGCGCTGTAGCAGACGGCCAACGGCAAGAAAGGGAATTACGACCAGCTGATACAGCGGCCAGGCTGGTACAGCAACGACGAAATGCCAATGCTAACTGGCTGATGGACCAAGCTAGGAGATTAGAGCGTGCCGGTATACTGTTCCTTGCTAGTATTGCCCCAGGAGTTGCCGAGAGGCATATTGCGCAAGTTGAAGCTGAGGCACGAGCTGAGCGGATACGACGGGAGGAGGCCGAGGCTGCTGCCGCCGCAGCTCAGCAGTCTGAGGGCCAAGAGAATGCAGAACAGGCTGGGGAAAGTGATACTGCTACTGCCGCTGCCAGTGAGGAGTCAGGCAGTTGGAATCAGACACCAGAGGGAGAACGAGGCAACGAGAGACCGCCTGCTGCAGAGGAGCCACTTGTAGCCCTATAAACCTGCTGCTAGGATGAAGGTATTGCAATTTTGCATTTCTTTAAGTGAGTCGTGGGTAAGAGCTATAGGGGCACACCTATAGCTCGTAAACCACAATCTTACGTGCCCTGTGATCAAGAAAGAGAAAAAAGAAAGGAGCTTGGTCAAAATAATACCAGATGGGACCTCAGCCCGAGGCCGAGACCCCCCCTTTTTTGGGTTTGTCTGTTAAGATCTTGTTGATGGCGTAAGGGAAGAAAGGGGCTTTTGTGTATTGCATGTATGTACTGTACCTAATGTTTCCGGAGTTGGCGCTGAGGTGCGAGGGAGTGAGGGACTGAAATGCATATCAATGAATAACGGGCCTGATAGGGGCTGGCTTAGCTATCTACGTTAGGTACCTACCTAGCTCTTGCAATAAACGGACGAACAGAAAGATGAACAGAAAGGCAGAATACGACGTGGGTAATGAATGTAAATCATGTCGAATTGAAAAACTATTCTCTACGACTGATGCTAATATTGTTTTGTTCCTGGTGCGTTCGGTATGAGATGCATATTCGTATCTCCCCTACCTAAGCTATAACTACCTGTTTAATGAAGATGTTTTACTCACTTCTTATCGTGTACATATACTCTCAACTCCGACCAATTCTCTCACTGTGTGTGTCTTGCGTATATTAGGTATAGGACCTCCGTTAATACTTGTCCAAAAACTCGGACAACAACCACAACCACACCCAACCAGTCAAGCAGAAAAGTACCAATTGAATTGTAAAATTGATAACAGTACCCTAGCACTGCTTAATTGTTTAGCTTGCTCAGTTACCTGCTAGTCGATAGATAGAAGGAGCTTATACTCATTCCTCATCGCCATCGACCGAACTTGGGCTTTTGTTCTCTCTATGTACACACTACTACAACAACAACTACTGCTACTATATCCGATCGCGCCTTAAGAAGAAAAGTACTTTGCATAAAACTTCGGACATTTAAATACCTCTACGTCTCTTTTTGCGCTTTACTCGTCCATAACGGCGGCGAACTTGTCCAACATGTTCTGCTGGATGGCCTCGTACTGTTAACTGAATTAACATCATATCGCCATACACATACAGACAGTCTTATACCGCCTCGTAGAAACGGATCTGGTGTTTTCGAATTGGGGTTACATACCTTCTTACCAACAACCTCTGCTCCCTCGTTTGGGATCTCGAACTTAAGGCTTCGCAATTTCGCCTGGAGGTCACTCGTGGCCTCGCGGACCTTAGCCCAGCTCAGACCCTGCGCAACAGCCTTCTGCGCCTCGTCGTGGAAGCCGACCATGAGCTTCATCATCCATTCTGTCTTCCAGATGGGGCAGAACTGGTCGTAGTCCGAGTAACCGTTCTGCTGCAGGAAGTCTTCCTTCAATAACGTCGCAATGTCCAGAGTGATCTTGTCCGGATCCGACAGCGCTGATTTACCGACTAGCTGTACCACCTGATCTAGTTCTTCCGAATCAGATAGCAGCTGCTTGATGCGGTCGCGCAAACGCGGGAAGTCGGGGTAATCTTTCTCATACCACTTATCCAGTGTGTTTGTGTACTTGCTGTATGACAAGGATGTGTTAATAGACGGGAAATGCTTCCGCTGCGCGAGTCTCTTGTCGAGACCCCAGAAGACTTGGACGATACTCAGGGTCGAACTAGTGACAGGATCGGAGAAATCACCACCGGGAGGGCTGACAGCACCGACGATGCTGACACTGCCTTCACGCTCGGGTGAACCTAGGCAGTTTGTCCTTCCTGCACGTTCGTAGAAACTGGCCAGCTTAGCAGAAAGGTAAGCAGGGAAACCTTGGTCAGCAGGCATTTCACCAAGACGACCGGAAATTTCACGCAGGGCTTCTGCCCATCGGGATGTCGAGTCAGCCATCATAGCGACGTTCATGCCTTGGTCACGGAAGTACTCGGCGACAGTGATACCCGTATAGATAGAGGCTTCTCGGGCGGCGACGGGCATATTGGAAGTGTTGGCGATTAGGGTAGTTCGCTTCATGATGGGCTCCTTGCGGCCCTCAACCTCGATGGATAGCTCGGGGAAATCCTTCAAGACTTCAGCCATCTCGTTACCGCGCTCGCCACAACCAACGTAGACGATGACGTCGCTGTTGGAGAACTTGGAGACGGACTGCGAAATGACAGTCTTGCCACAGCCGAAAGCACCGGGAATAGCCACAGTACCACCTTGTACACTGGGGAAAAGGGCGTCCAGAACTCGCTGGCCGACAACGAAGGGCTTGTCGGCCGAGAGCTTCTCGGTCGAGGGTCGCGCAACACGGACGGGCCAGGTGTGCATCATTCCGTACTCGGTCTTGGTACCGTTGAAATCGAGCTCAAGAATCTTCTCGTCGACTGTGTACTCGCCCTTTTCTGCAATTCTGGTGATGGTTCCCCTTGCTCGCGGCGGCAGAAGAATCTTGTGTACCTTAATGAAGGAGTTCTCGAAGACGGTTCCCCATACGTCACCACCAGAAATGTGATCGCCAACCTTCATGGTAGGTGTGAACTCCCACTTCTTGGTTCGGTCGAGAGCGGGGGCTGCGATACCACGGGGGATGTAGATACTGTTAGACTGCTGGGAGATTTTCTCGAGGGGTCGTTGAATTCCATCGTAGATGTTGTGTAATAAGCCGGGGCCGAGTTCGACGGAGAGAGGTGTACCAGTACGGTGAACGGGATCACCCACGGTTATACCAGCTATACTTGAACATTAGCTTATATACCTAGGTCGGTATAATTCCTTGGCATTGCCTCGCAAGGTATAACAAGGAGCACGCACCGGTCTCTTCGTAGACTTGGATGGTAGCTTGGTCGCCGCTAATTCGAATGACTTCACCGACTAAGTTATCGTGGCCTACTCTTACAAGCTCGTACATGGCAACTCCGATCATGTCCTCGGCCACGATGACGGGTCTAGTCAGACAATCTGTTAGCTTTGTAACTGTGTATTATATGTATATGTATTGCAGCATTTTACGAACCCAGAGACGGAGTAGATCTTGCCTGTACGCATACGTAAATAGTCAGCTCATCAGACTAATACCAATATAAAAAAAACAAAAAAAAAAAAACAGAGCTAATTACATACCACTGTTGAGCGTTTCTTCGCCATTTGTGGCTTTCTCTGACTATATGCACGAGAAATGTTAGATATCCAAGTCGCAAAAGGGTTGGGATGGGACAGGTTAAGCTGCTTTGTTTCGTTGCAGGTTTTACTGCGAATTGGACGTAGAGGGGAGGCAGCTAAGCTTACCGGAGCCATCTTGGAAGTCTCTGTGGGTTTGGGAAGCGGCTCTGCAGCTGGAGAGACAGGTGAGATAGATATTGTTGGAGCTATTAAGGGTGAAGCTAAAGGTGACGAGACCGGCGTCGATGTGGTGAATGTTGTAGTAGTAGTTGGGATGGTGTTAGGTGTGGTAGCAGTAGTAGTATTAGTGGCAGTAGTGGTGGCTATAGTGTTAGTGCTAGTATTAGCGGTATCAGCTGGTGATAGCCGCGGGCTGGGAGGTAGTGGTTGATTAGAAGCTTCAGCTAATAGTGCTGTGGCTTTAGCGTGTCTAGCGGCTCTGTCGGGGTTATTAGAGCTGCCAGGTGACGCAAATTGCGCAGGGCTCAAGGTAGGCGTGACTGGTCGACTTGAACTCGGACTTGTACTTTGGCCGTGGTTTCCCCGCCGCTCGATCAGCTCCACTAAAGACTTGAAAGCAGAAGTTAGTAATCAGTAACGCGATTGCTCCATTGAGTAACGCTTAAAGGGGGGTAGGTTAGGCACATACAGGCCGGGCCCGCAGCGTCGGTCGTAGGCCGAGCATGCAAACGCGTTTATGCGGTGTAAACCGTCTTGATTTAATTGGTGAGTTTAGTTGTCTTTGACGAGGTACGGTTTAAACCACCAAGTAGTTAAATGGTGATGATAAAATCTGAAATTGTTGTTGTAAACTCAACAAGGCTGATTATGATTATACCTTACTTATACGCGTAGGTTGCATTCCGGGAGATGTACCCAGGTACCTAGGTAGGTAATTGATTACGACCAGTTAGGTACTGCCCAGGGAAACGAGAACAAGGAAGCTACAAGTATTAAGTACAAGTAACCTCCCTCCTAGGAACTTGGAAGTTGTCTCAATTATGAAATCCCCCCCGCCTTTATAATTATACCTAGCACCGATAAAAAGATATCTGCTTTCACAATCATTTCATAACGAGCATGCTTAAGTTAGTTACAATATACGAAGAATATAGAAACGTTATCAATACCTACAATATCAATTTACCACACTTTCAGTACCTAACCTAATGAGATCCCCCCTCCTCCCTTATCCTACAACCAGCGTAACGGAGCGGCGTTATCATGATAATTATTACACTACTAATACAACCCAACCCAACCCATTATCTTACCAATCCCGCTTCCCCTTCCTAAATATGAACCTGACCAAGCTTCTCTGAAATCCCATCCTTACCATTAACACTATCGGCACCGTCGACCCGGTCCGGAATCTGTTCCCACGCCTGGTCCTCGCCCGCGCCCCGTACCCACCGCGGTAACGTCTGGATCGAGTCGACGACGAGGTGGCCGATCCTCGTCCACAGGTCCCCCTTAATTCTAATCCAGTCTTGGTCCTCGTACCTCTCGCAAACGGTCTGGCCGATCCGCACGGCGCGGAATAGCTTGATGCCGTGGCCGTCTTCGTCCAGATTGTGTATCCGGGCGACTTGTTCTGTTTATATATCAAAGTTTAGCCATAATTACTTATAAGAGGTAGGCCACTAAACATGTGTAAGTAAGGTTGGATATGAATAGACTAGCACGCACCGTAAACCGGAGTTAGTTTCCCAACCTGTGGAACATAAGCGGCGATGTTGTCGAGCTCGAGCGGCGGACAAGCTTGCGATACGTACGCGAGGATATCAAGTCGGATTTTCCATTCGAGCAACCTTACTTTGCTCTCGATCGGGACCCAGTCCTGATTGTTCAGTGCGATGTATAAGGGGTTGACATTTATGTGGTGCCTATTAGCTGTGGGTAAGTACAGGACGCATATAAAGTCCAAGGGGCGACTGCAAAGACTTACATGAGGAAGAAATCGAACTTGGGTTCCTTTCCGGGGTGGAATGCCGCGGAGGCGCTCTGGTATATTGCCGAATGGTACATCTCTGCAGTTCTCTCCTCTAGTTCTTCGGGCTCGACCTTTACTCTGCTCGCCAGCTCAACAATGTCATCCCATGCTTTGGCAAATACCCCCTTTTCCACTTTGGCTAGCTCATCTACACCACAAACGGCTGTGGAAAGCTTCTTATTTGCCTTTGCTTCTCTGAGTAGACTCTCAATGCTAGGCATCGGTTTTGTATTCGACTTAGCAGCCTCTTCGGTCGTGAGAAGAAACTTCTTCATCTGATCGTTGTGGACCAACGCTTGAGCTAGTGCCATGGCGATAATGGCGGGCTGCTTCCATTCGACACCATACATCAACTGTATGATAGGATGAATGATGGCTTTTCGGAGCGTCAGTAAGCATTGCCAACCAAACTTTCGTTCCTTAGGGGAGCTTACAGGAGGTCATTCGAATCTGTATATCCTCACTTCTCTCATCTCCCTTGAACATATATTCGAGTAGAGCCTTCTCCCAACCTAGCTTGTCGATCTCGCTTTGGAAATATTCTAGGAACGTATTATAGTATCTTTAATTAGGTTAGTAAATTTGTTAGTAATAGGGTAGAAACGTCCATGAGTCTAATTTAATTCCGACGATTGCGATGGGGATAGGGTTATTGGGAAACGACGTCCTCCAGTTCGACTTACTCGCCTTTGCCAAAAAATTTCTTGGCCTTCTCCCAATCTCCCATCTCCTTGACGATATCCTCGCGGACCTTGCTGGATGGTCTTTGGTACGCCTTGTTGACATCGTAGCACCTTTTCAGTTGGTCGGGCGAAGCACCTGTGCCGTATAGAGCCAGGAGTTGATGACTTATACTAGAGAAGCAGTTAATGCTTTGGTCTAAGACTGACGTTATACTATGGAAGTTTACTGGTTATGGAATCCCTCTTCGTTGAAGAAAACGTGATGTTTCTAAGGTTTAAGTTAGCATTATACCCCCTTTCCATGGCCAGGGCTAAACAACATACGTCTAGATCCTCCTGTAACAGCTCAGTCGTCTTCTTCGCCGAAGCTTCATCCTGCTGAATATTCCAAAGCCCAGTATTGTCGGGCGTGATGTGGATACGATGGGCCGTCGCCATATTTGCAAACTTTGTATAGGTTAAGGGCTTAGTGGATCGAGATAGTATATTGCGTCTAGCAACTCCCGGAGATAAGTTACAGAAGTTCATGAGTTCTTTACTAGGTGCCTTTTGTAAAACTTTTATTTATAGCTGTAAGTGGAGTATATATGTACTTTGTGCCCTTCTAAGTTCTCACACTTGAAGACATACAGTGACAAGTACGTATTAGGAAATTCAAATAGCTGGTTGGATGAGACATGCGGAGAAGGTATCCGCTTGTACAAGATGGTCAGATTCAACAATAACGGGAATCGCGAAAGGTCCGTGGAGTCCGGAAGCCTAGCACAGGTTAAGTGGCTTGGCTTCACGGTTCTGTTTCCAATTATCATCCTATAAACTATAAACCTGGAACGGCTCTATAAGCAAATGCCGGCTGCTTATCAACCGCATATTAACTTAGCGGCCTTCGGCTTTTCGTCTAGTAGGCGAGCTCGCCCCTAAGCGGATGGATGTTGGTCTTATTACTAACTTCTCCGGGTTAAGTCCTCAACCGTTCCTGAAGTCGACGTATAATACATACCTAATACATATGTGATATGTGACATCATCCGCATCGTTTTGCAACGCTATGCAGTGACGACTACTTGATACGTTGAAACCCTTGTCGTATTGCACATGAACTTTATTTAGGTTAGGTAGGTATTTTGAGGGGATTCAAAGACGAGTACCAACATTCAATTACGAATTTATTGGGATTTTCGGTAGTTATAAGTGGACTGACTAGCTTTGTCTAGGTAACGTAAGACATAACTACGATGGCAACATTTCTTTGTTGATAGACTTATATAAGAGGTATGATGACTTTTATTTATTATAGGTAGTTAACTTATATATTGGTACGAGGTTCCCATTAATTTAGTCGGTTATGAATTAATACAAATTACTGTGTTCTAAGTATTATGACAATTTTCTATCAGGTACCTATGCTTATGGAAAAATGATAAGAATTATACACAGAGGTGCTCATAATCAGTTGTGTAAATAACTCTATTCTTGGATATAAACAAATATCTAGGCAAATGTTTAGTCGATATACACTACTCACTCAGACAAATCAAGGTATCGGCAAGGTCAACACAACGGCGAGAACTCCACGTGATGTGCTCTCTTGTTGCCCTCCCCCACAACGACTCCTCTACCACTTGCTGTTATTCCCCAGGGTAACGACTGTCCCAGCAACAAAGGCCGTAGAAACGAGTTGATGTTAATCAGCATGGGAAAAGTTCACCTGCGTAAATAGAACTAAGGCACTTATATCCGAAACTTTGCATTATTATAATATACCACCTGCCACGCTATCATGCTATCATGCTCCTCGCCGTATTAGTTCATATGTCAATCTTTCTTCTATTGGCAACACGATAATAAAGAGCCTTTCAATTCCTATTCCTGGTAGTTGGATATGTGCAAACAATACCACTACCATTCCAAGTGCCCCACGCCCAACTGCCACTCCATCCTCGGGTTCAAGAAGCGCAACCGGTACTGTCCCAAAGCACTTAAAGCCAGGCGCCTCGGACGCTGCTCGACAGGCACCCAAGTAGCAGGCGTGTTCCACATTGTGGACTCGGAAACCCGTTGTGATATTTGTCAGCAGCAAGGCAACACGACCTGCCTGGATCAACCACAACCACAACCACAACAACAACAACATCACCAGGACAAACATCAAGATCAATTCTTACTTGATCATCACAATGCCCACGGCCAAGTTGAAGCCCAAGCCCAAACCCAAAGTCATGCCCAAGCCCCCGTCCCAGCCTCGCCCTCTACTCCCGGCGCCGTCCAAGCCCGCGCCCAAAGACACGAAGAAAAGCCAGAACGACAGCAGCAACAACAAAGACTTATTCGGGATCGTCTTCGAGACAGCCCTAGCGGACATGGAACACACCTTCAACAACGCAGACGCGGGCGCGGGACTTCGCAATAGCTACGAGGCAGCAGTAGCCTAGAACGCTCCTCACGCCGAAGCAGAAGTCATAATGCCCCAAACCCCGGCGAAGGAGAAGGAGAAGAGTAAGACCACCGGCAAACAAGCGCGAAACCGCCGCGCCAAATCCCCAGCTCGAGATGCTTCTCCCGCTCCCACCCCCACCCCCGTCGAAGAAGCCGAGCGTTATCCTTACGGCTTCAACCCCGTGGATACCGTGGGCAAGTATATCTACGATTACGAGGGTGAAGAAGAAGATGAAGAAGAAGAAGAGTTGGACGACTACGAATGATATGTAAAATTAACGAGCCCTTCGCATCCAATGAATGAGCTTGGGGGTACTTATTTTCTTCGAGCTTATGGATTCTCTCTACCGATACCTACCACCGAGCAAGTAAGTACCTAAAGTAGCAGGCCGCCGAGCATCGTTACTTTGCCAACACGCTACTAATAAATAATCGCAAAGGAAACGAGAAAAAACCGCGAACGACACGCTTAATATTGGATGGGTAGTATCGCAATAAACAGACAGAGGTCTTTAATATAGGAATGGTCAGCCCTATGTAGGTGCCTAGGTACCTAGTTAGTCCACGCCCACGCCCTTGCCCTTGTTTCGTTCGCTATTCCATCGCACAACGCATTGCATTAGGTAGCTTACAGAGAATAAACAAACATAAGCCTTTGCATGTAGGTACGCAGGTAATTTCTCTATACAACAACTCTATACACGCATGCCCTGCAAAGGATAGAACTCGATTGTACGTAGTAGAGCAGGCCCAAATTTGTCCCGACCCTGGGGTCTCTTGCATCTAGATCCACGAATTCAATGCCTCGCGGTTAAGTCCGCTTTGCCAGTTTTGCAACTGCTGTGCGCCATGGAGAGATGCCTTGCTCGCCCCCAAAACCTTGTTTCATTGCCTTGGACACGCTTCTGTGTGACCGCTCTTCTGTATTCTTTTGTTCGACTAACCATGCTGTATTAACAGGTCCAATTGGCCTTCACCCCTCCCGGTTTGATCCCTCGTTGCCTTACCCGCTGCGTGTTTTCGAATTTCCTGCGCATGTCTTAGGGGACGAGAGAAAAAATGCCGCAGAAAACCAATAACGACTTCGTACGAAAGGTATGTCCGGGTCGTCGGTCATCAGTCGTCGGCCGAAATCTTCAATGAGCTCCTCTAGCGGTGCTTAGCTGGCCCTAGAGGGGGGACAAGAAGCACATCTGCACTCCTTGTAATGGGCTTCGATAAAATATGTAGGACCCTACTTGAGGAACATTTCTCCTCCATTCCGCGTTGTTCTTGTCCGATCCAGATGATCCAATCCAAGCACGACGTCGTCTTCTATCGTGCCTCCCTCGTCGAAAAGCACATCGTCTGCGTCACATTAGCTGCATATTATAAATACCATCAAATCATCTCTTACCGTCGTTGATATAGGTCGGCTTCTGGAATCGTCGCACTATTGCGAATTTGATCTTCTCAAATGCTTTGCCCTTGATGCCCGTTCGGGCCTCCAGTCGCTTCTTTGTCTCCGAGAAGAGTTCACCCTGACCTGAATTAGTCCTATCTCTGTTTTTAGTGTAGGTCGTATGGCTTACCTCTTTGAGGAGGAATTTGAACGGGATTCCATGGACCCGATTAGCATCATTCTGGAAATGAATGACTTTGATGAAATCCCTTTCATCAGCTTCTAATTCCTCTTCCGGAATTCGCTCTGCTATCACATCGGTGTAATCATTAATACTAAGGACCGGATAGTTAGGCGCAAGTTCCCGGTGAAATTTATGATGATGGATCTCGTAAACCCTAATTCGGCCGCCTTCGCGTTCGTCCTGGATTTGCGCCTTCTTCACAAACGCCTGAACAAGGTCTTCAATGTGCCCTTGCTTATTAACCAAGACATCAAAGGTTTCCTAGAAATTTTCTCATTAGGTACATATTCCATATGCGTACTTCAGAAGAACTTACGGCCTTTGTCATGCCTTCGCTCAGCCAAGTCACCTTGACATTCTTCTTCGTATCCAGCTCCGCAAGGCTCATATCTAGAACTTCGAAGAAGAGTGAGTTGGACTTGGTCTGCAGGGTTTGTTGGGTGTAGTTATTCGGATTCAATATGGTGCCGAGGTTTTGGCTAACAGCCCTTCTAACCGCCGACTTAGGACTTCCCGTGGAGGCATTGGCCGTGAAGAAGCGGATATGAGTAGGATCTACGCCCAGCTCCTCACCTACTCTCTCCGAAAGTTGGTCGTATGTAATCTTCGTGCTTAACGTAAGAATGAAACTCTGGTAATCGGTCTTCTCGCAGCGAGGATGGGGGTCGAATCGAACCTCTCGCTTGTTGCAGAGGAAATCGTAGAATCCCTTGGCGTCATCATATCGGTCCCATCGCTTGGGTGTTTCCTCCGAGTTCTTTTCTCCAAGGCGAGGGAGCTTGCCGAGAAGTTCACCCGACTTTCGCTCGGTGATCTTCTGGAAGCATATGATATCGCCATCTTGGAGCTCAGCAGCTTTCAAGGTTTGTTTCGCCTTAAGACTCTCAATCATTGCTGGTTTAATTTCCTCCCACATAGCTAATTGTTCGCCAGAAGGTAACTTGTCACCCCACCCCATCCTCTTGGCAATTATTGGCACTAGATCTTCTACCTTTTTTTCTCTGCTCACATAGATATGGCCCACTCCTTCGAGAGTTTGCCTCTCAGAATCGAAGTGTTTCAGGAAGAGAAGGATCAGGTCGTTCTTTACGATGACGCCGTTAGCATTGCTCTGGTAGGTGGGCCAAATAGCACGCCCTTCGGCGTCAACCTCATCTGCAACTTCTGCCCACACTCTCAGAGCATAATCTCGAGTGGTTGTAGCCATGCGCTGATAGGTTTCTTCAATTGTCGGTCTCGTGTCCATAATCGGCTGATCAGGCCTAGTGGTCTTATTCTGGCGATTTACCATGATCCACAAACGTATTCTCTTGGGATCTTGATTGGTATCCTGGGCAATGAGCCCGACAAGCTCCTCAATTGTAGTTTGCTTTTTGGTACGGTAAAACCTAGGGGCTGCTGGATCTTCAGCAGGATTAGACTCGAAGTTCGTGAGGTCAGTGGAGCCGTGGTGTTTGAACGTCTCTCCCGTGATGACTTTAACAGGTAGGTAAAGGTGTTGCTCCTCACGTTCTCTTCTCTTGGCCTCACGCGCAGCCGCCTCTTCGTCCAAACGTTTTTCTGATTTCAATAAATTAGCTTAGTCCCGAATTCACGTTGAAGAAACTTACGCAGATGCGGCGGGCAATCCTCTTTCCTGACTGGCGTCAAGACTTGATCCAAGCGGGATTCTCGGATGTAAACCAACATGTATGCACTCATCTGTCGCATAATCGGAGACTTCTTCTGGAGACCTGCACGGGACTGCAAAAGTGAGGCTGGGTATTCGCCCCCAAAATTCTCTTCCAAAGTTTCTCGGATGGTTGCCTTTGTGACTTTGTCATCGTCGAACTTGTAGAACCAACCATCTTTGTTGGGCTTGAGGTAAGCATAGTAATGGCCCGCATTCAAATCTCCGCTGTGCACCAATACACCATGCAGTTTGTATATCCACGGTTCAGACTTGTCCGCATCTTGGTCCAGGTAAGGGGTCAGATCTAGAACCTCGGGAAATTCGAAACGGTCGTTGATCTTCATCATCGTATCGCGCTGGATGTCGTACTCGAACCGCTTTAAATGTAGATGTAATACCTCCGGAAAGCTCTTGAAAATCACACCCTTGCGAGCGTCCTGGTACTTGTACTCATCACCTGCCCAATACTTGTTGTCGCCATCAAGAGTCTCTTGCTGGATATAGTCTTTGAAACTCTCCTCAAGATTAGGTATCCCTCGAACGTTGAGTTGGATATCCCAGAAGTCTTCAATTCGGCTGGATTCATATTCAACATCAATACAAGAGACATACGTCTTTACTTTCCCGCTGAGCATCCGCGGAAGAGCGTCTTCAGCCGCGGTGCCCTTCATCCTCTCCTCCATGCGTTCAATTAGCTTGCGGGACAACTCTTGCACGTCTTGCTGCTCAAAAATATGTCGTGTGTCCCAACCAAAAGACTTTGTTAGCTCATTGGTGCCCACGGCCTGGTTCGAAATCTGAAGCTGGTAAAATAGTCTCTGAAGTGTGTAGGCACTATTAGTTATGCTTTCGTCTTCTGCAGTCGGGATTTCGTACACGGCCTAAAATCTGTTAATAAAAATTCTCTCGTACTTTGAAAAAGTCTCATCCACGGAAACTGTGTTATCTAACCTTTCGAAAAGCATTTGTGAAATAGAGCGACTGCAGTAGCGAATTAAGGTAGCATGTGGCACCCTGGTTCTTCAAACCAACATATCCGGTTTCCTTCTTCGAATCGTAGTTATTGAAGTTGTGCCACAATACGCCTGTCTCGTCTTTGACCACTCTGACGTAGGCGGTGATATTGACGGAGTCGTTCTCGACTAGCGGGTGGCCAGAATTATCCCATGGTTGCTGAAACATCTTCCTCAGTTCGAGGAACCGTGTGAAACCCCAATCACTCTCCTCCTTCGTAAATCGGTGGTGGGCAGTATGGTGGTAAAAGAGGGACGGGTCGTTGATATTCCACATGACCAGCCCGAACTGCACACAGCAGCTCCAATCCTCGGGTATGCTGTTGGCATCTTGGAAGCCGTGCTCAAGATATACCGAGGACTGGTCGACATTGTTTCCAAAAGGGAAAAGCAGAATTCGCCTGCTCAACCAAGTCAGCAAGCTAGCTCCTCGAGTAAGAGTATCACATATCTGCTGACCAAGGATGTCCGCCTGCTTGAAATACGGGGCCGTGTTCTTTCTTAGAGAGCGCTCTCCAATTTTGTACCGTCCATGTATTGATGACATCCTCTAAAATCTCAGGTTCGTCTAGGAGAGGCGGTAGTACTATCTCTTTCATGGCCTCATCTGGAACGGGAGAGCTTGTTAGTGGGAACGTCTGCTAAAGGAAATATATCCAATCTAGGCTGTCTAGGGCTTGCACGCACAATCGGTAGCCAGGATAGGAGTCTCGAGGTTCTCAGCATCGTTATCCAGCTGCTCTGGATTGATCTCTGTAACCTGGTCCTTCTCATTTAGAGTCGGTTGGACGACCATCTCGTCCTGGGTGTCGACCACCATCTCGTTCGGCGAGTGGATCTCGGGATCGTAGCTCTGATAGGTAAAGGATACCGTTAGCTGGCTTTGAATCTCTAGGTTTGTGATTGGAATTAGAGAGTTGGCTTGGTGTTGGCTTGTGGAAGCCTAGGTAAAATAGGGCGCGCACGAATAGAAAAAGATTGTTCAATAAAGAGACTTTCGCGTGGCGTTCCCTTCGGCGGAGTCGAGTAGCGAATGTAGTTGAAGTAGTTCAGTGGTTCAATAGTGCTAGAAATAGAGATACGGGCTTACCATGGTTACCTATGGTTTATTTAACACTATATCTCTTGAGTATCTGCTGCCGACTTCCAGGCTTCAATGTTGAATGGTCCTCCCCAAACCCGTGGGATAAAAAAATGTAGTCGAGGTCCAGCTGCACACAGCGGGGCTACGACGGGGTGGCGTGGAAAAGAATAATTAGAAAGAGAGACAGCGCAGCTCACTACTAGCGACTGCAGCAATAGCAGTCGGGAGGAGCTAGAATGGGACGTTGATGAAGTTACGCGACTGGGCGTAGGTTGGTTAAAAAAAAAGTGTAAATTTGTAGGAAGGCGAAATGTCTAAAGGAAAGAAAACGGAGATGAAGCTCTAGTACAGAATTGCTTCATCGAACTACCAGGCCAACAAGCGCTAGGTGCAGTAAGGTGGGAGTTAGAAAGTGGGTTGTGACACCTCGGGTCCATACGTGTACAGGTAGCGGCGTACTTTTTTTGGTCCTTGAATGTGTATTTTTATTGTGGCGTACTGGTACTTTTAGGATAAGGCAGCCTAGACTCTAGAGCGCGGAGTAGAAAGGTGCAGCGGGGGAGAATGACCGGATTAGTTACAAGGTTGAGATACCTTTTTTTTTTTTTTTTTTTTTTTTTTCACCGCAAGGACCAAGGGCCTAAATATGTACCTAGGTAATGTAGCATTGAACTTGGTGGAAACTGAATTGAACCTTATGACGCGGGTGAATGTTCCGGGAGGTAACCTGTACTTTGTGCTTGATCATATTCCTAGGTTGGAACGTTTGCCATCTTCTAGAATGTCAATGTACAATGAACTTCGATAGACTTCTGCTAGAGACTTTCTACCTCATAGTACGGAAGCTGCTGACTAAACCAGATGTGCTTATTGTACATAGTAGAAGCCCCGCCAATTCTTCTCAATTGGCAATGACGTTACTACGATAAGCATCCACACGGCCATGAGAACGAGTGGAATTTCTTCATCTAGAGGATAGGGCTGCTAGTGAGACAAACAAAGAATAGACGACCCATTTCATTCCATAATGATGTGCATATCATAATAGTTCTTAGTGCAAGGTAGAGTTATTAGAGTTCAGTATTGAATTTAATATCTACTTAGGTATATTCCATACGTGTATGCAAGCATAGGTATTTTTCAGTGAAGACGGGTACATACCTAGGTACCTAATCTAATAGGTAATGAATGCATTAACATATGCTCAGATATGTTTGAACCAGTGACTTTAATAAATGAAATCATTTGAATAATATGTTTGTGTTCCCACCCTATACATCTTGCACGAATGTGTAATGAAGCGTCTCAAGATTCAAGTATACATACATACCTGTAGAGGCATTGAACTTGCCATGGCCCATGGCCGATTGGAGAAATGTGGGGTATCACCTGTGCTGCAAGCGGTACACTAAGCAGGTCCTTTACACTTGCACAATTTGAAAGACTTTTTACTATGTAGAGTCATAGGTCACTTACTTCGTCACTACCTTAGCTTCTTTACATATATGTACCTAGAGGCTAGAGCTATGTACCTAACCAACCTCGAATCTTGGCGAAACCGGAACATGTACTCCCCATGACTTATTAGTCCCCAAAAAGTCCAGCAGTAACATGTGAGGTAGCTTAAAGCTCCAAAATACGAACCCCCTCCAAAAAAAAGGAGAACACCTCTTTCTCTGTTTCTTGGTTGCTTCTTTTTTTTTCTGTGTACCCTTTTCAAAACGTTGCATTGTTCACTCTGGCATGGAATCGTCGGCATGTTACCATTCGCGGTGCAAGATGCCACCAAAGCCTTGCGGTTGACCTCCCGCCCAAGAGCTTCGATCATGACGGCTCGAGTCCCCGTTTCGCTGTTACCCGCCTCAAGATTGATAACCCACCGTAACGATTCCAGTATAAAAAGCAAGCGGTGGTCGCACACAGCGAAATGGAGGCCGGTCCAGATTTTAGATGAGTATGGTGCTCCAGCTTTGCATCAACCTGTTCGTGTGTCTTGTCTGTATCGTGACTAACAGTAGTCCGCCTATATGTATGTAGATGGGTCGTAAAGGAAGCTCGTCCTATTAGCTTGCGACAATTGATGGTATTTGGCCGGTCGTTGACTGAGGCGCGACTGATCAGCTCCGCGAATTATGTTCGCACCGAACTCCCCACGAGAATCGCTCACCGGATTCGCGATATGCAACGCTTACCTTATATAATTGTCACGAATCCGCAAATTAGTGATGTGTATGAACTTTACTATACCGCATTCGACACCTTCCGGCGCATTAGAGAGGTCAAGACGCTCGAGGACAATGACCACCTTTGTAAGGAGATAGCTAAGATGTTGCGCGCCCACTTGACTGTGATTCCGAAATTGGCTATGGGTATACTCGAGTGTAGTGGGTTAATGCCTGCTTCTGAGCTGGATCACTTCATGAACACTATCTTACGATCAGTGAGTAGATTCGCAGTAATGATTTATAAGAGATCAGAGCTGATATCGTTCTCGTATAGAGAATATCACGTAGAGTTATCGCAGAACAACACCTCGCTCTAACCGAGACCTTCAACTCGCATTGGTTCTCACCCGGAGCTAAGCTCTCCGAGTCCGAGTTCATAGGCGAGGTATTCATTAAGTGTGTAGCCAAAGACGTAATTGAGCACTGCGCCAAAGCTGTGCAAGACCTCGCCCGTTCCGCCAATGGACCAGATACTAAGATTCCCGAGATCAGAATCAACGGACACATGGAGTCCTCCTTCCCATACATCCTAAGCCACTTAGAGTATATCATAGGCGAGCTTCTTCGAAACTCTGTCCAAGCTGTCATTGAAAAGCATCAGAAGAGTAAAGACCCCACTTCAAACCCGCCGCCCATCGAGGTCACCCTGTGCGAGGCGCCGCAGCACGTCATTATTCGTATCTCGGACCAAGGTGGTGGCATCCCGCGCGATATTCTCCCGTATCTATGGTCTTTCGGTAAAGGGCCCCTGAAAAACCAACGCCTCGAGAACCTTGGGCAAGTACCGCTTATGGCAGCTACGCTACAGGAGCTCAAGGTCAACGACGGCAAGTTGACGGGCCTGCAGAGCGAGCGTTCAGGCCGTGATAGCTCGCTCTCTTCGCTGGCTACTAGACCGCCCAATCTCCGCCTTGGTATGGGCCTCCCATTAAGCCGTGTCTATGCCGAATACTGGGCTGGAAGCCTGGAGTTACATAGTTTAGAAGGGTACGGCGTAGATGCCTTTCTGCAGATTTCAAAGCTGGGGAATAAGAACGAACAGCTAGCCACAAGAGCAGCAATGGATGCTGTTTAGTAGAGGGAAATTTGCTAAGATGCTTTGGTTGTAGGATTGCGGAGAAGAGATGACTGGGATGTAATTATATCGGTTTTGATCGATGAGCTGATTTGTAGCGTCAAAGATGCCATAGCGTTTAGTTAACCAGGTTTAAAAGTGAGCGAGCGGATGGGGTTCACGAGGTATATATGAAGAAAGTCTTGGTTTGCTTTACTGGTATCATAGAAATTTGCGATTACATCGTAAAATAAGCCTAACTGATTTGGAGAGAAACGGAGGTCACAAATCGACCTCCAAAAAAGGGAGAATATTTTGATATCGCAGGTAAAGCCACAAACACGCTTGCCGGTCCATAACCCTCCTTCCCCTGCCATTAGCAGACACAGAATAGCACCACACCGTTAGGACCTTGACAATTCACCTCTTGACACATGTAAATTAGCTTGTAAGCATATCATCCATCAACGACACATAATCCCATAGAATCAGAGATGCTGCTGGGATCTGGCGTTCTCAACAACTCCATACTCCGTACTGGACGGAAGCATTAAACTAGCGCTAGCGGAATCAAATCGCTTCGTTGGCGAAATCGGGGGTATATAGAGCAGAACTCTTTAGCGGCGGCCGCTGCGGGCAAGGCTGCCTTGCATTTGCTCCAGCTCGTTCTCGAGCTGCTTGATCTGAGCATGGGTCTGCTCGAGATCCTTGTTAAGGCGGTCACGCTCAGCAATGAGCTTCTGCTCCCATTGTCGGAATCGCTGCTCCTCCACCTTGACCTGCTCGGTGAAGCGCTTACGAAGGGCTTCCTCTTCCTCTTTGTACTTGGGGTTGTCCAACTTGCGGGGGCGGGCCTCGCCAAACTTCCGGGTCTCCATCTGTTGAGCGCGGTATGCTTCGTAGTGCAACTCCTCGGTCGTGTGAATGAGGTCAAGCATGTGCGTACGGATCAGGATCGAACGTAGCTTCTTAAAGTCGCAGTGTTCTTCGTTCTCGACTTCGGCAACACCCCACGAGTACTGACGACCCTTCACGATGCGGCCATCATTCGTCTTGACATCCTTCTCCGAGCCGATAACAGCGAAAGGCATGGCAGCCATCAGGCTACGTGCGTGCTGGGCAGCGGCCTCGTCGTCTTCCTCGATCGGGGGCTGGTAGATCTTGATGTTCTGGGCCTCAATGACAGCGCGGATCTAATCACAGGTCAGTTAATTGAACAGCTCGCTTATGAATGGATAGGCCTACCTTAGCCTTGAACTTAGCAAGGTCAGAAGGGCTCAGAGTATCAGCTTTGGCGATAACGGGAATTAGGTTGACTCTCGAACAGAGTCTCTTCATGACCTCAATATCCAGAGGCTTCAAGGTATGACCGGTGGGTCTGATGAAGTACAGGCAAGCGTGGACACGAAGGTCAATCTTGTCCTGACGGCGGGGTTGTTGCTCCTGGAGCATGTAGGACTCGTGCTGATCGTCGAGGAACTCAATGATAGGCTGCCACGAATCCCGGTTGTTCACATAGTCGCCGAAGCCAGGTGTGTCAATGACAGTTAGGCGGACTGCACATAAAATAGTTAGTAAATGATATACTGGTAAGCTAATTGAGCTTTGGAATAGAGCTAGAAGTACCCTTGAAGAACTTCTCCTCCAGTTCGGCCTTGGTAATCTCGATCTCGACAGTCTTGTCAATTTGCTTCTGATGTCGTCGCTTGTGGTCTGCATAGTTCTTGATGGTCGTAGAGAAGAGAGTGTTGATGAAGGTGGTCTTGCCCAAACCAGATTCACCAGCAACCTGAGATAATCTGTCAGTGATATAGATCATACAGATTATACACCATCACGCTAGCTTAGGCTAAGAGTAAGAAGCTCTCGCAAGGTGTACGTACCATGATAGTGAAAGCTGCACCTCTCTTCGCAACGATCTTGTGTCGCTGGTTGGGCAGATTGGCAATGCCAATTGGCGACGCGCTTTCGGCAGCGGTGGCTGGAGGCATGGTGAGGGTGGTTTTATTGGGTTTTATTGGGTAACTATTAGACAAGAAACAAGAAGAGTTAGTTGATCGTGATGGAATAAAGGTTATAAGGCCAAGAAAGCGTCCAAGCCTAATTGTCGTTGTATAACTGATTGTCGGAGGGAATGTTTCTCTCTGGAGAACTTCTTCTCTGGATACGAAAACCGACGTGTGATGTTGACAAAGACAAAAAGGGTTCGAACTTCGGGCTACTTCAGGGGAAAGCGTTGCTGGTCAAGCAAATTTCCTTACCACAAAACCTCAAGTGCAGGGCAACCGAAAGGGAACAGGGATTAAATTGAGTGTCAGTGGCCCCCTTTCCCCATTTCATACATTTCGTACCTGTGGTTCGAGCGTTGAAAGCCTTGACCGCCTGCCACTACCAAATTCCAACGAATTTCCCACGAATTTCCAACGAATTCTAGCCTAATCCGGTTAGAGAGTAGTGGAGGTAATAAAATGGGTAACGTCAATCCGAGGAAAGAACCTTGGTCCTTGATTGGATAAGAAGCACCCACTTAGCAGAGCTCTAGGCTTGTCCTAATAAAAAAAAGGTACCTACCTAACCTAGGAGGTAGTATTATCTTAATTATCTTATCAGTGATAAGGAAAACAAAAAAGTTCTGGGATAAGATCCAACTTGTCGCATACAATCATCATCTATCTACCAAATACGAAGCACAATTCTTTAGTAAGGCCTTCTACATATTAGCTATGCCGTGACAATGAAGACGGATTTCAAGGTAAGCACTCTTCTATAACTTATTATAAACTATGAGAATCATACCCTAATTCTTATACTAGTTTTCCAATCTCCTTGGAACCGTGTACTGTCAGGGCAACCTCTTATACAGCCCTGATGGAACATGTTTGTTCTCACCTGTAGGAAACCGAGTTACGGTTTTCAACTTAGTAGAGTATGTCTTCTTTTTCTTTGGCCAACTCAGAAAGACATAATCCCTAATAACGTTATACCGACAGTAACAAGTCATATACGCTCCCCTTCGCGCATAGAAAGAACATCTCGAGGATCGGCTTAACGCCGCGGGGCAATCTTTTACTCTCCGTTGACGAAGACGGCCATGCGATCCTAACTAATGTTCCGCGACGAATCCCCATATACCACTTCTCTTTCCGATCACCTGTCACTGCTCTTGCCTTTTCACCCTCTGGGCGCCACTTTGCTGTAGGACTGGGTCGAAAGACGGAAGTATGGCAAGTTCCATCGACTCCCGACTCAAACGCGGATGGAGAATTGGAGTTTGCGCCTTTTGTTCGACACCATACCCACATGGGCCACTTCGACGACGTCCGTTATATTGAGTGGTCAACCGATTCGCGCTTCTTCTTAACCGCCTCCAAAGATTTGACAGCTCGGATATGGAGCTTGGACGCGGAAGAAGGATTTACCCCTACAGTCTTGTCTGGCCACAAACAAGCTGTAATCGGAGCCTGGTTCTCAAAGGACCAAGAAGCGATATACACTGTCAGCAAAGATGGCGCTGTCTTTGAGTGGAAATATACAAGGCATCCTAACGCCCCGCCGATAGACGAGGATGAAAATATGGAAGATGTCGACAATGATGATATGCGCTGGAGGATTGTCCAGAGACATTACTTCATGCAGAACAATGCCCATGTCAGATGCGCCGCTTTCCATCCCGAGTCTAACCTCCTAGTTGCTGGATTCTCTAATGGAATATTCGGTTTATACGAGATGCCCGATTTCAACACGATTCATACCCTTAGCATATCTCAAAATGAGATTGACTTTGTCACGATAAATAAGAGTGGAGAGTGGCTGGCCTTTGGAGCTTCTAAGCTAGGCCAACTCCTTGTTTGGGAATGGCAGTCCGAGTCTTACATTCTAAAACAACAAGGTCATTTTGACTCCATGAATTCGCTAGTCTATTCACCCGATGGAAAGCGCATCATTACCACCGCTGACGATGGCAAAATCAAGGTTTGGGATACCGATTCCGGATTCTGTATAGTGACCTTTACAGAACACACAAGCGGCGTGACTGCGTGTGAGTTCGCTAAGAAAGGCAATGTATTGTTTACTTCAAGTTTAGATGGCTCTATACGGGCCTGGGATCTTATCAGGTACCGAAACTTTCGCACCTTCACTGCGCCGAGTCGGCTTTCCTTTTCCTGTATGGCCGTCGATCCAAGCGGTGAAGTGGTTGCTGCCGGATCTCTAGACTCGTTTGACGTTCATATTTGGTCTGTACAGACAGGTCAATTACTTGATCAATTATCCGGTCACGAAGGTCCCGTTTGCTCGCTGGCGTTTTCGCCGAATGGCAGTACTCTGTTCAGTGGAAGTTGGGATCGGACGGCCAGGATGTGGTCGATATTTAGCCGCACACAGACCAGCGAGCCTCTGCAACTACAAGCAGATGTGCTCGACATTGCGGTCCGACCAGATTCTGCGCAGCTTGCAATTTCTACTTTGGATGGCCAAATATCATTTTGGTCAGTTTCCGATGCAGAGCAAGTATCGGGCCTCGATGGTCGGCGAGACGTGTCAGGAGGCCGGAAAATCACCGACCGCAGAACTGCCGCCAACGTTGCAGGAACCAAGAGTTTTAATACTATACGATACAGTACAGATGGAAGTTGCCTGCTTGCAGCTGGAAACAGCAAATATATCTGTCTGTATTCCGTAAGTACTATGGTTCTATTGAAAAAGTTCACCGTCAGTGTCAACCTCTCACTGTCAGGAACGCAAGAGTTCTTAAATAGCAAGTTGCTCACAGAAGCGGGACCGGAGGGTTTGCTTGATGACGAAGCAGACCATTCAGACCGTGAGGCTCGACGAGATAAACTGTTACCTGGTTCGAAGCGAGGTGGGGACCCGTCCGCTCGAAAGAAATTGCCCGAAGTGAGAGTAACTAGTGTGGGTTTCTCGCCTGCCGGCACTTCGTTTTGTGCTGCATCTACAGAGGGTCTTCTCATATACAGCGTAGACAATGAAGTTCAGTTCGATCCATTCGACCTTAATATGGAAATCACACCTGCTTCAACTCTTGCTGTTCTCGAAAACGAGAGGGACTACCTCAAGGCTCTAGTCATGGCATTCCGCCTCAACGAAGCAGCCTTAATTAAGAGGATATTCCAGTCCGTGCCGTACACAGACATACCATTAGTAGTAGAACAGTTCCCGACCGTATATGTCGCAAGACTATTACGGTTCGTTGCAGCTCAGACCGAGGAATCCCCCCACATCGAGTTCTGTCTCCTATGGATCAAAGCTTTGGTAGATAAACATGGATCGTGGCTTACGACAAACCGTAATAAAGTGGATGTTGAACTACGGGTTGTTTCGAGAGCAATAACAAGGATGCGGAACGAGATTAAACGGCTAGCAGACGAGAACGTATATACGGTCGACTATCTACTTGGGCAGGCCACCACTACGAAGGCAGATACTAACGGCCAGAGCCTAATTACTGATGGAGGGGATACCCCAATGAAGATGCTGACATCGGGGGAACCGCTCGCCTTGGAGGATCACATGCAGTCCGAGGCCGAGTCTGAGGCTGAATGGATAGGATTGGATTGACGACACCACCTAGGGTTACAAGGGTTACAATGCGTCAGCTTGAGGGCATGTGGTCTAATGCAGACACGAGCAAAACCATATCGCTCTCTCCTTTCAAAGTGTGGTGTGAGGCTCTGCGGCCTCTAGTAATACGGAAATTCCCTCCACCGAGTGTCAAGTTAAAGGGCAGTCCTCGTTAAGACGTGGTGCGGAGATGTTTACAATTTTACACCGAGAGAAGCGAGGTGTTCACTTCAGGATTAGTATTATTGGCCTTGTGGGAGATGAGGTTTGTTCTCACTTGTTCAACTATTCGGTCTCATAGGCTTATTCAGGTATAGGAGGGTGTCCTCTCTGCAACATAACCGAATTGCAATATAACCGATGTCACTATTTCCAAACTGATAGCTATGTTCTACCCTGACGGCCGCAGGACGCTCAAAAATTCATGTGAGGCTTATGCTAGTTGGTCAGGTCAGTACTGATGCAGGCGTTGTGCTACGCTGACTTCGGAAATGAAGCAACACTCCAGAACGCCTTGCGGTATTTAGGACGGATATATATCCCAACAAGCAATTGATCTCAATAGTTAACTCGGGCCGGATTCCTCTCAGCAATATTTCGGTTGCTTAGACGTTAGATTGTGATACTCCCGTCTTGTCTATCCTGCATTGGATACCATGGAGCCGGGAGGCTTAGCATATTTCAGCCGCCATACACCAACTTGACGTTGGGACTAGATATATAATGAAGCTCGCTTGCAGGACTAACAACCAGGAACATACAAGGGGTGGCGTAGCGCGCTGGGACGCATGTAGGATTTTTGCATTTTTAAGAAACCTACCTCACATGCTTATTGGATGTGCGACTCTATCGTTTACTTAACGTGCAATTCAACATAGTCTTAGTTACTTCCTTTATACCCGTATTCTCATTAAAGACTCTGCCCCGAGCTACTATAAGACATTGAACGTGACCGCTGTTGGTAGGGGGTTATCGGTGTCCTGCTAAGTAGCGCGAATGTTGCCTTAGCTGCCTTAGGCACCCAAGGCAGTTGATGTTCTATCACTAAACAATTAATAGATACATATAGGTACCTAACCTATGTCCTCTCAAGTGTGAACTAGTGTAAGCACAATATTGTTCGCCCCAATTTGATTGGTTCATCTCTCCTACTATTCTTATGATGGTACCTAATTTCTTGTATCTTGATAATCTTGGAGCTTGTGGTTTGATGATATATGTGGAGATGTATTTGTGCACTTGAGGGACATGCAGGTAGTCAATTTATACAGGTAGGTAAGTAGTATATGCACCCCACAAAGTATACTCAGCTGTATCTATTGCACATCGAATCATGGCCACATCATAAGTTCCCTGCTGCTTCGTTAAAATCTGATTCGCGCCGATCTTAGCCTTCAAAGGACTGATAATAGGCACCACAGCCAGAAAACCAGTCATACTTGATCCAATGAGACACAATAGTCGCCACATCCATATATTAGGTAAACTTTATACCCGCGCGGCCGACAAATCCTCCTGTCTGCCTAGTAGGTACTTCAGAACAAGGCTGAAAGGCAACTCTGCTTCTGAACCTGCTTACTTGAGCTTCTATATAAGAAGACATCCGTCCTTCCTAACTATTCGTTGGATATCCCAAACCACCAACCAGATCAACCATCGGCTCAGTAGAATAGAATAGGTGTTTTACTTGTTACCTAAGGTATATGTGATACACACACCAGTCTCCACGGTGAAAATGGACTACGGCGCCGTCTTTAGCAGCCTACTTCCGGGCACAAACGGCAATATATCAGATGCCACGGGCAATGCCTCGGCAACAGGCACCACGCAACATGCCAAAGTAGTCGAGAGCGTCCTGGCTCTGGTCGGACTGCGGGGTATGGCGCCCATCTACGGCTTCATAGGGGGGTGGCTGGGGTTCGAGCCGTCAAACCTGCTCGCCGTGATGGGCGTCTTCTGGGCTCTCAACAATCTGGTACGGCAGATGCATTGGTTTCTGCAAAAGGCGTTGACGGGGTATTTCATGAGCAGCGTGCACATCCGGAACGACGACGACATCTACGACCACCTTATGGACTGGCTCGCGACGCAGCCCAGGCTGGTGAACTCGCGAAATCTGGTCGCCGAGACGGCGAGCAAGAGGTCCTGGGACGAGGATGCGACGAGCGTCGCTAAGGACAGTTCTGGTCGCTACCTCAACTTTTCTAACCAGGAAGCTAGAGCTGTGAGTTGTTCCCCATTCTTATTATCACACAAATGCCTGCTAACACGGCGCCCGTATCAGCCAGCTTTCTTCAGCCCCGCCGTCGGCGTGCACAATTTCTGGTGGAGAGGGCAGTACTTCCAGCTGAACCGGAAGCGGGTGTCGATATTCGAGGAGAGCAACATGTCGGGCCAGATGTTCAGGGACCAGGAAGACTTGGAGATTTCGTGCTTTTGGAGAAGTCCGGGTAAGTCTTTTTTTTCTTTCTTTCCCCCCTGTTCACCTCGTCAGCTGACTGACGCGGTGCGACTTGCCAGAACCTATTAAGCAGCTCCTAGCCCACGCCAAGCAGCAGTACTTCCGCGACCACCAGGCCAGGACCACGGTGAAGCGGCCGAGCACCACTGCGGGTCGCCGGTTCGCGGGCCGGGTCGGTTGGTACCAGGTGGCGAGTCGGCCTATCAGGGACATCAAGACTGTCGTGCTGGACGAGAAGCAAAAGCTACAAGTGCTTGCTGATATTAACGAATATCTACATCCTGAGACTCCAAAGTGGTAGTAAGTAATGCCTAGTGTTATCCATCGCCCCTTTCTAGCTATCTTGTTGGGGGAGTTACTGCGTTTCCGTGATATACTCAAGTCTCCGATTATTTTATAAGTGTTTTGAAAGAGAAAAATTCTTAACTGACTTCTACCGCTATAGTTCGAATAGAGGCATACCATTGCGGAGAGGATATCGTATGTATTTCAATATCTCCTCTTTTCTCGAGAACCGTTGTCAGGTATTCAAACCTGGATGAGGCCATGTTCCCCCCTGAGAACGGACCTGGACCCCTTAGCTCATTACAGGAGGAAAAAATCGCTAACTATCGTTGAAATAGTTTTCCATGGCCCTCCTGGAACCGGCAAGACGTCCCTCTCGTTTGCCCTGGCTGGGATCTTCGGTCTTGATATCCACGTGATATCGCTTCTCGAGCCGAGCTTGACGGAGGAAGACTTGAGCAACCTATTTGCCACTCTCCCGCGCCGTTGTATCGTCTTGCTAGAAGGTAAGCCATACTTCACGCTCCATTCAGCACCCAACCCAAAATTCATAGATTTTCCCCTGGTTTCTAAGGGTTCAAACCGAAATCATCTACTAACAAACCCCCTAGATATCGACACAGCCGGTCTCCGCCGCCCATCCCTCAACCAATTCGACGACGGAACCCCGCAGCCCTCGGCCCAAGACAGCGCCACCGGCGGCAAAACCACCAGCAAATCCGTCACCAATAATAGCGGTGGCGGCAATAGTAACAATAACAATAACAGTACCAGTAACAGTAACGGGCCCCGCGACTGGAAAGTCAGCGACCTAGCGCGCGCGCTGAAGAAAGAAGGCGAAAGCGACCAGAAAAACGGCATTTCCCTGTCCGGGCTCCTCAACGCGATCGACGGCGTCGCGAGCCAGGAAGGCCGCGTCCTCATCATGACGACCAACACGCCCGAGCAGCTCGACGACGCGCTGATCCGCCCGGGCCGCGTGGACCTGCAGGTGGCGTTCGCGAACGCGACGCGCGACCAGGCGAGGGAGCTGTTCCTACGCATGTACGAGGAGGACCAGCAGGAGCCGGATTTGCCCGACCTTTCTTCCCCTAACCCGCCCCAAGATAACAAGAAGAAGCAGAAGAAGAAGGAGAAGGAGAAGACGGCGGCGAAGACGGCGGTAGAAGACCACCACCTCGACATCCCCGTCTCCGAACTCCCCGCCGTCGCGGCCGCTTTCGGCGAAAAGATCCCCGACGGAGAGTTCTCCCCCGCTACGATCCAGGGGTACCTCCTCAAGCGCAAGAAGCAGCCGCGCAAGGCTCTCGAGGAGGCGGATATGTGGGTGGAGGGGTTGCTGCGGCAGAAGGCGATGAAGACTAAGATCTTGCAGGTGCAATAAGTGAGGGAGTGAGTGAGCGAGTATGTGTGGAAAGCTATCTAGAGATACATACCTAGGCAATGAGCAAGCAGTAAGTAGGTAGTCTGTAACATGAGAAAAAAGGGGATTTCACTGGGTATGTCAATGGGTCGGCGGGATTGTCTAGTGAAACATTATTTTTGCATAGAGGGAAAAGTTGGATTACATTAGCCGTCTGTCTCGGCGTTGGTTGGAGTTTGACGTCTCATTTCTGGTGTCTGTAGACATCTACACCTACCTGGTACCTAAACATAAGAAGACCCCCTGACGGACGAAGTAATATGCACATGTTGTTCATCAATGATGAATATCTAAGAGTCCAATTGAATGATTGAATGCTAGATCTGGAGTTGGCGTGATTCTGAATAAATATGCAGCGATCTTGGAACTGCCGCAATATATTTCAAGTATAGATAGGGGGTATAAATTACACAAGCGGCAGTGAATCAGGCCAAGCGTAGATAAAAGATCTACCGTCAAACCAGCTACGTTCTGGGGGCGTAAAGCCGTTATACGAACATTGTCATCGCTACACCTCGATGCTAGGCCCCTTCTCCTGGATCTGGACAATAAGATCATGCTGCGTCTGAAGGTTCTGTGAGGAGCTGAGTGACCTCGCCACCGTAGTTTCATGCTTCTCAACCACTATCCGCCTCAGCGCCTTCACTAGGAAGCCCGCAATTAAGTCCACGCTCCAACTGTCCGGTATTACCGATAATACATCACCGACGTCGAACCAACTTCCGAATTTTTCAAGCAGCAAGCCCGTCTGCTCCACTCGATCGCTAATATCCTCGAGTTTGAGGAACTCTCCGAGTAGTGCACGGAAGAGCCGAGCTTGCTGGTCTTGAGTTGGCGGCATGCTGTCACGGCGCTTTAGTGCCTTCGAAGTGTCTGAGTCTGTAGGTGGTAAACTTTGCTGGGTTTGATAAATAGTGTAGATGCTTGCACCACCGCGGAGACAGTAAGCCACGGCCGTATCGTAGTCTCCAAGGTGATGGACTAGTAGACGTAATGCATTTTCGTGTTTGCGTTCTCGGCCATCGAGTATTATAGTCTCAGGTACGAGAAGGTCTTCGGCTGCTGTATTCAAACTTGCAATCCGATCCCTGATAACTGCCAAATCAAAGTCATGGTTACCACCAAGCAACTGTAAGAGCCGCAACCGACTAACCCACGCCTCGTCATCGGCTGGGACATTGTCCGTTAAGAATTGGCGGTATGTGGGTTTTGGGGGCTGGAGAGCACGATATGCCGTATACGTAGACATTACTACATCTCGAGCTTCGGGCGATGTCCGAAAACGAGTGATCACAATGTCCAAATAGTACATGATCAGCTCGTTAACGTACACAGTATTGCCCTTACCGAATACAAGGTACTCCAGATAATACTTTACTGCATTGGGGGCCTCTTCTCTGAGAAGTTGAACCACTTGGGTAGGTTCGAACTTCGGGGCGCGGCCCTTATCATCAGCAAATATCTGGACACCAAGCTTCGGGTTTCGATTCGCAAGCCAGATCCCGTATTCCTGGACCAGACTTTGGTTGCTAATTTTTGACAGATATTCGCGTACTCGCTGTTCGCCGTCGGTTAACTCACCCCCATCATCCCGTTCACCCTCGATGATGCGTTTCCAAGTAGCTAAGACTTCTCCCGCCATCTTACGACTCTGGTAGAGTCTACTAAGCACGTAGAGACGGTGGTAAGATTCAATCAACGTTTCTGCTCTGCTGAAACAGCCTACCCCTGTGTCCACGAGCTCGTATAAATCTGCCCGAATTGACCTTGCTTTGGCTGGGCCAGTAGCTGAATGCTGATCGAGTTCGAGGAGGACGGCAAGTAGGGCTGCGTCGACTGTGCGGAAAACCTCGCTCTCGTCCGGTATGCTACCGAAGCCCTTTTTGCGTCGCCAGGCGGTAAGGAAACGTCTCAGGAAATGCAGTACTGGCTGCGATAATGCGCTCATAGTTGAATTTTCTTTAGGGAATTCCCTGTTCGATATGAATTCTTCAGCTGTCGATTTTACGCCTCCGAATATCCATATGCCTCGTTTTGTCTCGATTACCTCGTTACGAGCTCCAGGTATCAAGGAGAGGACGACTCGAGGGTCAAGAAGGCTATCAACTAAAATCTCTTCCATGGCTCGGAGGTCTGATTCCGAGAAAGGGGTATCTTCTGACTTAAGGAAGCTCGTTAATAAGAGTATACCTACTCGTTGCCGTATGTAATTGAACGTTAAAAACTCCAATTCGGACTTGGCGTCTTGACCTCGGAACGAATTTAGAATGCTGAATAATTTTTTTCGTTCAGTAGACGCCTGGTGTGACGCCGAGATCGTCGTTTCTAGCTGTGCATCTAATTGTAATATTAACGGATTTCGAATAGCCCACCATATATTCTTTCCAGACCACACAGCTAAACGAGCCGTGCTTCCTGCGAGGCGGCGAGCATATTCTTCCTCTTCAGCATTACGTGTCGCCTGCCAACCATCGGGAAATGACTCCTCACTCTGGGAATCGGTATCCCTATCAAAAAGTTCTCTCTCTTTAGACATCCTCTCCATGGAGGATGCTGTTCTAGAGTCGGTTGTCCGCAAAGAAATTGTCGAAGCACTTGGGTTATCCGCTAAAAAAGGGAGAAATCTCCTCCGACATAATCTATCGACAATTTCCGGGAAATGAGTCTCTTCTAACCCGCGTAATGTCCGAATTCCTATGTCTTGTGCGGAGTTGGCCACCGAGTCGACATTTGGAGGTTCAAGCCAATATTTGGAGACTTCGCCTTCGGCCGCGTTAGTATCCCAGCGTTGGATTTCCAGACCATAATGGACGCCGTCAGGAAAGTCTCGGCCCATTGACGCAAGAACAAATCCCTCCTCGTCCAAAGCAAGCGAGGCACGCGACGAAGATGAGTCTGCTGAACCTCCATCGACAACAATCTCTTTAGGATATCGATCAAACTCAAGGGTAGGCCTTGTAGGATCACCATCTAGGTTTACAAACATGCCAATGCCTGGTTCCAATGGGTCCGTACCAGTGACTAGCAAGAATTCCTCCGGCGTTGGAGATACGATGAGAGGTTTTAAGAGGCTTGACCTCGGCTTGGACATTGGAACTGTTCGACCCGCTTGGCCTTCTGACGCTTTACCTGACGCTTGAACATTCGTGTCATCAGGTGAGGTTTGGCTGGCCGTTAATTCGGACGGAGTTGGTTGTCGCAAGACCGGCTCTTCATCCTCGGCAGTATCATGTTCCTGTTTTCGATTGGCGCCCGTTATAAAGTCACCTAAACTTGTTCCTCGTCGATGAGCGGGGGGCTCGGGACTTTCTGTTTGCAGGCGAGCCTGTCCAGAGGAGTTGCTGCGATTTAATCCACCTCCTGAACTTCCGGAAATATGCTGGGCTTGACCTACGATATTTCCTGGTTCAGCTTCGTCTAGTGATGAAATAGACATCAGGGGAATTTTTAACTGATGGTTAATCTCGAGCAAGGCATAGCTGCGTGAGTCTGCTACACAGGCAATCGAGTCTCTCCTTATGGAAATTGTGCTTCCCGCGAAGTCGATCTTCTTGATAGGTTGAGCCCTATCAGCTATGTTCACCACCTGGATCTTCCGGTTGAGCGATAGCAGTATGGTAACGCCTGCGGGCTCTTCTCGTCCATCTTGGCCAGAATTTAATTCGTTGAGATCTATTCCGCCTACCCAATTGCAATTTTTAACCTGTGTTCCACCAAAGACAGGGCTTAGTTCTGGGAGCGAATAGAAGGTGACAGTCCAGTTGCATAAAATACAAGCCTTGTTAACGGCTGGGAGTAATAGTATCTGCTGAACACCGGGTCTTGTAGAATATGATGCCGCTGTTGATTCGGCAAAGGGAGGGCGTAGTCTTGAGGCAAGGATGAAGGTCGGGGCGTTAGATTTATCTGCAGGATCTGGGGGTATCTGAAAGAAGTGAAGAAGTTCCGAGTCGGACGTGCCTACGTATAAGTGGTTATCTGACGAAGGCATTAACTAACTTGGACTCGATATAAATTAGACCATAGGCGAAAGCTTCCTATACTATGCGCACCTAAGTATTCGACACAGTTAATTCGTATGTCGTCTCTTGTTCCATCTTCTGATAGTGGGACATCGGCGAAGAGGGTTCGAAGCACGAATGGTCCGGCACCGAAAGGTCTTAGCGAGCTTTTGTCGCTTGAAAGTTCGGAAGCCATGGTGAAACCGACAGCATCATAAGTAATTAGAGTTATTCATATTGGCGCCCTGTGAGTGTAGAACTCATAGTGATTGTAATTTGATGTAAAGTGGTAATTCAAGTGCGGCGTCTTGGGGAATTTGGAATTCGGACGTGTAAGAAAGCTGAGGTGGAGCGAATTGAGCTGAGATTACGTACATGTATAATAGGTGTACCTCCCTTAGGTAAGGTATTGCATTAGGCACCTCTATCCAATCATAAATAATCCAGCTCTTCAGGGACCTGGAAGAGCAGCTACAGTGGATTTGTAGTCTATTTCTAGCACTAAATCCACTAATCAAACCAACTTGCCGAGCTCGCGGATCCCTGCACTTGCATCTACTAGATGCAGCCTGCGTTGAGACATGGAACGAACACGTTCAACCTTTACAACTTATTCTTATTCTAGACCAATCTACCGATCACTCGGCGCTCGCAACTGACGTCGGGTTGCCTGGCGCATAACTTCCTGTAGTATATCAGATTTTATATTATACTCGTATCTCTAATGCTTCGATGACCGCGGCAGCGACATCTGCCCCTAGCTAGAAAGAAAGGAAAAGAAAAAGAAAAACCATGGCCAACGTGTCTGAGGCGCCGCAAGCCGCACAACCCCAATCACCACAGCCTATCGGTGATGGATCAAATCAATTCCAGCACGCTATTTCAGCATGGAGAAGTATGCATTTCCTTTGCTGCCCGCATTGGAGCTGTTGTATTGCTGGTCCTAACCTTTAACAGACATTGATTTGGGCTCGTTGATGTCAACTCTTGACAACACGGCTTCCGACATCGTAGCTTTTCAACGAGACTCTACCGTCCAGCGAAAGGATTTGGCTCAAAAGACAAAAGATTTCAGAAAGTTAGATGATGCAACCAAATTAACGGAAATCAAGGGTCTTTTGAAAGCATACCAGACCTTTATAGACCTCCTCACTAATCATTCCAAGTCGACCAATTCTGCGTTTTTGCAAGTTTACTCCGCCCTCGAGAATGCCCCCGATCCGTATCCTTTGCTAGAAGCGTCGGTTGATTCTATGCTCGTGGCCGAAGACACTCTACCTAAGCTTACCGACGAAAATCAGCATCTACAAGGAAGTGTCGCAAAGCTTACATCACAACTGGAAGAGACGGAGTCGAGGCTACAGTCAGAAAGTGCCAACCGGAAACAGCTAGAAAGCACTCTCGAAACTAAGGTCAGGGAAGTAGAGGAGTCCTGGATCGCAGTTGTGGACGAGAAGAAGGACAACTGGGAAGCGAAAGAGAAAGCGTTAGAAGAAAAGATCGAAAGCCAGGAGAGACTATTAAATGAAATAAAGGCTAGCTACGAGGTGAACCAGCGTCTAAAAGGGTCGGAAGATGCAGATGCTGAGGGCGGTTACGGCCATGTCACGAATGCTGAGTTGGAAATGATCAATTCTGATCTAGAACGAACCACCGCCAGACTGGCTGATGTTGAAGCCCGGAACGAGCAGTTACGGCTAGAACTCGCCCAATCTAAATCCCAAGTAACAGCCCAAGCACCAGTTTTGGAAGACGACCCTGGTTATATACGCATGAGGTCGGAAAATTCATCGCTAATTCGCAAGCTGGACTCTGCGAGAGTGGAAAAGGAGGCTTTCAAGAGGGATATCGATGCAAAGCTTAGAAGCTTGGAGAGAGAAGTTGGCCTTTTGAAAGAGGAGCGCGATGGTCTAAAAGCGAAGGTACAGAAGTGGAACGACTACGATGATATCAAACAAGAACTAGAGGTCCTTAAAAGCATCGAATTCGCGACAGGTGACGACGACGACATGCTAGCCGCTTCGGAATCGAACGGCTCCGCTCCCAAAGGAAAGGGCGATACTCTAGAACAGTTGCTATTAGCGAGGAACAAGAAGTTGAGTGACGAGTTGACTATCTTACGAGTATCTCACCAAGATCTTCAGAGCCGGCTAGAGAATCTCCAAGAAGAAATGTCCAGGACAAATGCAGACTTGGAGAGATCTCAGAACCTCAACACTCAGCTAGAAAACGACCTAGCCAACCTCCAGTCTGAAGGACACAACGCGTTCCCCTCTGGGGCATCAGTAGCTGGCACATACACGAGATACGCGCCATCTATAGCACCCGGAAGGAGGGGTGGGCGAACGTCACCCACATCGTCTATCATATCTGGTTTCGATCCACGTATGACAGGGGGCGAGCCGGTGGGCGGTGGCTCGGGTATCTTACCCATGATCACCGCACAACGTGACCGCTTCAAAAAACGCAACGCTCAGCTTGAGGGCGAGTTGTCAGCGTGTCATCGCACCGTATCGCAGCTGCGGCAAGAAATCGCAGCTTTACAGAAGGATAACCTCCAGCTCTACGAAAAGACTCGATATGTGTCGACTTACAACCGTAATGGGCCCTCGGCGTCGTCAGCGTCGGCATACTCATCAAATCCTAACCCTTCCGTTATCTCGATGGGCGGAACTGGAAACCCCGGTATTGCGCTAGACCGGTATAAACAAGCGTACGAGTCCAATATTTCGCCCTTTGCGGCGTTCAGGGGGCGCGAGTCAGCAAGAGCTTACAAACGGATGAGTTTCCCGGAGAGGATAGTGTACTCGGTGACGCGGATGGTGTTGGCCTCGCGGACGAGCAGAAATCTATTCGCAGCGTATTGCGTCGCATTGCACATCTTAGTCTTTTTCTCGCTGTACTGGCTAGGTATGACAGACGTCGAGAAACATTCGAGCAATCTTAGCCAGGGTATAGCCGCCGCCGCAGTAGCGGGAGGGGCGGCCAGCGGTAATGGTGGTGGGAGAGGTCAGGCCGCCCATGCCGGGGATTGGCACGAAGAGGGTTTCAACGGGCACTGATAATTACGTCCGTAAATGCATCTATTGTATCATCGCTGGGCGATCATTGTTTATACGGCACGTGCAACACGTCTAATACCAGCCCGTTTCGTTTTGAATAGCGTACTGCCACCTTCTAAGCACCCAGACAGTGAGACAATGTAGTGTACCTACATCTCTGAGCAACGTTTGATACCGAGATAGACATAAAGCAGACACCCGTAGAGCCGCCGTACTGGAATAAGATGATCAAAGCAAGCAACCCTTCCATCCATAGTGGCAGACAGCATGAAGTGTAGGAAGATCACAAGGGCTATCCTCGGTACCATTTACCTACCTTCTCTAGACGAGCCTTCATTTGTCCCATGTCACGAGAGAAGAAACCAGGACCTAACTTGTCGAGATCTCGAGCCGCCACGTTGGATATCATGCACACAATCTGTAAGCGGCCCGGCGAAGAAACAATCCTGGTAAGGCCTTGGCCAATAGAATTTGAATCTCTCTGATTGGAGGCATGTAGATGATCCTTGATTTCATTGATTTCAACGGTTGGCAACACACATACTACCTACCTACCTATAATATGTATATCTTCAGCTACGCGAAGCAAACACCATATTTTGAGGGGTAACCAGCATGTTACTGACCATCAGCCTGCCCTCCAAAAAATATCTTTTTTTTTTCTTTCCATGACAGACTTGGCGCGGTGTCATACGCGTACACACCTTACAAAGTATCTCTCGGTATCAAGATCATATCAATATAATGCCTACGGATGCTATCTCCGTCAGACGAGCGAGACGCCTTCTTCATTTATCATAGCGCACCTGAGACGAGGCGAGATTAATAGACGGGGTGATAAGAATCTAAGTTGGTGATGTGCGAGCGGGTAAGGGTAACATTGCAGCATTTATTTACATGGGGAAATCCATTATCAGGTCTTCGAATTTGCCCGCAATTCGACAAACCCAAAAATAAACAGAATTAGCTTTTTAACTTTCTTTTCTCCCCCTTGCTTTGGTAGGAACCTAAGTGGATCTCAATCCCATTACCCATACCTGTTCCCGACCAATTTGCCCAAGAACTTGAGCATCCATCACCCAATCATGACGCCGCCCGCTTTTTACAAACCGAACTTGGGATTGGCTTCGGGTCCCGCTGACGGGTTTGCTACCGCGCTTGTTGCTATTTCTAGCAACTAACCGCCAGGGCCACGAGGTGCGGTTCCCCGGCTGCAAAAGCATGGCGAATTAGCCCGGAACTATTCAGCTACCTAGCTATCTTACTGGTCTTTCTTTTTCGAAATTAGCCCACCTTCTTTTTCTTGGTGAGCTAATTACTCCTCTCGCTTCCATGACTTTTAATCTCTTGGGCCAGAAGTCCAGGGTTATTGTTAGGTACGTACCTAGGTGCCTACCTAGTATGATCTAATGAGGTGTTTGCGCAACCAAGATCCCTTAGGAAGCTTCTTCTTTTTTTCCCCTTCCTTTTACACTATTCTACACCGAATCCACCAATGAGACGCCAGCATATGCGTCAGGTCAGCACTGACCGGAGTTCTAGGTCGATCCGAAAGTCGTAGTCACAATAACCTACTGCAGAACTTGCACCGCCTACCGGATCTATGAGATTCCAGATTATGGGATTTCTTTGGGATCATGTCGGAGGTTATCTTGACATATCTTCCGTATCTCGTGCTTTACTTATACGCAAAACACGTTCGCTGATCCTCCACGTAGCTGTGCCTTGCTTGCTGGCGTCACGATTCCATATGTATTGGAATCATTAGGTACCGTACCTAAGCTACCAAATCAGATATGCAGATACTTTCCGGCCACGTCATGTACTATGCTAGGTTAGGTAGTTTGTGTTATTGAACAATATGTACGCCAACACAAGTGTTAGAATCGGAGAATCTACACCTTTGCGGTGCTTCGGAGCGAGATTCTATCAATATGTCCAGAAGGAGCTCATAGATTACTGATTACTGTTTTTCGTTTTTCGTTTTTCGTTCTTTGTCTAGCTCGAACTGGTTCTCGCTGCTTCAAACATAACACGTTTTGCCGATACCCGCCTCGATAATTTTCTCGAGAGCTACACCAACCACCGAGCGTACACAATAGGGTGGCCGAAGAAGAGACGACCTGGCGCTTATACGGTAGCTTGGACAATCCCTTCCAGCCAGTCAGATTGCGGGACGGGAAGCTTTATACCCCTGTCAGCGGCCCCTAGCTGCAGATCGCTTGGCTTCTCCATTCAGAGCTCCATGTCCGAATCGACGGCAGGGATACTCCTAAAATACGATCCTACCCTCCTTGCGTCTACCGCCGTCCGTTCGTGGTCCACCTACCGCAGAAATCATAGGCGGATGATGGGCCATTCTTCAACGATGACAATGAAAATTCTCGAAGGGACCCCCTGTTCCGGCTACAGGCAAGCCCGCAACGCTACCTTAGCCCAGGTTGCTTAATTTGGTATCCGTTTAGCGTCCCACGCTGTCGTGCCGCTGGACTGGGGTAGGGCGTGGCACCCGATAGATGTAGGCTAGAATTTAATAAACCCCATCCCGTCCCTCTCAGGAACAACCTGAGCCGTTGTATATACCATCCTCAAGCCTTTATCCTATATATCTCTGTCTCCTCTTGGAGATCATTTCCTTTTACGTTTTCCTATTCTCTGTCTCCTTAGTATTTTCCTTTATTTCCTTTTTGACTTCATCTGTCTATCTCATCTATCTTCATCCATCCATCCATCTATCTATATATATTTCTGTTATCTATCTGGGTCGGGTTTTCTTTAGGTTTCTTATTTCTTATTAGTCTACACATATAACGACCAAGACTACACCTACTTTGAGATTTCAACTACGAAACCATATCGATTCGACTACAAACCAATATCCTATATACTCTTCCTCATATATCATTCGCCTCATATTTATCAAGATGTACGCCTCGACGATATTAGTCTCATTACTCTGTGCTTCCAGCGTTATTGCCGCTCCAACATGGCCTACGTTCAACTGGGACGCTGCCAAGCCCGATGGTCTCGAGACCGTATCCGAGTACTTCAACATGTTGGCGCAGAAGGTTGAGATAGGGAAATACATGTCGTCAGCCCCGGTTTGTGATATCTCAAAGGCACAGATGGCCGTCGGTTCGTTATTAACCTATTTCTTCACTGAAACTGTCCAAGGATTTTAACTAACATAATCTTCAGCCCCTGAGCCACTGACTCCTCCGTCTCCCGGTTTAACTCTAAAGCATGTGGCCATCGGCCGTGGCACGCAAAATTACACCTGCGACACGACCAACGCCACTGCCGTCCCCGTCGCCGCGGGCGCCGTTGCCACACTCTTCAACGCGAGCTGCGTGGCCTCCGCGTACCCGGACCTCCTACAGCTCCTGCCGAAGCTGGCGCTGCAGTTCAGCCTTACGCCGCAAGAGGCGGAGAAGGACGCGCGCATGGGCCCGACGAACCTGATCATCTCGGGCAAGCACTACTTCACGAACAACACGACGCCTTTCTTCAACCTCGACACCGCCCAGTACCAGATCGGCGAGGCCGGGTGCTCCAAGGACAGCCAGACGAACGCGCCCGCCGACGCGCCGACGGGCCTCAAGGGCGAGAAGGCCGTCCCCTGGCTCCGACTCAAGACGCACTCCGGCTCCACGGGCAACCTGCAGGAGGTCTACCGCGTCGGGACCGCGGGCGGCAGCGCCCCGGCTACGTGTCAGGGTCAGCCGGCGGCGTTCGAGGTGCAATATGCAGCGCAGTAAGTTCTAGTCTCTACCTACCTACCCCAATCTATTGGATATATCTGGCTAACCTATGGCATTAATAGATACTGGTTTTGGGAAGGCCAATCTCAGGCGTGAACAGATGACTAGATGTGGGCTATTAATTATATATAGGGGCGGGAGGCTTATACACCTAGGTACCTAATGGGAGAAGGGGGGGAGAAGTCATGATAACATGATATAGATACGGATCAGGAGTGGTGGCTTCCGCCTGCGCGCAATTACTCGGATAATACGAGAGATGACGACGGCGCCGACTTATACTATAACTACAAGTATACTCTATAGGTCGGACATCATCGGTAGAGAAGTACACGCCCCCTTTATCTAGGTATTCTCCCTTAGAGGGCAGCACCGGACGGGACGGGACAGGGTTGGGAAAGATATACCAGGGCGCCACACACGCGATGCGTATTGAGACACGGGGCAGCGAGTGGGGCTATAGCGTTGCGATTCATACCATGTTCACCCCCTTTTTTGTATTCGTCATTATGATTATGTACTTCTTCTCGTACAGTACGGCCTTTTTTATATTGTTAATACATTATGGAACGTCAATCTTTTGTGTTTCGTATAAGGTCGCTGTGGAGGGCGATATGATCTGAGAGACATCTTCCGTAACACTGTGCTAAGCATACCTAGGTTTGTTCGAAGATTAAAGGGGCTAGATACCTTGGGTTCGGTACCTAGGTATATACTGGGACCCCCGAATACTATGTAGAGGCGTTTTAACTTTGGAAATAGCGCCTATTAAAAGCCAAAATATACACCTGGCACTGGCAGTGGAAGAGATAGCAACGTCAACCCCTCGAGTTGACACATCGTTCTACCTTTTCACTCCCACTTCGCATATGATATCCTAGGCCATCCAAAAACATCGGTGCACCTCAGACTTCACGATGCCTGAATCATCGGCCGAGGGTCAGGAAGGAATAGTCTCGACTAGCAAACTTGGGGCGAGACTCTGTGGTTACTGTAATAGATTCATTTCTCCTCTACTTATCCGGGAACAACGAGCAGATCGTTTTTGAATCTAGCTAAGTGGATGGTATTCAGAGCAACTGATGTGTTATTCGCTTCGCCTTCTTGTTAGACCGACAAAGACTAGAGGTATATAAGGAAGTTACATCCATACGGGCATATCACGCTAAAGATTATTATACCCCTTCTGAATCTGCGGATAGCACACAGGTGTGGGAACTATGCCGTTCGTGGATAGAAAACTGTGTTAAAAACATGAGAGGTGTATAGACTTCTCTCCACGCCGATTGATGGTATCCGACGAGACTTCTATACATCGGCCATCTGCCTGGTGCGTATCTGGATGATGGCGATCTCGAGACCCAATTACGGTTTCGCCTCTGGAAATCGCCCTACGCCTAAAATGGATCAAAGACAACCGACCCTGCGAGAAGATGTCTCTTCTTTTCCCTTGGGATATGGGAAAATTAGGTAACGTCGAAGAAACACCTCTAGGTAAGGAAGCATAGGCTATCTAAGAGTACGCCTCAGCACCGCGAGGTATGGATATATACGTTGCAGGCTTGTGGAAATCCCAGTTGCCCTGGCAGCTTCTTTGGCGGTGCCGAAACGACAACTCGCCTGCCGCGGTGCCCTCACTGGACATCGCCCCTTCGTGGAGCTGGGCCAGCCGAGATCGATTACAAGAATAAAGGCACGGAGAAAGGCACGATTACTGGAAGGATGTAATGCTCGTTGAAATTACGATGTCTTCTTCACAAGATCCATCTTGATATTCATACTGAACGAATACGGCTGGACAGCCTGGAGTATTACAAAGATTGGGAGCAAATGTATTGGGTACCTGTCAAGATTCTCCATATCCCGTATCTTGAGCTTCCATCCGTATTGGTACGTACGAGCATGATGAATCTAACGAATTACTGGAGCCTTTCCTCTCCTCCGCGGACAAGGATAGGGCGCAGATAATTCTAGTTTAATATTGGGGGATCTGGTGCTATGGTTATGGTACTTCACTTATGTCTTTGAAAAAAGGGGGTGGTATGTGTGCGTACCTAAAGAAGTACGACAGTGTGTTTGCCTACCTTAGGCAGATTAGCTACCTAAAGTTTGGAAAGTACATCAGTTCAGGTTCAAGTGATGAGCCACATCACGGCACGTCAGTGAATTCGTTCTGCGTGAGGAAATTGGCCAACGACTTTCAGGGTTCTCCCCCGCTGCCCGTCGCCTTCTAGATGACACATATGACCACCTCCCGGAACCGTGGTCGTAATCCAGCGAAACCGTGGGATGAACTCGAAACTAAAACCCTCAGGCGCTCCTTTCACTTTATTTACGAGAAGCTTTTTAAAATTATTCTTCTTACGCAGTAGGTAGTAGTAGCAGCGACATCACGCGGAACGCCTCCAAAGCCCACTTACCATTGTCTATGCTACACCAGCAGTTCTCTTATACGAGCAGCATGAAATGTAAAACGCGTACGATACATGTTATTTTTGTGTCATAGTTAATTAATACCTATTACAATAATTAAGCTGTTCCATAAGTTCGATGAATTGCAATATCTAAGTGGTGTCTTTACACGGAGAAAAAGCTGTCATATAATTATCGACGTCACTTGCTTAATTATAACTGGACTTACTGGCCTACCAACGAATGTACGGTCTGCTTCCCGGCTGACAGCCGCGCGTACCCACAAATCGGAAGCTCTGCCGGCCGGAAGTCAATCCCGGACCTATGCATGTTTCTAACCACCAAATCTGAATACATCTTCAAATACTTTCCAAAGACAAGAGTTGTCAGAAGTATAACACATTCCCAGAACTTCCGAAACGGAACATCTTTTAGTACGTCATCATCATTACACACGTCTCCGCGATATCCCATTGCCGCCCCCGTTGTTTCTCTACAAATTAGCCGACGACGATATAAGACGGGGAGGGAGGGGTGGCGGCCAGGTTAAGGTTAAGGGAAAAAAGGGGGGGAAGATGTGATGTCAAAAGAACAGCGGCAGATCTATTGGCGGACCATATTCCTGAAGGAGATCTGCCGACGATCGTTAATTAACGTGTAATTGACCGGATTAGGTAAGATAATCCCAAGCTCCGAGAATTGGGGAAAGCTGCTCCAGGTTCGAATCAAAACTTTAATATATTAAAATATAGAAAAACCCGTGGGAAGGGGAGGGCGTGGCATCGTGAAATTAGGCTGGTAGATTAAATTCCCCAGGTGACGCCAAACAAAACAGAACATGGCCTGGGAGGTGATTTGTAGTAGGCATGAGTTATAGGGGAGGTAAATAGGATATATAAGCGGCAGACGTTTTCTTTTGCTCTATCACCTGGTAGACTGGTGATGCTAGACTTGAGTTATACTTGACGTAAAAACGCCCGAAAGAAAAAGAGAATATTTACCTCTACCTTACCTGTTACTTATATACATCACAAAAGGCAAATCAACATGCTCGTGACATCTCTTCTCACTCTCGCGTTCGCCGCAACTGGCTTCGCCCAAGCCCCCGAAGGCTACAAGACGGTTTACATCACGTCCATGGTAAACTCCAAGTTCGTCTTGGTTCCGAAGACGAACACCAGCGGTAGCACTCTAGTAATGTTCGTCTACAACACCTCCCCCCCTCCCCCTTATCACCATAAAAAAGGAGGGGATATACATACTAATACACCTCTGCGTATCCAGCAAGACCGGCAGCCAAAAGCCCGAGCAGCAATGGTACATCAAGAGCGGCAGCACCAAGATCCAGCTAGCCGGCACCAAGCTATGTCTCGACGCCGGCGAGAAATGTGAGCATCCCCCGTCTTTCACCTTCCCCCCTGAAAACTTCATCCCCCCCCCCCCCCCCCCCGGGTTTTTACTAGCCGCTGACACTCCCCCCCCCTCGCAGCTAACTGGAAGGACATGGCCAACATCTACGTCAAGGAGTGTTCCGACACCGCGGACTCGCAGAAGTGGGTAGCCATGGCAGACGGGCGCATCGCCGTCGAGAAGTCGAGCCCCCGTAAGTTCCGCACTTGTCCTTTCCACCACCAGAGGCTCTACGCTACTACCTACCTAGTAGTACCGTACCTAATCGCCATCTTACCTACCTAACTAACCGCCATTTTTCTGCTAACAAAAAAAATACAGAGCAGTGTCTCGACCTCCAGTACATGCGCGCCACGGAGAACAACCCCGTCGGCCTGTACAGCTGCGCGGGCCTAGGGAACTCCGGCGCCGCCGACAAGGGTATCAACTGGCCCCTGACCGAGGTCGCTGCTCCCTGAATACCTCAGGTACCTAGGGTCGACGACGATCAGAATAATGATGATGGGTGGATGGGTGGATATGGGGTACCTAACCTGCCCAGGTAGTCAATCAAGGTCCTTGTAAATAAAACAAAATAAAAGTAGTTTGGGTTGAAAACGACGTGAATCTTACGTTAGGTACCTGTACGTACCTACTGACCATTGCATTATGGCGACTTTTATGTAAAAGTGCCTAAAATAACAGCTCGTATCTACAAAACTCGCCCAAATACTCCTGTAGCAAGCATCTCTTTTCCTGCGTGCCAGGCGGAGGTTGCCCTTGATAGATGTCATATACAGAGTGAGTGTCAGCGTGCATGCAGTTACTCCTATTGTAGTGAGTCTAGTTACGCCTGGCCTTCTCTCCTCTGACGAGGGAGCTGATTACTCTTTATATCAACAGTGGAGCCTTGTTCTAGCTACGTCTCAGACATGATGATAGCCCGCGCTGTGAAGGATGGCCCCTATTCTACACCTGGTATGGAAAGGCAAGTCTAGAAGAAGGCATCATCATATTATAAATCACATAGAGGGTAGTCAATCACATTTAATCCACAAAAACCTCACGAAGAAGCATGTTATCAAATCGGCCGATAGCTTCATAAAAACATAAACATAAGCCGTAGCGTAACGTAACTGTCTACCAGGCTTCCTAACATACTTCTACCCGTGTAGCCCATAAGTATATCTCTTCTCTTCTCTCCTCGTCTCGTCTGTCCTCTTCCCCAGCTCATCTCTCCTCTACCCCTCCATCTCAACATCCTCCCCACCACCACCGCTACCACTACCACCACCGCCCCCTTTCCTACGACTCTCCAGCCTCTGCCTCATCTTCCCCTTCGCCTCCTCGATCCACTTCTGATACGCCTCGTCCCCGCCTTCCTTAACCTTCATCTCCACCACCCCCTTCAGCACCGCGCCCGCGAACCCCACGAAATTGTGCCGCCGCAGCGCGTTCTCGAACTGCCAGTCGCGCCTCTTGCGCTCCTCGCGCGCCAGCATCTCCGCGTCGCCGACCTCGCGCGCCACGACCCGCCGGTCCCCCACCATCGCCATCAGGTTGAACCGGATCTCCGCGAGCCCGTAGCGCGCGATGCGCCGCTGCAGCACCTCCATGACGCGGGCGGGGAAGCTTTCCGCCGTGCAGGCGCCGTGCGAGATGGGCGCGGGCTGCAGCCCGTCGAGCTCGTACAGGACGCCGTCGACCGGCGTGTACGCGACGAAGTGGAACGCGTCCTCGCCCTCCTCGTCGCCCCGCCGCTGCGTCTCGTCCACGAAGGGGCTGCTGCGCGCGAAGCTGTTGTGCACCTCGCGGATCAGCTCGCTGTTGCTGAGCGCCTCGCCGCGGAACTCGGGCGGCAGGGCCATGGTGAACTCGCGGAAGTCGCCTAGCGGCCCGCCGATGTCCAGCTCCCCGGGCGCGCGGTTCATCAGGACGGAGAGCAGGGCCTGGGTCCCGCACGCGTTCTGGATCGTCTGCGCCGCGAACCACAGGCGCTCGGCCGCGTCACGGTCGAACGTCCCGTCGAGCGGCTTGTCGGTCGACGTGTATGGCGTGTCCGTCGGATACTTGAACAGGAATATGACGCCGTAGACGGGGTGGAGCGAGGCTAGAGCTTCCGGCTCTAGCGTGAGCAGTTCTTCAAACTGGACATTCCGAACGCCTAGGTTATTGAGGAGAAATGTAAAGACGCCCTGCAGGAAACACACTAATTAGCTCTTGGGAAATTCTTATAAGGCAAAAAAAGGGGGGAAAGCTGGGAAGACCCGGGGTAGGAGGGTTCCGCATACAGCATCCGACTCGACTAATATTCCAGTAATTAGCAATCTATTTCCGAACTCAAAGTAGCACCAATAAAGGTCAAACTCAACTCGTATTCCATCCACCACTCATCTTTCAGCTTTGGGTGCCAGGGCGGACGAGGCGCTGGCTGTAGATCTTGCAATATAATATGCAGGCAGGTTGATCGAAAAAAAAAAACACTGGTCAGGTATAGGACCTAAGCTGTCGTGATACCAGAAAACTCCCTCTGAGAATTTGACTGTTTGAAAAGTCACGACGCATAAGCTTCTCTGGGGGCACAAATCCTAGTAGATCTCAGTATCTACTACTAAACCCTCGAAAGCTTATAGCTCAAGTAATACAATCGAAAGGAAGCTTGTATGTGTGATGTTAAGTTTGTGTCGCATTTGAAGACGTGAATTACATTATGTAGCTCTGTCGGTACGTACTTCGCTTACGCATCCAAGGTACCAGAGCTGTTGTGGGTCACTATGGGTCAATCTGATAAGATAAGGTTGACGATACACAGCTATCAATTATTACGTAGGTTAAAGGAAGAGCATCATCTACCTGAATTATCACAGCTAATCAACATCACGACTTTTTCACATGAATATCATCGTTTTGTATTGCTCAGAGGCTATGGCTTCTTGGAATCTGCTAACTTTTAGGCCTTTTGCAAAGCTAAGCAAGAGATCCTGCCAGTACATTCTTTTTTTCCCTCCCTCCACTTCGTCATTATATACGCCTTAGGGAAAACGATCCTAATCAATTTCCGTAGACATGTCAGAAGTGCATCTTACCAACCATCTCATCTCCTACTTTTTTAGTCCTTTTCCAGTTATTATCGGCGTATTTTCGTCCTTCCCTCATGCCAATTCCTCATCAGGACATATTAGTGAACGCAAATCATTCCAAAACATCAGAGAATGTATGCCTGCAACAGGCATATACAACCAGATAGCTTCCTTGCTTCATTAGTTGAGCGACGGTAGATCATGCTCGCGGTGTCGAATTCGGGCCTGAGGGTGGCTCTGCAAGATGTCCAAATCCTTGTGCTCGTCACCAGAATGGCGTCGTGAGCTAGTGTCGGTGCCGGCATTCATGGCGCTCTCGTTGTCCACCAACTCGACAGCATCCTTCTGACTGTTAGTCTCGAAGCGACCGGGCATAACCTTTCTGGCAACACGCTTCATCCAGCGGGGGACATCTCTGGATCCCAGTCCCCAATCATAAACCTCCTTCTCTTCCCAGTTCGACGGAGTGACTCTGCCTTTGGTGGCCCAGACAATGAAGAAGATCATCGTGTTCAGAACCACGTAGACCATCATACCCCTACAAATCAAATTAGCATAGTCTCATCTGCTTAATAGAAGGTACTCACGCAATTAGACCATAGGCGACACTGTAGCTGAAAGGCATGAATGCCAAGGTAACGAAAGACGGAACAGCATCGCCGATGTACTGCCAGTTGATGTTGATGACTTGGCGGATCATTAGGCAACCAACCTAGGAAGATAATATCAGCAAACATTTTCCCTTATAGTGTTTATAGTTAAGCTTACCAAAACCAAGGTTGATCCAGTTGCCCAGGGTGGGACAGAGGCCAGAATCGGGGCAAAGAACAAACAGATAAGGAAGCAAACACCAGCCGAAATTGCAGTCAAACCGGTACGGCCACCTTCTGCAATTCCTGCACCACTCTCGATGAAGGCAGTAACGGGCGAACAACCGAAGAGGGAACCAATTGAAATCATGACTGCGTCAGTGCAATACGCAAGGGTCGATCGGGGAAAGTCGCCGTCTTCTCTAACGACACCGCAGAACTTGGCCATCGAGTAAAGCGTAGCAGTACAATCAATGATGTCGACATAGAGGAAGGTGATGAGAGCCAAGCCGAATTGGGCGCCAGCGGCACCTCCCAGGCCCCAGTCTTGGGCATTCAGGACAGTCTTGATCGGATGGAACGCGATAACCTGTTTGAAGAATTGGAATCGTTCCTCGCCAGCCTCCGTGTACGGGAAATAAGTGAAAGAAGTGTTACGACTAGAAGGTGTCAGTTGAACTTACTCTAACAAATTGGAGGGGAAAAGGATAGAATGAGATTCCACTCACGGCCAAGACATGATGGAGACAATTCCAATACCGATGACAATGGCACTCTTGACCTTAAAGGCCATCAAGAATGCAACGAAGATGCCGCCAATGAAAATGCCAATCCACATCTGTAAAAGATTGTTAGCTAAATCCCGAGTTCTTTTGGGTAACGATTCTTACTCCAGGGTTTGTCATGATGTGACTAGAGCACTCTCCCTTGTCGTTAAGATACTCGGCAGGGCATCCTCCAATTGTAAGGGGAGTAGAGAATCCGCCCGTGATAGCGCCAATACCTGCAGAATACGACAAGCCGATCTCAGTGAGGAAGAGTCCAATGCCCACACCACAGGCTGTCTTGATGGTAGCCGGGATCATTCGAACCAACCACTGTCGCATTCCAGTCAAAGCGAGGAAGACAAAGATCCATCCTTCCACAAAGATGGCAAGAAGAGCGACCTTGTAAGGGACCATGCCTGTGCCGTGCCATCCAACGACTTGGTAGGTGAAATAGGCGTTAAGGCCCATACCTGGTCTTGAAAGGGGTTAGAATACTGTGATAAAAAGAGTTATATAAGATGAGACTTGGCATACCCAAGAGAAACAGGAAGATTCGTAAGGAAACCAAACACGATGCTAGAAAGGCCAGAAAGGGCAGCGGTAGCGGTAATCAGGTCTCGCTTCAGAACTGTGTAGAGATCAGTTATAGTTCTAACACGTACACTTTTATTCAGGGTTATTGAATGCTTACTTGTCTGGCAGTCGGCATAGCCGGGGTCTCCAGGGCAGCCAGGTTCAGATCCTTCCGGGCACTCACACATGCCTCCAGAGTCCGCAAGAACGGCAGCCTTACTCTGGTTAGGTATATAGACTAAAGGGTGGAGTAGTGGATATGATACTTACGTTGACAGCGACAATGTAGGCCATAGTTGCGAAGGTAGTCAAGCCGGCGCGGATCTCTCGAAAGAAAGACGAACCTCGAACAGTTTTAGGCTAATTGCTGTTAGCATGGCTGTTATAGTGTTTGTCGAGAAAATAATATCATATTTATCTGAGAAGGCTAGGTAGAACTTTCGCATAGATAGAGCCCCGTCGGGTTGAACATGTCATTAAAGGGGGTGGGGGGTGGTGGTGGTGATAGCTTGTGAAGAAGGATGAAAGAAGTTAAACTTACGTGACCAGATCCATCTAGGCGAAAGACGCGACCGAAAGTCGATCTGTTGATGCGTTCATCAATAGTAGAGATCTTGTTCATCACACGGTCGATGAATCCATCAATGACAGGCATGTTGTCTTGATTAAGCGACAGGCAGTCGCGTTGATAAGATAGGGTACACAGGGAATTATTGATCAAAATGTCCCGGTGAGGGAGTGGAAACCGATTGCGACCGGTTAAAGAAAGACAAATGCAATGGGATAGTAAGTGAAAGTGATGATGTAAATTAGAAAGGCCAAGTAATGATCAAATGTTTGACGATGTTGTTGATCGGAAGACAAGGCAAGGCGAGGCGAGGCGAGGCGCGGCGAGGCAAGAAACGAAAGAAGGCAGCCGAGAAGATGCTGAGAAGTCGGTACAAGGTGCGGAGGACGAGATCAAAATGAAAGTCGCACCGTACTGCGTGTGCCAACTCTGCAGGCCACTTCTGTGTCTAGATAGGGTGTGCCCTCGTTAGATGTTGTAAGAAAGAATGCTTCTCGTGTCTAAGGAATAAAGCCGAGAAATAAATAGAAAGTTGGGTGATTTGTGTAAAGTAGAGGGACAGCCAGGGGGGGGGGGGGGGGGGGGGGGTGAGGAACATGCAAAAACAGTGGTTTTTTTTTACCGAGTTTAAAACGGGCCCTCCAATTTCCCTTTGAAATTTTTAAAATATACCTTTGTTT